CACCACATTGAATTAAGTTTTCCGTAGCAGGAAATCCACAGATACATGCTTGTTTCCCAACTCTCAATTTCCCAATCTTTCAGGTAAAAAACCCAATCTTCGGCCTGGCCTTGGGACTGAATCTTAGCAGCACACACTGTTGCCATTTTTATTTCCTGTGCTAAGCGAGGGCGCATGCGCAATGAGTTATTTGTGACCTCGACTGTCATTTGCTTCGAAGAAATTTACGAGCGCTTGCGCTCGAGCGGCAGTAATTTGGATTAGTTGGGATAACATTCTGCAGTGTCGGGGTGGAGCATGGGTTCAAAGGGAATACATCAAGATTCCAGTCCTTGTCAACTAACAAGTCCCTGGTTTAGCCATAGGATGGTAGGCCCCTTACTCTATCTGAATTTCTATAAATAGGTTTTCATTGAGCATGGGATACATTTCCTTACTACACAACTGGACAGTCAACATTGCTCATACTATTACATAATTACTACATGTACATGTAGCAACCACTTGTCTGCATTCCAAAGCTATGACATCATCAGAGCCGTTAATCTCTTCTGTTGGCACTGTGTATCATCAGTGGTCATCTCTTCTGGCATTGCACAGTGCCATGTTATGGCCGTAACTTCCATGGTGCCTCATTATTGATGACTTGCTGAGATAAAAATGGCATCCATTAATTAATAAAGCAAATGATTGATTCATGTACGTTTTACTTCTAGCACCATCAGTACACTACATCATGTTTGTGTGTAACAAAGAGGGTTGACAGCCCTGGATTTCAATATGCAAAACGCAAGAAATGTACTAATTAGAACAATGCACGATATTCATGTATACCTGTATAGAAAAGCAGACTTGTAAACACAATACTGATCTTACATGTTTGACTGGAATGTAGCCTACAATACATAGAACATCCACATCAGGATTTTCTTAATTTCTGTAACGTGTATCAATCAGAAAGCTTTCATTCAATCAGAATTTTAATTCTACATTTAAGCTCTTTTCTTTCCTACATATTTTTGAATCAATAAATACATTGCCATTTTAAACTTCTATAATTTTATGTATGTGATGAAGAATGAATAATTGTACAAAATTTTTAAAAGAAAATAATAATAACTAAACTCACAGCATACTTAAATCTAAGTGAGTCAATGAGTCAAATCAGATCCCAATTCTGCCCTCCTCTTGCCCTCAGTAGCCACACTATGGCTAGGGCGATAATTTCATTTCCACAAGCCCCAATCAATAGTAGTTCTCCCTCAATCGAAAGCAAACAAAATAAGGAAGTCAGCGCTGGATGGGAATCAATCCTTTCAATTACTCTGACACTATCACTGCAAGCCATCATCCATCTTGTCACTGAACTGCCATCGGCCAAGGAAAAGAGATCTTTATTTTCATTTGAACGATCTATACCTCACCTCTCGCAGTTACCCGGGATCTGAGCCACTTTTGGTAAACACGGATTCAAGACGAAGTAGGAAATGGAGCACACCATTACAAATGTAGCCTGCAAGTACATTCCTGTTCTTTCCTCTTATTTATAAAACACTTTCCTGCATTTATTTATTTTGCTTACAAGATGGATATTTTGAGAAAATAAAGGTCATATTTTCCATATCAACCAGCCACCGTCTCACTCAACCATGGAGAAATGAGTTACTGCACTTTTTCTTATCTATATTCCATGCCATCATACCTCCCCTGCAAAATGCAATCCCTGACACTACTCTCAAACCATATGGTGTCTGACATTCAAGACTCAATATCTAGCTGAATCTGACGATAAGGGGCTGGGACCCTCTGCTGCCCTGATACTATCTGGGCAATATTTGACATTGTACTTGCCTACTAGGACTACCTCATAAATCATAATTGTCAGTTACAGACCTCTCTGATATGGTCTCTAGTTGGGATGACTTCACTGAATGAACTTATCATGATCCATAATTGGCTATTTCGAACCTGGCACCTCGAGGGAGTAGGTGGGATAGTGATGTAATTTCCAGGGTCTGCAAAATCTCCCACGTCTATCTCCAAACAATTTTACACTACAAATTACATACACAAACTACACACTGTACATGTCTAGTAATATAATTCATATGAATATGAATACTAATTGGTGGCCTTATGTGTAAGCCTGTTACGGCCTTGTAAAAGTCTCTTTGAATGTTATGGCCTAAAGAATGATGAAAATGTGAACCATCAACCCACAGATTGAGAAGCATTACATGTATTAGAAACATTGTTGGCCCAAACATACACAAGTAATGTACACTGTTACTCGATTTATACACTCTACATCTACAGCTCTACAACTCTACAGCTAAACACTACTGTATTAACAAAAATATTATGATCCTACAGACCTAAATATACATGTACAAGGAAATGTGAGTATTGTATTATGATAATTGAACTGGGTCATTACCCCCAAAACATCCATGACTTAAAACAAATTGTAACTCTTATATTGTTCACATTTTGCAGTGGTGTGGGCTGGCAACATCAAGATCAAACATGATACAAATTAACATGTGTTTAATACTATACATGTACAGTACATGTAGGCCATAAGGCATAACATGCACTACATATAATGTACCTTTATTTCCAAAGTGTGATATGTAGGTTCTGGGATTACCCTAATCCCCTACAGGATTAAACATATCAACAAGACAAACAAATGCTTGATCACAAAGCAACATAACCAATGTGATCACTGTCTAGCACCTACCACTAGAAAATAAGATGCCAGACAAAGAATCTGAGATTAAAAGTGACTCCTTGCAAATGATAGACAAGACTAATAGAATCTGGAATTGATAATGCCTCAAGTCTGAAGTCATACATTGTTGAATTATATTATGTACACGTTTTGTTCTCTTGTAATTTAAGCTCTACTAGACTACATTAATAACTGGCAAATTATATCAAGAATGTACTTGGATGCTTGTAAGAAAGCTAACCCTAACTTTTAAATATATGTGCATAATAGCTATATGAATTTTTGAAAGCTGAACTAACTGCAAGAAATACACAAAAGGTAAAGAAACATTTTCATCATGGAAACAAATTGTGCCTGGAAAGGCCTTCACCATCCCTTTCCTTTGAATACAGCACACCACATAAACAAGGAGACATGACAAGCTCTGTCTCTGGCTACTGGTGACTAAACACATCAATTCCACCAGATGCAATCAAGTGCACAGTGGGAGTGATCTCAGTGCAATGAAGAGATGACAACATGATTTAATATTTCTTGTTTAATATTACATACATGTTCCAAATGCCTACATTAATTACACAGTCTACTTGATTTCTCAACATATGGTGAACTTGTAAAAGCACTGTAAAATTGCACAAATCTTAAATGGGTTTTCATCAAGCATATCAAAACTTGGCCAAAAGCATACTGTTTCGTTGCCTTTCTGCATGTGCTAAAAAAATTGGCTTTCTCAAAGTACTGTACATGTTAGTTGTCAGATTATTTTTAATAATTCCTCAACCATTCCTAAACATTTGTTAGTGTATGGAACATTATATTCCTTTAAAATTATCCTTCAAAAATAACTTTTCAAAGACTTTCAACTCATGTAGATCTAGAATCAGGTAATTGAATTTTGAATTAAAATCATACATGTAGAAAATATAATCTTAAAAAAGAGGAGTTATTGTCACAAGTAAAGACACAGTAGTCGGTAATAAAGGTCTAGTGGAAGAGAACTATTTACATTTCTCTCTGTCAAAAGCTATCTCAGTAGGTTAACTCCAGTCCATCTAGATTATTACATTTTTAAAGTCCAGCTTAAAGAAAATAGGTGGCCATGAAAATGATGCTATAACCTTTCTATGATAAGAAACAGAATCTTGATCAAAACTGTATCAATTCTGATTTTCAGATTTTCCACATTTTGTATTACTTATTATAAAAATGCAAGTATCTTTGAAGTTAAAACTATAATAAAAGTCACACATTTGTGATATTTTCTTTCTGCATCATGAGACACACAAGCTGTAGCTTCCACTTCTCTTTACATGAAGACACTAATAATGTCATAATATGGAAATCTTTAAGTAAAATTCTAGACTAGAAGTCGTCACCTACTGACCTTGTGTCATGAAACTGTTTTCAATATGCTGTACATTTGATTTAACAAACAAAATGAAAAATATATCCACAACAGAATCGTCTGCATCTTGTTTGTGCAACTTCTGTATCAATTATGAATTGATCATTGCACTACAGTGTAATAAGCAGTTTTACTGTTGGTCGGTGCTACATGAACCTATTATTATCAACATGTTTTTAGACTTTTGATCATTTATTTAAATTCATCAACAAGTTCTCTTTTTTTTCTTCAGTTAAACTTACAGAATAAAATCTAGACCTTAATTAGATATACTGTATTTCAAGAAGAAACATAACACAAACATAGGTCTAGATCTACACCAAGTTCAGTCAAAATAAGAAGAATTCAAAAAAATGTTATTCAAGCCCCTGTCTGGAGTGTCTGCACATAATAAATCAAGTGACCATTGCATTATCAACAACTAGCTTTACATTATCATTCGATCATGTCTTCATGATGACATTTATACGAAAAGGAATGATCTACCGGCCCGGTAGGCCTAATTCTTGTTCAGTTTTAAACAAGTCTCATTACAATACAGACCCAAATTCCGTAAAACATCATCACCTGAACAAAAACAAATACACAATAACAACAAAAACACCCTTCATTCAGCATAAATATATTAAAATACAGTTCATCAACGGCCACGGCCACGGCGCGGCGTCATCTTTCAACGGCGCCTACCATCCACCGCAACCGGCCCGTTCAAGCTCCAATCTGCACATCACCAGTCGCCATCGCCATAGGATTCGGAGCGCTGATGCCAATGTCAGACGAGTATCATTATTATGAAGCATATTTAATCACAAAAACACATCATTTCCCCGTGTAAACAAGTAAGAATTTAGAAAAACTCACCTTTAATTATATTATATCCTCGATAATACGTGTCAGTAGTTGAATGTTGTCATTTTTGTGATGATTACTGCTGGTTTCGACAGGTCTCTGTGGTTTGGTCGCACCGTGGACGCTGCAAGTAGACCGATCTTATTTATTTTAGATGATTTAGAAAAAAAGTAGTAACGTACGTTTACTCAATTACTGTCAAAAGATGGCGCTAGACTAATCTCATGGAACATGCGACTTGAGAAGAAGAAAATAAAATGTGTAACACAATTAACTCTACATGTGTGAGTTTGAGTATGACCCCTAATAATGGGTAGGGGGTTCGAGGCTTAAGCGGCACCCCCCCGTCCAAACCAAATCTGAGTTCCCCCCCTAGGGTTTTGGTACGTAGTAAATCATTTTTACAGTCGAACAACCTGAGATTTACATCCGTTTATATATTTCTAGCAGTTACCCGATTTTCCTTGTTGTTGTTTGATTATCACCTACAGTTAACTTCTCTTAGTTTTTTTCCATTTTTTTGTCAAGGTGCCACTTAATTTAAGCTAAGAAAATATAGGTCCCGAAAATAGGTACCAACAGGCGCGGATCCAGGGGGAGGAGACGCGAGCGGGGACGCCCCCCCCCCCCAAAAAAAAAGGAGATCATGAGAAGGAAAAGAAAGGAAAGGGAAAAGGGAGAGAAAGGAAGAGAAAGAAGAGGAAAAAGAAAAGAAAAGAAAAAAGGAGGCCGGGGGACCGAAAGGCCTTGCTTTGTTGTCTCTCCCCCCCCCCCCCCCCCCCCATCAACACGGAGAGAAGCAAGGAAAGTGAAGACAAAAGGAAAAGAGGAGGAAGTAGAAAAGGAAAAAAAAGAAAAGGGATCAGTTGCAATTATCCCGCCAACAAGTCGGGGGTGCAAAAGGCCCTTACCTCTCCCATCTCCCCCATCTCCCCCCCCCCCCCCCCCCGAAAGAGGAGAGCTAAAAGAGAACAAAAAAGAGGAAGAAGAAAAGACAAGGGTGAAGAAAAGGGGATCAGTTGCGATTAATCCCGCCAACAACGCTGGGTCGGCCGAAAGGCAAACTTAAAAGAGAGAGAATTAAGAAGGGAAGGGAAAAGAGGAGAGAAAGTGAAAGGAAAAAAAAGAGAAAGAAGAAAGGTAGGGGGATTAGTTGCGATTTGGGGAGAGGCCCACTGACGAACTGGTGGAGGCGGGGGGTTCAAACGTGGTTTATTTCTAACTCGATACCGGTGATTTACTAATGTTGCTGAAGTGAAATAATTTCCCGATATTTTCCCTCACTTTTGAGTAAATTAGACTTTTATTATTGTGTTTGTTGGAAAATAACAAATTCCTAAATTTACAGTCAGGCAAGAGACTGATATGCTTATTTTGAGATCTACATGTCAGGGCCCGTGGAACGGCGGGGCTCGAGGGCATCAAGCTCCAGGCTCCCCACTTTTTTGGAAATTTATATTGAAGAGAAATAGAAAGAAAGTGAGAGAAAGAAAATAATGAGGTATCAACATATGCTCATTTGACCGTGATTAAATGCCCGAAACCTCTGAGCTTCCGGGTGCCCTCCCCCTGGATTATAAGGCCCTAAAGCGGGCCCCTGGATGCTCATCTGACGGTTAAAAGCCTAAGACCCCTAGGCTTCTGGGGGCTCGGCCCCCTGGACCCATGCTAACTGTGACCTGCCAGTGTCACAACTATATAGGTATTTTAAAAATGCTCATCTGACCGTAAGTAACGCCTAACTAAACCCCCCGAGCTTCCGGGGGCTCTGTCCCCTGGACCCAACCAAGGGTCCTATAATAGGCCTAAGGTGGGCCCCTGGATACTCATCTGACCGTAATGTAATGCCTAAAACCCTTGAGCTTCCGGGGGCTCCGCCCCCTGGCCCTACGCCAATTAGTGACTTGTCATGTCAAAAATAAGCTCATCTGACCGTAATTAAATGCCTTAAACCCCTGAACTTCCGATGGCTCTGCCCCCTGGACCCAACCTAGGACCCTAAGGCAGACCCCTGGATGCTAATCTGACGCTAATATAATGTCTAAATCCCCTGCATGAGCCAAAGATAATTCGCTCACTATACACTTACCTGTACTAATGAAATCAAGCAGATCACACCAAGCGTGTTAACACGTCAACATGGATGTGTACCTTTGAGGTTTTCATATCTTTGGTATCTTTGTAAACTACTATGAACGGGGCAGGAGGAAATAAAACACTACATAGACAAACCAGTCGTTATGAAAAAGTCATTTCTAGATCATAACAATTTTTTTTTGGATAGATCTTGAGAAGAGACTAATATACCGTCAGTCATGTGTATGGGATCGGATCATGTGATTGTGAACACTTCAATGACTTTCTTATTGCACCACCCCGCGATCGTCGATGACGCTGAGGTTTCGCATTGTTAAGCTGAGATTAAGGATCTGATGTTATATACTTTTCAATCGTAGAGATTGAAGATAACATTTTCTCTGTGTTTTAGCTTGAGTCGTTGGGGAGCAATGATGAAGTTGAAAGAAATATCAGCTAGCATTTTGGTGCTTTTTTTTCACGGGTGCATAATTGCATCGGCGGCCCGTGACGTCCAATCCAGCCAGAGGAGGTGGCTAGCTGATAACCATGTCCCCGATGAGACATCTGCAGGTATTAGGATGTCTGCACAAGCCCAGCATAGTAAACCAAACATTGTATTCATTCTTACAGATGATCAAGACGTGACTATGGATGCAATAGTAAGTTTTTTTCTTCTTTTTCGACAGTCCTTTAGTACAAAGTAAACATAGAAGTTATATAATTTAATACTGGTCCACACCAGGCTGTTGTGTTAAAAATAAAAGGTAAAAAACTAGACTCTAGTATTAGTAAAGGGCCAAGCCCAAGGGTTAAGGGCAAGGCATTAATAAATCAATTATCATGAGATATGACCTTCTAGTACATAAATTTGAAATGTTTATTGACCATGTCTAACGCTGTGGCTCACAATGCATTAGGAAAAGGTTACTTATAGATCTTTTGTACGAAAATATATGGGGAAAATATCAACATTTTAAGCTGCATTAACCCTCAACAATCACAATCTTAGTTCTTACCTTTACTTAATGGTCATCAGAAAGAACCTCTGATGTTTCCAAGAATGGTTGAAATGTCAGAAAAGGGAGATATCTCGCTGATGTTTTTCGCTGTCAATTTTTTTTTCCAGTGATAGTTTTTGTACACTTGGCCAATAAAAAATTGCCCACAAACGCACAATAAATTAGGATTTTTCTCTGAGTTTGCGATAGGGACCGATATTTGGTGGCCAATTTCTTCGCGGTTGGGGTTATCTTTGGGATTCAAGAGCTTGCCCACTAGCTCTGTTACTAAAAAATGCAACTATAATGCAAAGCAGCACTTCATCAGGATTGACAGTAGATTTATGATTTAAATTTCCAAAGTATTTTTTCTAATATTGATGAGTTTCACAAAACCAGTAGTACAAGTTTGCCATTATCCCTTTGAACTTAAGCATGTAATAAAGTTAACATGCATTTCAGTGGAATGTCAGCAAGCTTGGACAATCCATTAATATGATCATTGTTTTTTAATGATGTCTTACAATTTGACAATTTATAAAATTTAAAACTTATGGCTGTTTTTATGATACGTACAGAGGAAACATGCCCCATATAATGAACAACCTAGGGAAAGGAGAACCTCTTTTCTTTTCTTTTTTGATTTTAGATAAGCAAAATCCATGACAATATTTTTTTTCTCACCCATATAATAAATGCTTGTACATCTTTTGCCCTTCTAATTAAAAACAAATATATTATGTCTAGCTGATATAGCAATTTAAAACTCTTCCTGACACGCAACCCGATAAGAAGAAGGAAAAGCAATACAGCTATGACTTTGACATGATCAGATAGGTTGATGGGACGAGATGCATGGTTTCTCCTGTTCAGTGGAATGAAAGAATAAAACATTCAATGGGTTATTCATGTATATGTTTTCGTCTGTTAGTTTTTTCTTTTTAATTAATCAGTCTTGAACTTGTAGAAATTTAGGATAAATTACTTCTAATTGAATATGTAAACAAAAAAGGAAGAACCAGTAACAAAATAAGAATAACTTAATTGGTCATTATATTTTCTTTCTTTCAGAGTCCCATGACGAATACACTGAACATGCTGGGGAAACAAGGAATGACCTTCACCAACATGGTGGGTAGCCACGTTAACACTAGATTGTTTTCTTTTAAAGCTATAGGTACCATGTGACCGTGTGATGTCACCTCTCATAATCAAATGTATGGAACAGGAATAATATGAATCGGATGTTTCTTTATGAATTAACCCTTTTGGTCTGTTCACTGCTCCATACTTATTTTAGTACCAAGTACTTAAGTTGTAAGGCTAGTACTTCCCCGACCCAATGCTGGATCTTAAGCGAGGAGTAGTAATAACTCCTTGATCTAGGCTACATGTATGTCATTGTGTAAAATAGATTTCAAGATTTGAGATTCAATCAACATTCATGAAATAAAGGGTCATATTTGGGAAGATTGAGACTTCTATATTCTCTGTAAAGAGTTGACATGAATTAAGGGGGAACCTTATTACTAACAAATTCCACCTATATATTGTCATGCAAAATTTATTTCACATTGTGTACATGTGCACACAACAGGAGATATGAATGCAACATTATTTCAAAACTGTTTATAAGTAAGAAACTTCCACCATTTTACCCACACACACAACAACACAACAACAAAAAACAGTTTTCATGAGTTTTTACATAAAGGAAGATGCTTTGTGGTCTTGATAAACTCAATTTCATAGTCCAGTGAGTTTATTGTGCACAATATATTCGTAAGATGTATATTATGCATGTCTGTAACAGTCTACTTTAGAAAGCCAGAACTGATGACACGTTGAATAAGATACTGAGCATTGCCCATCCATGCATTGACAGAGGATGACTGAGAGTAAATGCAATACTTTTAGAGTGGAAATATGCCTTGTAATATTGTTAGTAAGTGCTCATTCAATCGTGTCAGGAGTTAAAACCTTGTACTGTCTGACTCCTTTTCAGTTTACCAGAACTCTTGGGAGCTTTCCAGAGCAATGTTGTTTTCTAGTCTGTAAGCTCCTTCTGCTATACGTAATTTTTTGATACAAAGTTTCTTCTCACAAATTTCTGAATAGGCTATTACAAATTGTTCAGTTAGAAAAAAAAACTCACGTTGTTCAATTACTGGTACAATTTTTCCTTTATTTTCTTCTTCCATTTTTCACTTCAGTTTACAAGTAGCCCTCTATGTTGCCCTAGTAGATCCAGCATCCTCACAGGCAACTACATTCACAACCATGGGGCTATGAACAATTCTATCCAAGGAAATTGCAGCAGTGTTGCCTGGCAACAGGGACCAGAGAAGAAAACGTTTGCCACATACCTAAATAAGGCTGGATATAGAACATTCTTTGCTGGAAAGTACTTGAATCAGGTAAGACTATCTACTAGAATATTTATTTGAAGTACTTTAATTCAAATTTTAAGAATTTAATTATTTATTTTGTACGTGAGTAGTTCCATGTCGTAATGATATGTTCTAAATATGAGCTTCAAATATTACTACTGTAATGAGATTTTCCAAGATGAAATATACTCTCAATTAATATAAAAAGTTACTTGTGAGTAGACCACTTTACGCACCCCTATAAATAGGACCTACACAGAACCCAATTCTGACTTGGGTGCCTTGTGCACAGTTCTGTTATTCTTTATATTCTTAATATTTCTTATCCGTTAGCCGATAAAAAGCTGGGTGATTTTTTTTTTCTTAGGTTGGTTTTATACATTCTATATATGTACACACATTATTTGTTGAGGTGATTGGTACACTTAAATGATGGTATATATGATCAGCACTTTGCTGGTACAGTGTACATGGAAGAGACAATTCTCAAATTTGTTTTAAGCAATTCCAGGCAAGGTATATGTTGTAGATCCATTGTTCTAGTGTTCAACATGTAGTTGAGATTATTAGGATGAATGTTGCATTTATCTTTCTTTGCTATTTACTTGCACATACAAATTTATAACTAGAAATTTTTGGGACATGAAACTATTTTGATTTGTTATGGGCAGGCATTTTCATGGCAAGAAAATGTGACCAAAAAGCCGCCAAATGCAAAAAATTAATGTTAAGGTCAGTTGGGATTCTATTATTTTGCAACATGAAACTTTCGCGCATCTGAGACGACCCTAAAATCCAGGTATATTTCATGCAAATGAAATTGGTTTTATGGTGTACATTTTCTGCCAAAGTCGTCATTTTCAAATTTTCAATTATTTATTTTTTGTCTTCATACTTAAATATTAGTTTAGTTTGACTCTATGACACATCATTTTTCCATCATTCCATCAGAGCTCAAGATAAACTTGATTTCTTTCCAATTATCTTTTCATTGTTACCCGTATCCTGCCTGGATCATGATCAGTATGGACAAAAAGAAGTTGGTGGCTTAGCACACATTCCTCCTGGTTGGGATGACTGGATCGCACTGGTAAGGACATAGGGCCAAATGGGTTAATGCCTACTTATCTGTAGTGTTACCTTTAAAAAGGATCTGCTTGTGCCATATTGTATTTTATAATGAAATAGTTCTACCAAAGACAATCAAATTATTACATTTTTTGTAGTACCGGTATAAAACTTTTGTAGTATAAAACTACTCTTTACGGGTTTTGAAATGGTTGTAGTTGGCTAATTGAGACAGCAAATGAGTTCTTTCACATAGCCTTTTTGTTGCACAAAGCAATTGTTTTGTTACATGCTGCTTATTTTTTGTGGCAATTGGCATGCATGGCAAGTGAGTGACTGTGCCAATCAGCACCGAGGGCAAACGAAAGTTTAAAAATTGAGCAATAGAGATTTTTGTTGATAAAAGATGCATTCTCATCAGATTTTGATTATTGCTTGTACTTTCATTTACATTTACTACATTCAATCAATTAATAGCCAATTAATGATAAGGGAGTAGACTTTCTGGATAACTTTTTTAGCAGAAGCTAGTCTGCCACAAGAACCATAATTTATATTAACACAATGATTCAAGACTGTATGGTGTGAATTCTAGCAACTTTTTTTTTACCAATGCATATGGTGTTTCAGATAAGCTGTTCATTTAATATTGATTATTTCCAATATCCTCTCCAATTATCTGTGCAGAAACTCAATTCCGTATACTACAATTACTCGCTCTCTGTGAATGGCAAGGAAGAGGTACATGGAGATGATTACCATAAAGATTATCTCACAGATCTAATCGTAAGTACTGCATCACATCTTCTGGTGGACTGTAAAACCCTTGATATCCTTGAATGACAGTTATTGGATGACATCTACTTGTGCAGGACACTGACACTGTAAATTATGTTATGGTCACCTTGGATCAATTTAGTTGCTTTATTTGCAACATAGAAATTAACTATGCTAGCATAAGCAAGCATTGGTGTTAGTTGTCTCTTTCATATTATCCATCAGTGTTGATTATTATGTTGTTGTTTAAAATCATGATTCAATATGTCATGAGTATTAGTAAGTGGTCAAAATGTTTCACAAAGAAGATGAAGGTTAAGAAATTGATGAATACTTCAACTTGCTTTTCAACAACATCCTCTTAACAACCTCATCAATTTCAGAACGTGTCTACTGTATGCTTTGTCAATGATTGATGAGTTTATGTATCGTTTCATTTGTATTGATTTATTTGTTTTTGTATCTGCCACTCCTAAACACTTCTCTTATGATATAAAAATTAGATTGCGAGAAGTCGTAAATGAACTTATTTGTCTCTACTCCTTAAATTTTGTTAACATAGAACAATAGATCTATGGAGTTCCTGCAGAAGCAGTCGGTATCGAGTCCTTTCTTCATGATGATGTCGACGCCCGCCTGCCATTCACCTTTTGACTCCGCCCCTCAGTACATGTCACACTTCACAGATAAGAAGGCACCAAGGGGACCTAGCTTCAATGTTCATTCGGCTGTAAGTTCAAGATGTAGCAGTAAGGCCCATTCAGACATGATACAGAAAACCACTTAAGAATGGTATTAGCAAAACAATGAGACAAGCATAGCATCTGTTATGAATTGATGCCCTTATGCCTCCAAATGGATGATAGTGTACATAACAATCCTGTGTATGAGCGAGTCCAAGGTGTTTGATGATTCTGTGTCCCAATTTTGCGGAATATTATTATTGATTACAATCAACCTCCAAAGTATATTATTGTATTAAAGGCAGTTCACCACACCACGTGTGAACTGAGCTTTAGCTATTTGTGCAATTGTGTACCAAAAAAGTCACAAGGAAGAATTTTTGTTCTCTTGTTGAGTAAATAATGTTTGTTGATCAATGAATTGAACATCACTAGCTGGGTTCTAATGCTATGTTTTTCACTGACAGCTTCCTGATATGATTAAAATCAGTCGTGTAAATGCATTCTTGTGTTTTGCTACAATCTACGATTATAATTTCACTTGTGCTTGAAGGGAGGGAGGGAGGGATAGCAAAGAAGATGTAAGGTGATCTAGATTTTTATATTGAAATGTGATCCAAGAAGAGATATTTTTTGAATAGTTTTAAAGGTAGGGTGTCTAACAACATCACAACCACTGATGTCGTTTCAATTGTGCCATCTTTCGGTGACGGCGTAGTATCTGGTTCCTGTATCCTAGCATCACCATACGCGTGTCACGCGGTCGGTGATGCATTGTGGGACATGGCTGTCAACACATCAGGACAGTGTGAGCAGCAGATGGCAGTATGCGTAAATCTGAAGTAGTGACAGTACAATATCCTGCCTTTAAAGGAAATTTAAATTCAGGTTTCCAGTGTAGAGAGTCTGATACTATACCCAACAGAATATGCCACCCATATTCTGAATTCTGAAATCATCCAGATTCTCTGCATTTCTTTCAGGACAAGCACTGGCTAATAAGGAGAGCTGCAAACCCAATGTCCAATGCATCTATCACCTATTTAGATGACTCTTTCAGAAAAAGGTAAATGAACACTTCTTGTCAAAGCTCTCTGAATTTTCAGCATGTACAGCTAATGTTTCACTCTGGTAGCAAAAACTAAAAATGTGAATGAAAATTGCTGAATATGTCCTCATATTGTTCCATTTGTATCAAAGCTAATGTTTGAGATATTTTGATTTTCTTCCTATGGTTTCCCAAGGACTTTAGTGTTAATATCTGAAAGGAACTTTAAAACAAAACTGATTGCTGGCAATCTGAAATCAGAGTGAAAGTGTTCCATGTACATGTAGCAATTCAATTCGTTATTGCATGTGCCTTTCGTAACCCGGCCTGGGATGGATATCATTTTTCACCTCTCATTTGTTTGAATATCAACTCAAAGAGGGTAAAACTTCACAGCAGCTAAGAAATGGACTAAAAATGTGGGGGACCTTTCTGAAAATGGACTTACGTATCTTTTGTCTGTGATATGAATTTACTGTGCGATCACACTAATAGTGAAAACTTGGTGCTAAGAAAAAATGTGTCTGGAATGCAAAAAGCATAATAAATGACAATTATAATTTGATTTGATAGAGGTAGAACCAGGTACTACCTTGTTAAGGTTTAATATTACATAAACTGTCATTATGAATCTTAAGAAAAAGAATTTCAGTAGGTCTCTTGCATTCTAGATGCTTCTTTTTGTGCTAGTCCATTCTGCTAAACCACCTAATAACTGCTTTGATGATATTCTCATATGATGTTTTCTCACAGGTGGAGGACTCTTCTCTCTGTAGATGACATGGTGAAGAACCTTGTAACGCTGCTTACAACAAAAAAGATGATTGATAATACTTATATCATCTTCTCCTCAGACAATGGCTTCCATCTAGGTAGGCTATGCCATATATTTCACATTTATTCATTTGCTTAATCATTCATTCATTCATTTGTTTATTTTGGTTTGTTGATTTAAAAAAAACCCAGTAAAGACAAGATTTGATTTTGGAAAGAAAGGAAGTAGAGTTTGTGAAAGCAGGTCTGAGTTCTCTGACATTTGTGAGTGAAAAAAAAAATATGACTTGATGCTCTTGTGGTTCTCAATAGATGATGTATTCATTTCTTTCTTGACAGGCTAATACTCATACCAAATTAAAGTAGAGTTGTGGTGTATGACATTCTGTCTTATTCTATTTCAGGTCAGTTTTCACTTCCCAATGATAAGCGGCAGCTGTATGAATTTGACATCAGAGTTCCTCTCATCATCAGAGGCCCAGGTATCTCTCCTGGAACGACTAGCAAGCAGATTGCTGTCAACATTGATATCATGCCTACCATTGTTGAGATGGCAACGGGAAGTGCGCCCTCTGAAGTTGACGGGATCAGTCTCATGCCACTCCTCGTAAGTACATGAATAGAGTTGTAGAATTTAACCATATTTATATGATCTTTTTGGGGTGTAAAATAGGGAAAAATGTTATTGCATTTTTTTAAAGAATCTGGTCAAACCTTTTGATATCTTGCAGTAGCATAATGTTGCTTTATTGTGCTGTTCTACTTTTTGAGTTAAGTTGAGTTGAATGTGAACATAAGGTCATGTCCTTCCAACTGATTAAACACTGTTGCCTCGCTAATGTTTTTTTTTGTTAACAAATTTGACTGAATGTTACAGAATTTTTGTGCAATAAACCATGAGGAAGTACTTTTATCCACCACTCTTCAAGTTCAGGGATACAAACAAAAAAGGAATTCTTTTAAGGCGCATTCACATATGCTGTGGTAAAGGCTGGCTCACACTATGACAAATAGTCGTTAAGCTACGTTAAGCTGCGAATTGCAATATTGAATTTCCCGCCAATCATTGTGTGTTGCTTTCAATTGTTGCTGACGAATCCGCTAGTGACTGCAGACGGCCAAAATTATCAGTCGCATCAGTCAGCAAATTTTGACTGAAAATTTTGTTTAATAAATTGTTGTGATTTCGTCGCTTGCCGCTACTATGTGAGCCGGCCTTTAACAAGAGTTTTTCTTGTGTGTACTAAATGAATAGCAAGTGGGGATGGGAAAAGTAACTGTGTGCACCAAAGATTCTATGTGTACTCACTTCTGTGTGTTATAAGATAGAAAGACATGAAGCCCAGTAGGCTTACGGAACCACAACATAGGATTAGGTGTCTTCTAGTTTTGAGGCCTTTAGCTTTTTTTTGGTTTTTTGTTGAAGGCTTCCTTTTATCTATTATTTTACCAGTTTCATGTAATACTGTTTATATGTCTGTTTTACTTTTGGTGAATTATTGATAAATACAATTGAATCAAATTGCTTTTATTGATCCAACAGGAAAACAGAGGGTTGTCTTCTTGAAACATTAAAATGTCATTAATGAGTATTTCTTCATTCCCTGTCATTAGATAGCTAGGAATGAGAGCATGGCGTGGCGGGAGACAGTCCTGATTGAGCACAGAGGAGAGGGCAATACGACCAATAACCCTGGCTGTAAAGACACAGTCAATCTCTGTGTAAGATTTCCAGGATGGCCGCCTCCATCTGGAATAATGACTGTGGTTTGATGAGATGGAACCCATTGGAAAGCAAAAGAAAAATTTGCAAAAATAATCCAAAATTTTCCAGAAATTATTTTTACACCCTTGGTCGTGTGTGCGTACACTTGATATGAACAAATTTGTTTTAAAGTGAATTCTCCGTATATGCTTTCAAAGATTACATCTCTCAAACCACAGAAGGATGAGCCTTTTTTAAATTTCTTTCAGGCTATTGTTATGTTAAAAAATAGTGAAGAAAAGAAGTAAATTGATGTTCATACGTCTTCATCTTCACCACATTTCCTTTATTAATAGCCTGAATGAAAGAAAAAAAATCCATGCATGTACATGTATGTGAGATTGTTTGTGCAGGATTCCAATCATTGTTCATATGTAATCTATGTGAAAGAATATTGCAAGCAAATAGACTCCTTGCCAGTGTATCAAGTAAAGTACTTTCACTTCATAAGTTTCAATGTGAAACTCCCATACATTCACTTTCAACAACAAAAATGACGGCCAGCCCCTTCAGAATTATTTATAATTCTTGTACACTGTAGTTCACTAACTCTTTAAATGAGGAATCTCAATTGATATACTGCACTTCATTGGAGTGTGTCTGATGAAAAACATTCTGAACAACATACATTAACCATGTAGATTATGTATTGTATTATGATTGGAAACTTGCTATTTATAGTATGTCCAAATCAGCTGGTTTTCCTTTCACATGAAACTGCTGAGTTGGGCGTGATGCTATTAGTTGTTGTTTAGAGGCTTGGTATAGATTGAGTTTACCATTTCAGAATTCTTTCAAGTCTTTTGCATCATTTGATAAGAATGTTGACTTAATCACAACTATGTGGTGACATTCTATTTTTAAATACTGAATTTTGTAATTAACAAGATAATTAGTACAGTACTCTGATGCAATTTTTAATTTACCAAGTGAATGGTTAGCCAAAAAACCCTGATGCAATCGATTTTGAAGAATAACTGAGAATAATTTTGTTGTTGGTTCGACTGTCATCACAATGTTTTGCATTTCTTACCTCTCATTTTTATCCCTTCCCACCCCTGCCATTTGAAATTTCTGAACTTTCTGTGCATTGATTCAATACTTTTCTTTCTATATATAAATCTCCCATCTTTCAACTTTCTTTCTGATCTTTCTGGTTGCCTGCCTTCCATTCGATTGCTGTGCTGACACAAATGTCTGAATATTTCTGTCTTTCTCTAAACATTCCTAATTCTTTCATCTTCTGTAATGATATCATTTTGTCACTGTGTTTCACATATATCATGCATGCATTTGCTGTTCATGAATCATTTCTTTCTCTTTCTCTTACTCTTTCTCTTTCTCTTTCTTTTTCTCTTTCTCTTTCTTTTTCTCTTCTCTTTTCTATTCTCTTTCTTTCTCTCTTTCGCTATCTTGCTCTGTCTCTGCCTGTCTCCCATATCCCCTACTCACCCCTGCTCTTGCCCTCCCCCACCCCCTATATCTCTCTCATTCTCTCCCCCTCCCCCTCTCTCTCTCTCCCCCCCCCCCCCCCCCCCAACGCACTTTCTTTATTGGCATATTCATATGTCCAGATTCCCCCAAATACCACAAATGAAATCACCACTGTTCCATGGAGGCAAGAAATCTTAATCGAGCATACTGGGGAATGGAAGGCAACAGGTTATCGTGGATGTCCGCACACAGAGTTTCTCGATGTAAGCACTATCTACTCTCAATTTGGGGGATAAATTTTAGCTTTAAAATCATGATTTATTAGTGGACATGAAGTGCCCAAGTGCTTGTATAGAAAGGAGATGAAAACTTGATAAGACATGCACTCGATGAGCAAATTCAATGAATATTGGATACTAGAAATATAGGGGAGATTCGCATTTAAAATAATCTTTGAAACATACATGTTTCTATAAATCAATTCTTACAAACTTATGGCTATGATTTTTTAAAGATTTTTTTTGTATACCTATTTTTTATCATTGTGTGGGATATTTCTTTTTAAAATGAAGTGAATGATGAATAGTATAATTTACTTTAAGGTGTTTTCTGTCTAATGTAATGAACATAGGAAAGTGTATTAAGCTCTCCACAAAGACAAAAGTGATACTACTAAAAATAGAATGAGAAGTTTATAAAGTATATCTATGCTTAAATCACCCCATTCTATTTTGTTCACAATTGAAATGTTGCTATTGATGCAAGCAACACCATTGTTTCCCATTTATCATCTCTGATTCATTATTATTTAATCGCATCCAGTTTATGTTGTAGAATCACACCAGAATAGATTGGCTTTGCTTTACACCCGCTATGCTTTCATACTTCCAATAGATTTGTCAATACATTTGTGTTTTGATAGTATTATTTACTATTCATTAGCAATCTAAAGAAATCTAATTGCAAAGGAGAAAAATAGGAGAAGTTATGAAACATAATTTAGGAGGATTGCAAGTATTAGGCTATCATAGTTAATCATCGCTGTGTATACTGCTTTTGTTGCATATTTCAATTTAATAATTTGCACGGTAAAAAGATAACAATGTAGAGTGGTTTAATGGTCAATAAGTACATTAAGTACCATTAGAAGGTAGCTTGAACCTACTCTGGGCAATTCTCACGGTCGGTGTTTCAGTATCATAATATGAGGCAGGGTGGTCCACAAGGGGTTTAAACAATGTAAAAGCGACAGGTTTACATTTTTATTGTGACGGTTTAAAAATCAGCAACCGTTTAAAACTCATCCTCAACCAAAGTTATGAAATATTGGTCACAAAATGAGTTTGAAACTGCTTTAAAACATGTCTCAGATTGCAGAGTTAAGAGTCCTTCAAGCAAGCCCAGTAGCCTAGCCACAAAGGACTTTGTACTTTGCATACATCCTTTCATACTCCTTTAACCATCCAATTTTACATGTTTGAAGTTTTGTTTGTTGACCACCCGGTTTGAGGCTATTTTTATTTTAGCTCCATACCAAATAAGAAAGCACAAGTTGCAATACATGCATAAAGCATATACCGTATGTCTTGCTGCCCATGAAACTGTCATCAGCACCTAATGAAAATGCTAACTCAAGCTATGTCATAACATCTCTTATGCTCTGTCTCAACTTGTTTTGTGTTTGTATTTGCCCGTTCAAAATTATTCATTTGCTTATTGCCTTCCACCTCTTTTCACATCACCTATATTTAGACTTGCTACCCATCTTGTGTTTGTGAAGACAGTCGAAACAACTCCTATACATGTCTGAGAAGCATAGATGAAGAGAACAGTACAATTTACTGTGAATTCAGTGATACACAGGTAGAGTGTTGAATGCAGATCTAACCGGGAGTCTCTCTGGTACTATGTCAAGATGGGGATATAAGAAAAGAAAATATTCAATTTAAAAGAGAGAAGGAAAAAAAAATGTTTTCAAATATCTGGATAACTAGCCCAATTTATCAAATGAAAATTGATAAGAATCAAATGAATTTTAACTACCTTCTATGAATTGTTGCATTAACTCTGAAGATGATTCATTTTGGTACGATACATATTTTCCATAGACCCTCAACTTGAGTTATTTCAAGCTTGACATGGTGAATTCGGTTCTGAGATTAACCAATTGAACATTATTGTAAAAAGTTTTGAAATTCACTCATTTCTGATTCCCATCTTGCTGCCGTGCCACAGATATTTCCTTGAGTTGTGGTACTGCTACCGAAGCATTTAAGGCAATGCGCTGTGGATCTTAACTCATTTCCCATAAACGGGCAAGTGAATCCCTGAAAAAGATGCACAATATTAAAATTCATGAAAATGTGATCATGGATCAAAGAGACTTATAAAGAAAATTTCAAGTAGGTTTGGGTAGATGGTTACCATCAACTCTCGTCACATCTTTAGAACAGCTTCCAGTTTCTCTTTGGTATTCCTGGAAACAGTTTTGAATTATTTCACTGGACTAGCACATGCAGAAAAGCTTCCTTCATTTCAGATATAAATTCTCATTGAATTCATCAAAAGTGAGGGTTAGGATCCACATTAGCATTGCCTTTTAAGTTTGATACTGTAGTGATAACTACTAACTCCTGCATTATCTCCCTCTCTAGTCGTGCTTCCCATCCTGCGTTTGTGAGGATGCCAGAAATAATACTTACGAGTGCATACGTACTCTATCAGCCACATCAAGGGTCAACCATATTTACTGCAATTTTGCTGATGGAGAGGTAGTTTGCCCCTCCCCTCCCTCCCCCCCTCCCCACAATAATAAGGCAGGACACATTAAAATAAACATCTGATTGTGGCTGGATGTTCAGAGAGATGTGGCCTTATACTTCCTTGAAAAATAGCAGTGTTTAAATATCTTATAGAGGAATAAAAAGCCTTTGTCTTACAGGATATCAAACATCTTTTACTATGTCAAAACAACTCAAATCTTTGGCTTGGTTACAGTTTTTGTACTGATTTTAAAAATGTAAATTACTGGTAGGCATTAGAAAATTTGCAGGAAATGAAAATGTTTGATAGGTCTTTATTCTCTCTACAAAGTTTAATTTTGTACTTGGGACAGACGGACTAACACTTTACAGGTGATCATATATGCTTATTAAAGATGTACAGGTAGATGTCCTTTTATATTTCTTTTATTAATCACATTAAAGGCTTGTTCAGATATGGCGAGGTAAACCGTTGCACATACACACAAAAAATGGCACATTTCTTAACGGGTGTAATGAATAGTAACTGCGTGTAACAAAGGACTTGTACGTATTCACTGAATTCAGTAATGTCAAGCGTATTACACGTTATGTCACCATAAACAAAAAAGTGTTATTAAGCAGTTAACCCTGGCAGTTCTTTTATAGAGTGTTATGAAAAAAGAGCTGCCCACAACAAAGATCTTGCGTGTATTCACTGGGCTCTGTGATAGAACATATAGAAATGTTAACCGTATTCAATACACTGACATCATTATGAATTAAGCACGGCAGTTTAACAACTCATACCTAAACAAGGCTTTACTGATTAGGGATTGTCCTATCATACCAGTGGTGAGATGCTGGTTGCTTACTTACTCTTAGCAGTCAGGTAAAATATCCAACCAACCATACTGTTACAGGGTCATAATGAAGGTAAGTACAGGTTTACTGATTATGGATTGTCCTATTAAACCCATGGTGAGATACTGTTAGAGCTTTTATAATGAAGGTAAGTACAGGTTCTATCAAATGCATGTGCTCAGCTTCTTGTGCTGCTTATGCTTCACATGCTCGGTGTTCAGATCTCTACTCTTTCTCCCTTGTCACAAGTTGGTCCAAACTTAAAGGTAAAGACTAGTTATGGTCTAGCATCTAGCATCTGCAAGGTTCTGGAATCATCAAAATGATAAGAAATTTGGCCCATTCTTCGTAAAGTTACAAGCACTATACACAGAAAGATGTATATGGGACTACCCTATATCTCTCACAGACCATGAGAGAAACAAATTTACCAAATATATGAATTAGTAGGCAGTTTCCCGGCAAATTTGTTATCATCATGTATTAGTCAAAACATATTCTTTCACATGATTGGTAATGAGAGCTTCCATTTCATTTTTTGAAATTGGGGCGTTTCCAATACTGGTCTTTACCTTTAAAACTACCTCTTAGAAAGTATTATCAGTAGTCCAGAGGTAAAATGCAACAGATGATTATGATAAAACTGCACACCTGTTTTTTTTTTTAAAGTAATAATTAAGCATGAAAACTTGCTTTCAGCTACATAACTCGCCATCTCTAAATTATCCATCAAATCACACTGCTTAGCTAACCATTAAATTTGCATATGGATCAAGAGAGTATGGTTGCAAAGACTTTGTCTGGAAATTTGAACAAATTGGCTTTGTTTGTTGGAGCAGACATGTTATCCGTCCTGCGTGTGTGAGGACGCCCGAAACAATACATACACCTGTGTCAGGACGTCAACTTCACAAGAGAGCTACGTCTACTGTAACTTTGCAGATAATGAGGTATTTAAAGGGAGAATTGGTACTACAAACTCAAAGAATAGCAATGAATACAGTCACAGACATACTGAAGCTTTTCGTCTTCAACTCGGTTAAATGCGCTGAACGATACTGTTCATTTTGGTTTACAGTTCTCAGCAGAGCGAGATATTTCACTTATTTACATATGGTGGAAGCCGTTTAAATTCAGCTCACTGACTCTATTCTGTGCCGAAAGAAAGAAATCGAGAGACCTCTCATGTTATTCTAGCTGGCATCGATACAGCCCGTTTTCATAAACGGCTGGCATTACGTTTACTTTCTGGCAGCCAATTACAGCCTTTTATTTTTTCACACACTTTGTTTCTTTAGCTTCCACTTATTTTATTTAATATTGACTTTCTGTCCATTCTTGAGATCTACTCTGATGAGTGCGAGATGAAAAGCTTTAGAATGATGTATTTAGAAAATGGAGAAGAGAGAATGAAGGGAGGGCGTTTGGGACTATTGTGCTATAACTATCAGTAAAGACGTAGCATACAGTATTATTTAAGTTCCTCTTGTGACCTAGGCTTTTGTTTCAAAGAAATACCGGTAAGTTATTAATATCAAGTGCTCTTAATTGTCTACTACAATGAAGTCTGAACAAAGTTGTATTTTTATGAAGATATATCTTAAAGATATGGTATACTGGTATGCACAATTTTCCTCAAGGACTTGAAAACATTGTTTTTAGTGTACACATGATCACTGTGAGATACTGACTCCCGGTATGTTAAACTTTTTTTTTTTTTGTAGTGTTGAGAACAATTTTACATTTCCTCCAATTTCTAATGAAGATACATGTAGCAATTACACCTTAAACTTTGGATTGATGTATGTTTCCTGCTGCCAGAAGTAACATTTCTATGTTACAATATATGTTTGATATCCTGAAAGATAAAGACTTTGGCCTGGCCTGAATGGGAGGATACCTGCACCCCCTCCCCCATTATTACCTATTTAAATTTCGAACAATGACAACTATTCCCTTTGTCTGTAGAGATTTAATCTTTAAACAAATATAATCAAGTAAACATTTTTTTTTTAATGGAGAGTGATTAAAGGATGATTATTGAAGCCCGACAAATCACCTCACTCCATCAAGTTCTGTTTGGTAACTTGTTGTATAGTGTATACATGCCCTCCCCCCACAGCGGGCATAACATGTTAATATCTTGATCTCTGTATGTTTTTACTCTTCTGATCCTGTACATTTGGATCCTATTTAATTAAAAAGGATTTAAATTTAACCATAGGCAAGAATTATATGTGAGAAGGGACTTGGAAGTGGGTCCATGACCAAGAATTGAATTACTATGCTGATGTGATTTGTTTCATGTGAATTTATAGATTTTCCAATTTAAACCTCACGCGATCCTCACTTTTGGCATGTACATGTAGAAACAATAAATGTCTTCTGCAAGTAAATAACCCTATGCGTAAGGAAAGTATCTTGTGAGGGAAGAGAAGTCAGCAAATTTTGAAATGTGACAATCTGGTTTTTACTTCTGTTACCAACAAATTTGATTAGATCCACCCCTTTCCTGATTCAAGTAGTCTCAACAATGCCCCTGAAAAGAAAGTAGATTATCCATGTTAAGCTTGTTAAAGGTACTACATGTATGTCCCATTTGCAGGCCAAAAAAATGAAAAAGTTAAATTCCAACTGCATTGGAAAGATATTTAATACTAATTTAGAACTTTCCTAAAAAGGTGGAACTTGAAAATGTCTTCAAGTGGGAAAATAACAACTATTAGTTGTCAAATCGACTTTAGGGCTATAGAGCCCAAAAGTAATAGTCTTGATTTTCAGACAATTGTACCGAATAGTCATACATTTTATGCTGCGCAAAGATTCAATCAGTTTAATCTTGGCCATCACAAGAAGTGGGTTATTGATGTAGACAAATGCTCATGTACCCTTTACAACTCTTTTCATGTATGTTATTACCAAAGAAGAAAAAAAGCCAGTCAGTCACTCAATAGTGTCTGACAGTGAAGTCTAGCAAGTAAACGGGTTTCCTTGCATAATTTGAATATGAGGACACTGCAAACGTTTAAATTTCACAGATAGGACATACATGACATATTCATAATTCCTGCAAAGTTCTACAGAATTTGAGGTTGGCTGCAAAAGGGACATAGTACCTTTAATATATAAGCATTACATAAATCTATTAAATTTGTGGCAACATTTTAATTTTTGATAAAAACAATGAATGTCTAGGAATATGAACTGCTTACATTTCAGATTTTTTAAACTTTCAGATCAACATTTTTAATCGCATTCTGAATTATCCAAATTATCTTTAATTCTAATCATTACCTAAAATCGGATTTTAAAAATAATTTGTTAAAGTATATGTAGTACAGTCGGGTCCATGATTGTGGATACAAGTAACAGTTTTCTTGTTGGTTTTCCTCTACAGAACTTCCAAGAATTCTACAATGTCACAGCAGATCCACATCAGCTGACAAACACCATACACAAGCTGGATCCCAAGTTCATCACCTCCCAGAACGAGAAGCTAATTGTACTGAGTATGTGCAAAGGTCCATCGTGCAGGCAGCTTATACCACCACCACCATCACCAAGTTCAAAACATGGCAATTCAATCGATGGAGCTTAAAAGGCCTGGTCAAATCTCAACAATAATGATAACGATAAATTGCTCCCAAAACGCTGTTGTCCTCTTGGAAAAAGCATTGAAAATCATTGTTGTCGGTCAGATTTCAACAATTTATGCTGATGCTCCTCCTTTCAATGATTTGATTGTCTTGTAGGGATAGCTGGGCAAGGGATTCTTTTAGGACAAGCCTCAATGATTTGATTTGACATCAATTTTGAAGAAAAGATGGGGCAATGTCCATAGGATTTGATTCACAGAACCAAATTCTATCGTCATTCAAATTATTGAGGCATGACCACTTTTATGGTTATCATTATCGTTAAGTTGAATAGGCAAATAGCATATGATTATTGCTATTGTTGCATTGTTGTGGCTAGTGATGTATTAATTGATACAGTCAAAACTGGATAGAAAGGCTGTCTAAGGAAGACACTAAAATGGTCTTTATGGTAGGTAGTCTTTCAGTATGTTCCTGTAAAACAGGTTTCAATGAAAATTACTGTTTGAAGGTGAATTAAAATGCAGCCTTTCTTGTGTGAATGTCTTTATGATCAAGGCATATTGTGAAGTTTGCGCTGTTTATTATGTTCCGGCTCCTTTTGAATCATGATTATATGTGATTCATCAAAATTAATGTAACTCTGCAAAGTATTAGAATGACTGAAAGGTTGCTTTATATTAATGAAAATGAAGGAGATATTTACTTGTATTTATAAAGAAGAAAAAAAGCTACACTCATCTTATAGCCATTGCTATTCCTGTAAAAACACTAAAATATTTTGCTGCATTTCATTTTCTTGAGTATTTTGTTATGAACAAATGATGCAATCATTACAAATTTTGTGTTTTTACTGGTATGTAAGGCATTGCAGATTGGGGTATAAGATAAATTCAAAATTATTTTCAGCTTAATGAAAGATGTAATGATTATGTGCAAACAATGAGCAATATTATACTTGATATATTATAATTTGTTTTGTATATTGATATGCATGAGTAAGCAATATAACAACTTATTTTTTCATGGTTAGTTGGGTACGGAAGTTTTTTTTTCTTCATACCGCGTATCCAAGCAACCGTGCACATACCCATTGTCTCATTTGCTTAGCCACATGCATTTGACATGGAAAGATACGTGACTCAAATTAAGAGGAATGACTCCAAAAAAGAAAGGAATAAGATCACAAAACACCTTTCATTACATAAAGCAAATATCAAATTCTTATCGTCGTTCCATATGACATAAATATATTCTGTTCAAATTCAGAATTCCCTGGTCCTATTTATAGCTTGGCTTCGGCTTGTGTTCTTCGTTGAACTATAACATCATATCGGAAATTCTGAATTTGTCAGTTCATATGTTTCTCTGAATTCCGGAGCATTCAATAATTGTATTATACATGCATGTAATTATATTTCAAGGTGATAACAAGAAAGGAATGAATGTAATCAAATAATCAATCGTTTGGTATATTATGAGGTTGAGACATTAAATCTCATGTTACTCAGCATTTGCAGTGCATTTCTATTCCAATGTGAGTCAGTGTGACATTAATGTATCATTAAATCATTAAATCATTAACAGGTATTTTAACTGAAAATTCGGGCAGTTTGTCATGTTAGTATAAATTATCATGTACACTGCTGTTCATGTACACTGTTGTTGTATGTAGTATAGCCGAATGAACTTTATATCTGCTTTTATGTTTATTTTCTAGAGGCTTTATTATGTTCTTTTCCTTGAATGTCCTAAGCAGCTACCGTATACTTTTAAAAGATGCACATAAATGTATCATATTCTACAGTTGATGTGTTAACAGTATATCTCTGCACAGGTCAAATCTGTTGGGACTGGACAAAAATAGTTTGACTTAATCATGCAAAATTTGACTTAGGAAGTGTAAATAGCACATGATCTGTAAAGTTTGGTTGACTTACCAGTAGGTAAAATGTTCATAGAATATAACAAACGTAACTAGGTACATCACAACAAAATAGATTGTAAACTTATTATTATTATTTGTTTACATTTTACTCAAAGAAAGCTCTTTTCTTATTTCTCATGGAAGGAAAAGTTCCCTAGTTCAATCCCCAGATAGGCCCCCAATTTTAAGGTTAGGGTGGTTTAAAATCATGTTGAATCATCTACCCCCTACCTTAAACATTATTGTAATTTAATTTAATTGTTATTTGTCATACTTATCATTTACTTAGTTATTCCTATTTTCATTTTATTTTATTATAATTTTTTTTTGGGGGTGGGTATATTTTTTTTTTAAGCAGAGAGGTTATAATAAATTCATTTTTTGATTGATTTTATTGTCTATGGTTTAAATGTATGTTTTAACTTGACTATTGGAGAAAACAATTGATTAAGGTTAGAGGAGATTTATGGAGTGAAATTCACGGAACCATTCACTATCGAATGATGTTAAGTGCCCTCAAATTCTTGTCATATATCTGTCACATCATTGTGCATCAAACACAACTTTATTTATAATTTTTTAGTGATTAGTTTGCCAATATGTATATATTAGGTGCTTAGAGGTTATGAACCTCTGAGATTTAACAATATATATAGTAACCAATTGTAACAAAATGTAAAAAGTGTGATGGCTTGTAAAATATCTATCATCGTTATTGTATAAGCAAGTTCTGTAATACAATGTGTTTACAGTACAGTGGTAGCCGCACCAGGGAAATTAGTAATTTCACCAGCTTTCCAAAACTCTTCAGGAAATATATATGTTTTCTGTCAACTATCAAAAACTATCGGGTGGGGGTTGAATATTATTACCGATCACCTGTTGTATGTTTTTATTTTCCTTTAGAATACATAACTTCAATGATGCTTGTACATTAGCTGACTAGAGGGTAGTGTCTCCCTTGTGCCGCCACTGTATATGTCACTCACATTTGCAATTTTTCTCTTTGTATTTGTGATGCAAACATTATATATTGTGTTCTGTGCCTAAACAAAGTTTAAGGTATTGTACTTGTTAGTCATAGAGAACTTGCACTCTCACTGCTCAGCAAAATTATTTTGATAATTCATGAATTTATTATTTTTGTAGATTAGGACCCTGTCCTATAATAATAATAATAATAATAGTGGGTTCTTGTATAGCGCTCATGCCAGTCAGATTTAACCCTCCTGAGTTGTGATTGATCTGGATTCAGTGATGGCTACTTTGGCTTTTCCTCAAATCAATCTCAAACTCTTCTGTCTTAATAGTGGAGAGTTGCAGTTGATATCAAGTTGTGAACAATTTAATTTATAAGACAGGGCCGAGATGTATCAGATTTATTTAGACATTCTATGTCAGTTCCTGTCTCTAAAATCGTTCATGTTTAGTACTTGTCAAAATGATTTTCGAATGTACACCATTAAATGCAAACCTATTTTGAATGGATTGAGTCATGAATTATCAATAGCCTTTATTTACTCAGACTGAAAGGTAGTACATGAACACAGTCTTGATCAAGTCATGGAATCCCTAGTGCATATGCAGACAATGATCTAAAAGTAGAAATTACATTTTTTCTTCTTCACATAGGCCTGAGATATGTATAAGAGGAAATAAAATTAGCTACAAGTATTCAGGATGCCAGGCTAACATGACATGTTAATCTGATGTCTATTGCAATCTTCCTCTTCTCCTTCTTATTCTCCTCTTTCTTCTTCTTCTATTCCTCCTCCTCCTCCTCCTCCTCCTCTCCACTAGCCTATTGATGATATAAATTTCCAAGTTTCCTTCTAAAAATCTTATTTCCTCACACCAGTATCCAAGTTATATTGATGGTAACATGCGCGTACACAGGGGGTGTTTTTGAGGTTGGGTTACCCCCCCCCCTCATTTTTTTGTTTGTTTTTTTGTTGTTGGGGGGGGGGGGGGTCGGGGACACTGATTTTAAAAAAAATGTAATGCTTTTTATAACCCTCCCCCCCCCCCCCCCCTACTGAGCGAAAAATCTGTCGGCACGATTTTCAATTTTCAAACGCCCTCCTTGAAAAAAAATCCTGCGAAACGCCACTGGATAGTAATTTTTCAGTTAAATCATGAAAAATGTGAATAAAAGTAGGATATCAAAATCAATTATGATAATGAAAATATAATATTCAGAAAATAGTATCAATTCTTCAAAGTTCTTAAAGATTTTGTGAAATTTCATGCACGCCATATGATACAAATCATATAACCTGGGCAAAATCAAGTTTTCAGTGGGGATAAAAAGGAAAATTAATGGGATTAAAAATATATAAAGCGATTGATAAATGGTGAGGCAATGACATCACAAACTGATAACCAATTTAGCAATTTGTGTAGTGATTTTCATAATTTGAAAAAAAAATCTTAATTAAGTTATACGATTTTACTCAAACTTTCTTGCTCTGTTTCTCTTCATTTTTGGAGTGGACTTAGGCCGTGTCTTTTTATATTCAGGCGCGTACGCAGGGGGGGGGGGTTGAAACCAGTGGCGGATCAAGGAGGGGGGCCTGGCCCCCCCCCCCCCCCCCTTGAGAAAAAAAATCATGTAAAATCACGCGATTTTTACCTTTTTGGGGGGTGGGCCCCCCCCCCTGGCGCTCAAGGGGGGGAGTGCAAATGAAAAATATTTCGAGGATCAGAAAGAAAAAAAAATGCTCACAACCCCCCCCCCCCCCCCCCCCCCAACTGAGCGACTTTTCGGCCGACGCGATTTTCAAATTTTTCGGTAGCAAAAAAAAATTGTGCTCACCCCCCCCCCCCCCCCCCCCCCCCCCCCCATTGAGCGACTTTTCGGCTGGCGCGATTTTCAAATTTTCAGGAGCAAAAAAAAAAAAAAAAGTGGGCCCCCTCCCCTAAGAAATCCTGGATCCGCGCCTGGTTGAAACCCCCTTTGGTTTTTTTTTTTTTTTTTAATTATTTAAAAAAAAAAATTATGCCAATGGCTGACCTAAAAAAGTTTACTTTACTGGTCCTTCTGAACGATGAGTCAAATCACCGGCCATAATGCCCTTAAAATGAAAATATTCGTCGTTTTAAGACACAAAGAACGATTGAGTCTATACTCTGACATCTGCATTTCACCCTAACCCTAAAGTAACCCTAACCCTACGATTTGTGAAAGTGACAGATGGATGCGGGGGGGGGGGGGGGGCCGCTTGGGTTTACATCAGCACGTACCACTGATCTCTACGGAAAAATCTGGATATCCGATTGGCCAATCACAGTGACGCGGGTCGGCCGCCATTTTACCACTCACAGAAAACATCGAGCGAACGCTATTTTCTACTTGTTGTATAAATTCATCGCTTGAGACTCGTGAATAAATTGACGGAAAATGCCTGCATGTGCAGCTGTAAAGTGCACAAATCGGCAGTTCAAAGGTTGTGGACGAACATTTCACCTGTAAGTACGACTCATAATGCGTAGTAATGTAAGAAATATCAGTGGCACGTACTAAACGATTTACTAGCGACAAGGGCCTTTCCTTAACGGACCAATCAGAGAATGGCAACCGGTCTGTCGCGAGTAAATCGTCGTACTAAATGGTCCGCCATCTTAATCCGGGCAATCTAGTGAGATTCATTCCACGGTTCCTCCCTTGCCAAGTTGGGCAGTGTTTTGAGAGAAAATCATGCCAGATTCTTGTGCTGCTTTTGGATGTAAGAACAGACGGAAAAGAGGCACTGGTGTCACCTTTCACAAGTAATGTTGTCAAATGTTAGGCTCTAAATTAACGTTAGAAAAAGGGTTAGATTCTAAAAACTTATCGTAAAGTAAGAGTGAGAGACCCACAGAGACCATGTCCACATATGGAGAGACTGTTATGTCGTCACTTTGAAGTTTAAGAATCTGTTTTACAATGCCTTATTGTGCTGCATACAAGTGTAGAAGTCGTGCGGCGAAAGGAGTGAAGAAAACATTTCACAAGTGAGTTTGTAAACCTCAGGTCTAATTGGTGGTTATTTGTGACAAAATTTTGCAGTAGGCCTAGGCTAGTCCCAACTATTGCAAACTACGTTGGTGGTTTTGCGCATTACTGCCACTGCACTGGTGGTAGTGCAGCATGCAGTGCAGCAGTGGTAGGTAGGCCTATATTCTAACACACATTGCATAGCAGCATGCAGCATTACCTTCCTGGCCGTGTAATTTCAGTACTTTCATGCAATATTTTATAAAATAATCTGTATGATACTGATATGATAAACAGTTTAATGAAACATTGTTCAATGTTGATTACAAATAAAATAAGTAACAAATGAAACTTAGACTTAGATCTAGATCTAGTCTAGGGGGCCGTTTCTCGAAACCGTCATAACTACAAGATCAACGACATCTCGCCACTGTCGCGCAACTTGTCAGCTAAGTGTTTCACGAAGCCGTCTTTGCCAAGATGAGCGACAACTTCCGCGACAAGCGAGTTGTCACTGCTCCGAACCTGTCATATCTTTTTAATTGCTGTAAAGCGCCATCACAAGTCAGTTTGTTGCCATTCCATGGGCCGCGAAATGGACGATTAGTTTCACTATCATTTTGAGAAAAATATAGACGAGTTCGGTACGTAATTCTCTGGGATGCGAAATGCAAATGTACAAAAATGAGAATACAAATTATACAGAAACTTTAAAAAGCTGAATATAAACATTAAATCACAAATCATTAAACTATATCATATAAATAAGAGAGGTAAGAATGTTACACACCGTTTTCCATAGTCGATCCAGTCTTTTCTTAGGATACCGTCATACCTTTAGGGCCTATGTGCATTATTATTCCCTCTCTAATTACTTCTTCCAAATTATATTTTCAATATCAAATCAATTATATAACGAGTATTTATGAGACTCTAGATTAAAAACTGGCTGAGAAAAGACATTTTGCCTCAAATTCCTCTTCACAATAAACAAAAAATTATGTATTGATAAACTATCACATTACGGTATCCTTCAACTAACTTTTGATTCGACTGTCGAAAAAAAACACTCACCGGTTTTTCTTCAATTTAAGAATCTTTACAGAAATATGCAAATCGTTTGATGATGTAAATATGATAATGACACTATTTATTATTTATTTTAGGCGAATTTATATGTATATATATTTCTTTTTGAACAATTTTAGCCCCAAAACTTGTTTTGGGTTATTCTTGATAAATCAAATGGATCGTGACAAAGACTATGTTCTTGAGCTGCTAGTATCGCAATATATCGATATCATGTCTGTCATGGCTTTGTGAAATGGTTTATCCGCTTCATGACATCTCCGTAGGTCGCCGACAAAGATATGACTGTCATGGAGTTGGTTTCGAGAAACGGCCCCTAGATCTACATCAAATTAATAAAACTTTGTTCCGTTGGTGAATTTCCTTGGTTTTCCAGGTGTTTGAGACTAGATCTACTTTTAGTTTACCGATTAGGCCACCCGTCTTCAGCTTTGTTCTGCCGCTTTTTAATTTTATGACTTTTTTTCAAAATGAACGAAGGGAGACCTCAACGCCCGATTACATTACATTTGATAGTTATTCTAGCTGCTAATATGTGTGCCCCAAAGTATTAATTTTCATGTTCATTAATCGTGTCCACATTCATGATCACAATCAGCTTGTCATCATTTATCATATTGTTATTATTACACTACTACTATTTTGTATTATTATTGGTATTAATAATATTGTTATTTTGATTATTTTTAATATTACTGGTATTGTTATCATGATCATTATTACTATTGTTATTATTGTCATTATTATTTTGATATTGTTGTTGTTATTATACAACTCACGCTTTGATTCTTATCAAATGATTGGTCAAATGCATTTACTGAGACTAGTTATCACATTTTTTTCTTCCATGAAAAAACATGCAATAAATACCAGTACCCAACGATTTTTATGTACACGATGCGCAGTATTTTGGGGGTTGTCCTATGTTTAGGCTCCATGTGTTATCTGTCAAATAATCATCTTGATGAATATGATCTAACTGCTGTGTAATACCTTGTAATGTCTTGAATTTGATACGATGGATAGGAAATTACTGATGCACAATAGTGACTAGACTTATTTTTGAAGAATTCTTCAGATGTGGATCAGATCAGTTTGATATTTTCAAATACCCATAGTCCTTATCTATTTCATTTTGTGTTTTAATTTCATAGGTTTCCTTCGCGATCTCCTGAATTGGTGAGAGAATGGGTGAAGAGAATTGGCAGAGGATTAGCCTGGGGACCATCACCAACAGCTGTTCTGTGTTCCGATCACTTCCATGAAAGGTGTTTTGATCGTACGGGACAAACAACGAGACTACGCAATCTTGCAATACCAACCATCTTCCCATTTAGTATTTCAAAGGTAATCAGAAGAGAAGACACGTAACAGCACACTTTAGCACTGCACAGTTAACCTTTATAAATTAATACTCCCACCCTCTTCATGGTCGATTCCTAAATTATTCCCCACACCATCGATTGAACAGAAGCTCTGAAACTCACTGAATCAATATTTGAGCCAAAAGAAACAGCGCTATCTAATCATCATTGATGAAGAACTAAAAAAAAAAAACAGTATTGCCAGGCGGAAATAATCTTTTCAGATTGGATAGCCTAAAAAGTAAACCCAACAACAATAACATGTATATTATTTATGTACATTGTTTTTACTGAATTAGTGAATTTATATGTGATTCAGAGTAAACCAATGAATATCCTTCAGTAATTCTGCATGCCAATTTGAACCAGCTGTAAAAAACTCATCAACCATGCTTTCAACTTGAATTACTCACTGAATACAAAAATAATCACTTATTTTATTACATTTTCTTAATTGTAATGTTGTATGTTTATCGGTAACTTTAACTTTTTGGATACTACAATCAACTTAACTTAATTTCTCAGACTCTCTCTGACATTAGATAAAGGTCATCCATTAATATTAGGTCAAAGGTTATCGTTGTAGTTGTGAACAGAAGTCAATTTTACTTGAAAGTCACGTTCATGATTTATACACTTACAGGATATAATTTCTTTGGTTGTGAATGAGAAATATTGAGTACCACCTTTTTTCCCATCTATTTTAGAGCGGAAAAGTGCTGGACATACCTAAGTCTGGAACTCTTTCATACCTGGCCAGAGCTTTGGAAATCGCTGAGCTGCCTGCAAATCACATGTTTATGAAGTGTAAAGATACAGATACAAGCAACAGTGTTTCCACAGGTTCCACTTCAAAACCTACCACTTCCACCTTGCCCACTTCGGCACCTGACAGCGATTCTCAGTCAAAGTCTGGGAAAACCAAGACGAAAGAATTCACACATGATCACACATACAGTATAGTCAATTGTCCCAAAGATGTGAAGCACAAACTAGATATCATCCACAACCAAATGGATCTGATGAGTAGGAAATTAAGACGAGCACAGACGAACCAAAAGAGACTCGGTGCGAAAGAGAAATCTTTGTTACGTGAGGTGAAGATGCTTAGGGCCAAACAACAAACAGCCCTTCAGAGGATAGAAGAGATCAGTGACAGCTTACATTTTGGTCTCTGAGATATTGTGTTTTCTACATGGACTTATGCGTTTCAAGATGAAATCAGTGGATTTCAAAGTAATACGTGGTGATTTCAAGGTCATGTGGTTTTCTTGGTGCTTATGTAGATGGTCTATGGACAATCGTACACATCACTATCAAGTACCAACCACCCTGCAAGCTGCAAGAGGACAAAAAGTTTGGTTCTTCAATTATATATATGGTTCTCGTTTAGAAATTCCCAATCAGTCTTCAACTTGAGAATGGACCGGTTTACTAATATATTCAAATTTATTTTAGGGATGTTTCTTTCCTGGGGACCTAGTGACGAGTTAATTAAACTTGCTATTAATGGATGAACTACAAAATTTGGAATGCAAGCTGCATACATTATTGATTGCTATGTCTGGCATGTCTCAGGCAAGCTTTCAGGTTTTCAAGACCAACCTACAGTGTATGTATAAAAGGTATGCATACTTGCATAGAGTTTGAATATGTTAGCAAACCTGTCTATTATTGACATGTTGACTCGAGAATTATTGACATGTTAGAACCTTATATATAAATTATATTATGTATTGTTATGAATATGCAAATTTGCAGTTCAGAAGCAATAAATCGGGTGAACAGAACAAATTTATCAGTAGCTGATTGATCCTTGAAAAGTATATGTAATGCACGATCTTTGATTTCTCCAAAATGATGACATTCCAGAGCATACCGGTAGGCTGATTTTCATTACAAGGAATTGAACTTTTTAGTCAAAGTCATTATGTTAATAAAGGTCAGTAATTCCAATGATTTTTATGCCTCCGTTACGAAGTAGCCGGAGGCATTATGTTTTTAGGTTGTCCCTCCGTCCGTACGTGCGTACGTCCATACGTCCGTACGTCCCGTTCTCGTGATCGCGTTATCTGAAGAACCGATTGATGGATTCCTGCCAAACTTTGGTCATATATGCATCTTGTAGAGCTGATGAACTGATTAGATTTTGGGGTAATATCAATGTTTGTATAGATGCAAATAGTTGTTTAACCGGTAACTTATTTATGATTTGTGAATAAATTGATATTGCTGGTTTAAACATGATTCTGATTTAATGCTTCATTTATTTAGACATCATAATATTTGTGCTTCTCTGTTTATGTGTGGGTGAATTGTGAGTAAAGTGAGTAATCCTTCATCACTGTCTGCAATGCCCGGATGAAGGGGGCGGTGTACATGTAACAGGAAAACACCTCCCTGATATAACAACTAAAACCAAAAATGTGGGTTATGACATTTGGCAACATGCCAAAATATTAAAGCCAGCGATGAATGGAAGATGGCGATTCGCAGTTCAGAGAAAAACACATCATCAATGATGATGATACCCCACTTTTAGTTGTAAATGACACTAGACCTGGGATTGCTTGCTCTTACACAATGGGATAGGGTGTGTCCTGTAAATGGAGGGCATTGGTATTGTGGGTGAGGTAATTACAAATCTAACAACGTCATCTTTTAAAGGTAGATTTGATTTATTATAATTTATAGTTTAATGTAGAATAGTGAACAAAACACAACAAGAGACAGATGAACAGTGCAATGAATAATATCGCCATTTATTCTTAGCAGGATTGCTTTAGATATTTCAACATGTCAAATACTTGACAAGCATAATTCAGCGACATTTAGCTTAAAATACAATTATTCTGCATATTATATTTCTTTGATATTGCTGCTTGAAATATATAAATACATATTTTTTTAAATATAAAAATGTAGATAAACAGATGCGTGGAAATGGTTGCTACAATAAGTACATACATGTATATGTAATTTCTTCTTTGGCGTTGTCCAAGGCTTTGAGAGCAAGTGACAATTAATACAAAAATAAAATCTTTACATTGTTTTTAACAGATAACGTTAAGGATTAACTTTCAAGTATAGACAAATTTATTTGTGCATACATGTACATACTGCAACTATACATTGTATCAGTTAATAAGCGACACATGTTCATTCTCAAAGATTTTAAACTTTGAACAATTTTGCGCTAATTGAATACTTGAATGCATGATATAAACATAGTTTTGTAATTGTTATGTAGCGATACAGATTTAAGAATTGACATATTTGTGTCTAAATTAGCTGTACTATCTGTGCTTTTTCCATCTTGCTCAATCTTATACCCATGCATATTTATATTGCAAGTTGTATATATTTATCAACCAAGTAATATGCTTACATTGCCTACAAAATCACAAATTTATACCTTTAAGTGTTTTCAAACGTTCTACATAACATAACAGCTGGCACAACTCAGTGGAGTACTGATGACGTTGAATAACATTCACAGAATTAAAAAAATAAGTGAATTAAGAGAATAAGATACGCATAATTATTCCCAAAATATAACGTATTTTGATGTAAAGCTTGAGCATTAAAGGGACTTGGTAATATTGTTCAGATGAAAGAAAATGGTACTAAGGTAGTAACTGCAATGGTAGATGTAAAATTAAAGATAATCTGAAAGTTTGAGTGAAAACAGACCATTATGATAAAAGTTGGGAAAAACTGATCTGATCGATTCCTTACCAACTATATTATCACAATTCAATAACATTTTGGGTGAATGTAAATCCTCACAAAACAATGAAATGGCTCTATAAACCATTCCAGACATTTAAGTGTTGAAAGATTTGTTAAAGCCTGTCCCATGTCTTATCTGCATGTAATAAAGTTATATGATCCAATTATATTTTCTTTATCAATATTGCATGTTCACATATCAAAAGGGGTTTATATATCTTAGTACAGGAAACCACCATCTTTAATTAGATTAGTGATCAATTGCAAGCAATCTGACATCTTCTCAATCTCTATTGATACAATATAATGAATGCAATTGCTTGCTACACAAATTTTGTTCAATTAATGAGCTACTTTCTGTATACAATCATTTCGATATATAAAGGGATTTCATGATTTGCATGGAAGGGATAATGGTAATTGTGAATATTGACCTAAACATGATGCTTTTACCAGGGAATATGTTTAATTGATGGTTGAAAGTTACGATGGTTGACCAGAGTGTGGTTGAAGAGAGTGTTTCTTAGTGGAATATATTTACGGTGCAATATGGTGATATATATATCACAATATGGTAAAGGCTGTATCCAGTGATTTGGGTCTCAATGTGGTGCTGATCTCAGCATATCCCGTTATATGGGTATAGGTGGTCAAGTTTCCAGCTCATTTTTCATATTCTCTCCACCACTACAGCTTCGTGTACCTGTTGTTACGAAAAAATAGTACGGTAATGGCCGAAAGTATGTTGCACATTCTGCAGAAACATCCGACTCAACACAAATTGTATAATTATAATTTTATGATTCTTTTTTCATGGCATGTGAGATCCTAAAACTAATCAATTTCAAGTCTTTACACGAGTACTGCATGAGAAGCAAGTATCTGTATAAGCAAAGGTTTTTATCATAAATAAGAGATACCAAAACGAAAGTATTTACCTCTAAACTAATTTTTAATTGGACGTATGGGAGAGGGTGTAATTTCGACAGAAAGTTAATGAAGTTGATGGGACACAATATGATTCTGAAATTCTAACAGCGCTCTGCCTTATATATTACTGGCATAATAGTGCATGAAAATGTCATGAAATTCAAGGAAATTTTATAATTTGTAAAAAGATAATTTTGACACATATATATAGAGGAATTGTAGGACTCACCATCGGTGGTTCGTGAATGCATACCTATCCATGAGAGCGTGCATAGACAAAATATTAGTCGCGATTAGTAAATAATGATGAAGATATCATTATACTCACAATAGAAAACTAGTTTTCCCTCCTAGCAGGTGCAATTCAATTTGAACATATAATACATCTGTATTTTTTTTTATACAGGACCGCCATTCACACGCATGTATGGACTGAGAGGGCTGCAAGGTTGGGAGAGTGAAGTACATGTTTCTGATATCTGATAGGATAGAAATTTGAGAGATTGATGCAATGAAAATATCAAATGGAAGTGATAGTAGAAGGAAGATAATTAACTTTGAATGTAGGCATAAACATGTAATGCAACATGGTAAAGAAGAGATGATCCAATGAGGAGAAAAACTGCAGTTTGCAGAAAAACACAGGCTTCACAAAATGCATCCAAATGTTCATTAGAAACATATCTATAGAGTTATAATTGCATACAGGTTATGAGTTCTTCCAATCACGTCTAAAAGTGTCCATTGCATTCAACATAATACAATTTACAATACCAGTAATTCAAACTTGTGAACATCCTAAGGTGGATAATAGGGCTGAACTTAGAGAGCTTAATGACATGCATATTTCGTGAGAAAATAGATTTTCGGGGGAAAAGTTGTCCCCCGTTTTCTGACATTCTTTGATAGGACACGGAGTACATCTACATCACAGCACTGTGATATATATATCTCTATTTAGCCAGTATCCTTCACAAGAACAAAGTACATGTTTAATATTGACAAAAAGTATAATGACGTACCTCAGTCAAACTGACTTCAGACCCACTCCAAAATGACCAATTCTTAGCCAATCAGGGTATTGTTTTGTTACCTTTATTTAGCCTGTTTTCGGTCTGATGTCGATCTTGTTGATATGACTTGAGTGTATAGGATAGTTACATGTAAGTCATTGTAGTCGGTAACTAGCATATAATTTAGTTTTCCGATTGTTAAGCAGTACAAACGCCAGACCGACAACAGACGGAACAAAAATGTAATATCCCAAAATGGTGTCGGTTTGTTGGTGTAACTGATACCATAATCACACCAACGAGACCAACACCAGACCGACATTGGCCCGAGCAAAAAAACCCACTTCCCCCAATTGCCAACAAAAAACCATGGTTCATTTGAAATCGTTTTGCTAGTGTCCTTATGGTGTGATTGAGGTATAAATGTAGTACCTGAGATTGGAGTCTGAGAAGGATATCAATACCATACATCGGGCTTCCAGGCTCACCATGCGAAGGTGATAGAGAGTGACATGGAGAAACAACATGCGAAGGAGAAACTACCGACTTGGAACTCTACATTCATGTAGCATCACATGGTTGTTTTCAGAAGACAAGACGTTTGTGGGATGCATTCAGATAAAAAAAATAGAAGGAAAGTAAGAGAGAGGAATAAAAATCGAAGAGGAGTGTGAGAGAGAGGGAAAGGGGATAGAGCAAAATGATGAGAGAAAGGAGAGGGGAGGGAGAGTAAGAGGAGGGAAAGAAGAAAAAAGAGAGAAGAGGTGAGAGGAAAAAGTGTAAACAGTGAAAGACCCATAAGAAAAGAAGAATGAAAAGAAATTTCACTACTATATCATTAGTAATAAACACATACATCATAATCATGTTGTATAGGGCATCAAAAAGTGGAACTATCGCACAAACATACTCACACCAAATCACTATGAATAGGATACTGACACAAACCACTTACAAAATATAATAATCATGCAAATAAAAACTGTAGCAACAAAAAACAATTAGATGAAATATTTATACACTTTAATATCATTTTCTGCAAGCAGATGTGTGATTTTGTTCAAGACTCGTGATTCAAATAGAAGAAGGCACAGAAATAAAATTTAAAAAACACTTTTCTTTTCAGCTAAAGGCAATAGTTGTGTGATATAATTCCGAGGAATTATTGGCAATGCCATCAGTATAAAATATTCTCTTGTTAGCAGATATAGATTATGATTTGATTAGTGTGATTTAACAAAATTCTAATAATGTTAAAAATCATAATAATGCATTTAACTTATCAGCACCTTATTAAACAAAAATAATTTTATAGTATTCATGTATTCAGTAGAAATTATCAGCACTTAAAAGTCATAAAAATTTAACATTGTTTCAAATAATGGTCACTGAAATGTTGATTACTTAACCTAAAATCTACACTCCGTACATGTATTCAAGCAAATATTAGACATAAAACTAAATAATAAGGGAACAGGAATCAGAGATCTTAAATTTTTAAAACTAAATTGTCAAGTAAAATATCACATAAAAACTCAATATATAGGCACTTGTCATGTAACTTATTTCAAGGACAATTCAAATAAAAAAATATAAATCATGCTGGATTTATGTGCAGTAGGGAAGAAAATGTATTTCGCACAAATATCAAACATAAAACTAAATACTAAGGACAACAAGAATCGACAACAGGAATCTACAACAATAGTAAATACATCAGACATTCCTGAAATATCCAGCGCATTACCAGTATTCAAATGGGTGATAAGACAAATTATGAACAGGATTTCGATAACTAAAAATTGGCAATAACATACCAAGAAGAAAAAAAAGGGACAATACAATGACAAACAGATTTAAAACAAAATACCAATAGCAAAATAGAAAAATGATAACAACTGTGCTAGTTGAAAAAGGATACATGCACTTGGACAGTAAAACATTGGGTACAACAAAACTTAAACCACCTAACATCATTAAGAAATTGTTTCTTGAGAATAAGAAGACCATAAAGTGACAAGTGCATCATGACTTTACTTGGAAGTTGTACAAGTCATAATTTTGGAGAAATTATGAAGTTTGTATACATTCAAACTTCCTGCATAGCTCAACTTTACTAGCAAAGCAAATCTAGGATAGTACTGAGTATTTGTATATATATACTGGTATGTTAAATATGAGCATGAATATTTGAACTCTAAAATCATCACATCATTATTAGCAATGTGGTTTATTTGGATAATGCTGACTTACTGCATAATAATATTTTGCTGAACTGTAATAGCATTAGATTGAGGTAATATTTGAAATTGTCCATCTATAATTGCACCTTGTTCACATGAAAAATATAATCAATGGATACAATTTTCAAATATACAAATTATTTGATATATACAAATATATAAAATATACAACCATAAAAAAAAGAATGTTTAACATAGGAATAAGTTCTACCGGTATATAAAAACAACTAGATGATGAAATACCTGCTACAATTTTCTATCAGTGATAAGATTGTTATTTAGTAGCTTTCTCGATATCCATTTTTTATAAAACATGAAAACTTTTACTACTTGTACATTCAAGCAAAAAAATACTCAGTACCATAAATGCATTTAACTGAACTTAACACACTAGCAGTGGTGGAGGGTTAGAATGAAGTGAAGGTAAAAGAGTGACAATATTTTTTTGACAAAGTAAACTTATAATCACACAAGTCTTGTTTTAAGTTTGAGACTAAGATAAATATGCACACTTCATGGAAACTCATTTGTCATACTAAACTGTATTGCAGCAAGAAAAAGGTAATTATACACATGCAATTGTCATGTCATTACGTTATAGTGAACTACTATTTTGTCCACTAATTCATGCACTCGCTCAATTAACAGAAATTCTTACATGCAGCAAAAGATGAAAGACTAGATTAGACAAGCAAGCAAACCATATTAGAAAGGAATCTGAGACAATGATAAAAACATCACAATATATATATATATATTATATACTTTTAGAAAATCATGAAGAAAATGTAGGGGGCTAAACTAAAATTTGAATGAGATTCTGAAAAGAGATCCTGCTTAGTCCAGGTAATCTTCATTACCCTATTAAAGTAGACTAGCTTTTACCCATTTGATTTGATTACGATATAATATGCATTTTCCATAAACTTTAACATGAGTTATCTTTGGTTTAGTTTTCGATGGGTTAATGGCTCGATAGAGGTAATTTCTGGTACATTCATTTACCAAAATACTATACAAGATGGGATTGAAAGAATGTCAATAATATTCTCTCTAGGTATATAATATTTAGAAATAATAATAACTGGAATTTCAAGAGAACAATAAGTTCCCTCACGACATTCCATAAAATGTTTGCATGTTCATTTTCTTGCCACATAAACTTTTTTTTTCAGAGACCGCTTCTCCTTGTCAAAAACAAAAAACAGAGTAGACAGAGAGGAATCTCCTAATCTACTATGTTACACAGCCATACGCTACATTCACCCATGCAAGTGGTTTATGTCGGTATGGTCTTCATTTCATTAGAAGAATGTATATCATAGCTACTTTTTGACGGCCCCATGCAACTTTGATTCTTTGAAGTGGTATATTTATGTGACATAGCTATGTTTTGTTGGTATTTCATTACTATCAACCCTCTAATTAGTTTACGTACTGGTAGGTGTGGTTTCTATCTCCATAGAGGAATATTACATCATAAATAATTTTTGATAGTCCTACCAACCCTTGTAGGTGGGGTCTTCCTCTCATTACAGAGATGTACATTATACAACTATCAACCCTTAAGTTGCTTGATGTACATGTAGGAATGATAATTATCTAAAAAGAGGAATGTTATATCATAGCTACATTTTGATTGACCTAAATATCTATAACCCTATAATTAGTCTATGTAGGATTCGCTTTTTCCTATTAAAGGAATGCATATGATGACTACACTTTGATAGCCGTACACGACTATCAAGTGGTCTATGTAGATAAGGTTTTTCATCTCATAAAAAGGACTGGAGGACTGCATATCACATCTCTTTCTGATGGCCCTTCACAACTATCGAGACTCAAAATGGTCTCTGTACATGTAGGGGGCAGTCTCTATCCTAATAGAGGAATGTTACATCATACAGTGTAGCTACTTTGTGAAGGTAATCCACTACTATCAACCCGCTAAGTGATCTAGGTGTAGCCCAAGTGTTATCAGTATCTCATTAATGTATATTATGGCTATTTTTTTAAGGCATGAGCGCGGATCGCTGCCTGCACCTTATGCCAGCGTGTGGTGTTACTCTCGGTGGTCTTCTTACGCCTCTCGGCATCAGCCTGGAGGTAGCGCACCTGGTTCTTGAGTTCTGCGTCCCACACCAGGGCATAGCTGTAGTTGGATTCTAACCAGAGCAAGAGGGATGGAAAGGGTAAGCATCATAGGAGGATGAAAATGTTTCATATGTCATGGTTAAGTACATAATCTTATACTTCATAGGGTTTATACACGGAGTACAAACATACTGAGCAGTAAGAACAAGAATTCATCTGGCAACCTGTGCCTATTTTTGTTGCACTTTCAAATGTTGGGTTGTCATCAGAATGTTAACAGTAGACAAGCTCAGAAATCATGAATTGCCAAAGCATTAACACTTCAAGAAAATTCAGATTCATATAGCACTTAATGAATCTCTATAACAGTACCTGACCAGTTTCAATATGACATTTTTTCCCCTCATATCAAAGCATTGCTTTTTAAGCAAGTGTTAGGAAAATTTATCTCTACAGCATCCACTTTATTAAGTATTTTTCAATAATTGCTTATTCATTTCAAATGTTTCATCTACCGGTATGTCTTTCATCAAATAAATAAATTATAACTATCAGATTTTTCACAGGCCTATCTGCTATGAGTGCCAACAACATATTTTGCTCAAATACATCGCTAACACATCAAATAGATCTAGAGTTTGATTTGATTTGATTTGATTTGATTTGATTTATTTATTTCTGTTTGATTTTCTTTTTCTTTTGCATTTTTACAAATATATAACAAACAAATATTGCAAATTTACACATGACAAAAGAATATATGTAGAATAAGGTAAGGCTGGGTGTAACTAATCGAGAACATCAAACAGGAGGGTTGACAAAATAAGCAAAGCTTGATAGTATGACTACCCTCAAAGGATACATAATAATACAAATATGGAAGAACAAAATATTGGTAAAAAGGGGGAAAAGACAGAAAAAAGAAGAGAAAAGAAAGAGGGGATGCACATCAATATTCACAGACTTATGTGGTAGTTGGATTTCAAATTGATATATAAAGATTTTAAATAAGAAAAGAAATGCAAATTTGAATACTGAGTGGCCAACTTGGGATACAATAGAATGAGAAGACTCTCAAGGTTCGGACAGTAAGAATGTGAAAGTAAGATCAGCCAGCTGGTTTTAAACCTGGGCCTGCGAGTCAGAGCCTTGAAATGTTTGTATAGAAGACAGTGTTTATTCAGTATCCCAAGTAGGCCACTCTTTATTCATACGTGTATTCATACCAGGTCATGGAAGGTTATAATCAACGTTTCAATAAATGGAAGCAAAAAAAAGTAAACAGTACAGAAAATTATCGAGTTTTGTAACGATGGGTAAACGAGGAGAATTTATTTTGTTGATGGATTTAAAGATAATGAGCAATAAGAAACTTTTTCACCGCTCTTTTAAAGGATAGCATTGTATTCATCGTTTTTATTTCAGGGGGTAGTGCATTCCAGGTATCAGGGCCAGAATGTCTAATTAAGTTTTGAGCTAAGGCTGTTTTGGCGTTAAATAGGTGATAGTCATTGGAATGCCTGGTTGGGTAGGAATGAAAATTAAAATTATGTTGGAATAAAATGACTAGTGATGGGGGAAGATTGCCGGATTTAAGTCGAAACATGAACACAGATTTTTGCATGTAGTGTATATCACTTATTTTTAGAGTTTTTAATGTGGCAAATAAAGGGTCAGTGTGGTCGCGATAACCTGCATCGGTACAAACTCGAATTGCTTTTTTCTGTAACAGTAATATACGATTAGTATTGCACTTATGAGTACGGTAGCCCATATGATATTGCAGTAAGAAATATATGGTAAAACCAGTGTATTATATAGCATACTAAGCACATGTGTTGGCAAAAAGTATTTTAGCTTAAATAGTATACCAATATTGCGAGAAATAGGGGTAGAGATATAATTCACATGATCATTCCAGTTACATTTTTCATTTATATATACACCTAAGAATTTCGTTGATGACTTTTTTTCTATTGGAACATTATCGACAAGCAGCTCAAAGTTATAAATATTGTGATTTCTTGAGTTTCTAAAGTGAACAAGGGAAACGCTCTCGGCGGTCTCGCCTGCCTAACGCAATTCAATATGATAAACCAGAACGTCAATGACGTAGCGCTCATCCGCATCTCACAACAACAAATATCGTAAATTTTATGTGGTACACTTTTGAACTGGTCAAAAAATAGAAATTTGATGCCCTGGAAGGGACATAATTTCATTTCATTTGCATAAAGTACCATAAATAATCAATGGAGCAAAATCTCACAATTCTGTGTAGAAGTTTATTGTTCCAAATTTAGCTCTACCAGATAAGGCAAAATCGGTCAAGAAATGAGGGAAAAGAAGCAATTTTTGTTATTTTTGGAATAAATTTGCATAAATTACCATAATTAATTAATGGAGAACAATTTCAAAATTCTGTGTAGAAGTTTAGTGTACCAAAGTTAGCTCTACGATATAAAGCAAACCAAATCAAAATCGGTCGAGAAATGAAGGAGAAGAAGCCTTTTTTGTGATTTCTAATAAATTTGCATAAATTAGCATAGATAATGAATTTCACAATTCTGTGTAGAAATTTTAAATCCCCTCCTAGCCCTATCATATGAAACAATCAGAATCAAAATCGGTTGAAAAATAACGAAGAAGAAGCATTTTGAAAATCTTAATGTTGATGCCACAACAAAGTCTAAGTTTGTTGACCTTAAATGGCCTTTGACCTTAACTTAGTGACCTGAAATTCTACTCACATGATTGGGGAGACTTGATAACCCTATAGTCCAAGTTTCATTGACTAAGAACTTATACTTTCAAAATTATATCAAAAATTCAAAAACTTAACCTTAGGTTAAGTTTTCGATGATGATGCTACAACATAGTCCAAGTCTGTTGACCTGAAATGACCTTTGACCTTGACTTTGTGATCTGAAATTCTACTCACATGATTGGGGATACTTGATTACCCTATAGTCAAAGTTTCATTGGCTAAGAACTTATACTTTAAAAATTATACCAAAAATTCAAAAACTTAACCTTAGGTTAAGTTTTTGATGTTGTCGCCGTCGCCGTCGCCGCCGCCGTCACCGGAAAAGCGGCGCCTATGTCTCGCTTTTTGCTACGCAGGCGAGACAATAAAATTGGTCTTCTTTAGGTTCAATGATAATATGTTGCTTTTGAACCATTTCGATAACTTAGGTAATTCAGTGTTCATGGTTGCGATCATCGAATTTAAATCGGAATGTGAATAAAATACATTTGTATCATCGGCAAATAATATATACTGTAGAATTGGTGAAACATTAGAAATATCGTTGACATATATCAAAAGTAATAGTGGCCCAAGTATGGAGCCTTGCGGAACTCCACATTTAATAGATGATACGTTAGAAGAAACTGAATTGAATAAAGTATATTGTTTTCTTGATGACAAGTAATTTTCGAACCAATCAAGTGCTTTACCTCGTACACCGTAATGCTTTAATTTATACAATAATATAGTGTGATCAAGAGTATCAAATGCCTTGCTGAGATCCATGAATATGCCTATGACATGTTTATGATCAGCCAAGGCATTTGATACTCTATCGAATAGTTGGAGTAGTGCTAGATAGAACTAGATGGAATTCGACTGCGCACAGTCGAAAATGATGCCTCCGTCATAGAGCAATTTTACAAACCAAAACAGAACACATTTTTCGAATTCAAGTTCAATTGTAATCCATTAACAGGTTCTCAGAATATCGTGATTACAAGCAATTTCTCATATACATATATGACCCTTTGTTCTTTGACCTCATGACCCTAAAATCTACTCAGTTCATTGGCTCTGCAAGATGTCCTGAGTTAACTAGTAATCCATCTGTCAGTTCTAATGAGAATGTGTTCACAAGCTATTTCTGCATACATAATGAGCCCATGACCTTTGACCTTATGAACCAAGAATCTACTCAGTTCATTGGCTCTGCAAGTAACATACATGACCTAATTTTGGCAGGAATCCATCAATCGGTTCTTGAGAATGCGATCACGAGCTGTTTTTGCATACATAATGTGCGTTGTGGCCTTTGACCTTTGAACTCGTGACCCCAAAATCTAATCAGTTCATCTGCTCTGCAAGTAACATACATGACCTAAGTTTAGCAGCAATTGATCAATCGGTTCTTGAGATAACGCAATCACGAGCTGTTTTTGCATACATAATGTGCGCTGTGGCCTTTGACCTTTGACCTCGTGACCCCAAAATCTAATCACTTCATCGGTTCTGCAAGTAACATACATGACCTAAGTTTGGCAGCAATCCATCACTCGGTTCTTGAGATAACACGATCACGAGCTGTTTTTGCATACATAATGAGCCCTGTGACCTTTGACCTTTAACCTCATGACCCCAAAATCTAATCAGTTCTTTGACTCTGCAAGATACATACATGACCAAAGTTTGGCAGGAATCCATCAATCGGTTCTTCAGATAACGCGATCACGAGCTGTTTTTGCATACATAATGAGCCCTGTGACCTTTGACCTTTGACCTCGTAACCCCAAAATCTAATCAGTTCATCGGCTCTGCAAGATACATACATGACCAAAATTTGGCAGGAATCCATCAATCGGTTCTTCAGATAACGCGATCACGAGAACGGGACGTACGTACAGACGTACGTACGTACAGACGGACGGACGGACAACCCGAAAACATAATGCCTCCGGCTACTTCGTAACGGAGGCATAAAAACTAGAGATGGATGTTAAAATGAAGAAGAACATTTTGTTTAAATTATTTTTTTACCTGTGAGATGAGGTACTCCTGGTCGCTGCACAAAGCCCATTCCTGCCGTCACAACGACTGATTCATTCTTCCCAACACCTAGCAAACAAAAACCAACAAATACAATACTTATTCTACCAGAAGTTTTTATTGGAACTCTACATGTGAATTAAATTGTGGTAAGATTCAAGATTCAAGTTTTAATTGTCTATAATAATACAGAAATATATTTCTCATTGGTGTTACATACAATATAAACATAGGCATATAAATGTGACATTGTATGCTGAGAGCCAGAAGGGTGTAGTGTTGACTTATTAGAGAAGGGTATCTTTTTATACATATGTTGATATAAATCTTCAATGTTAGCTAAACATACATTGCTCAAGAAAAATTTGTAAACAAAATACGTGCTTCTAACTGAGGTTAAACATAGACAGTGATTTCTGGCAAAGAATACATAATAAGGCAGAAATACATGTATATAGGCCATTGTAAATAAAAATATGAAATTGATATCTGGGATAACTCTACATCCAGATAATTATTTAAAAATCTTGATAATGACATGCCACACATGTATATTCATCCATAAAACTTAAATAAAAAATTTAAAACTTATTCCCTACATTTGGAAGCAGTTGCAATTCAAAACCTAATTCCATCTTCCAAATTAATAGCAGTAATAAAATGACAAGAAACATTTACAATCATTAAAACACAATAAAAACCCAAATGAGCTTACCAAGACCCTTGTTGACCGCCAGGATGGACCTGAGTCCAGAGACATGTCTTCCAATGACCGTGATCAGCTGATAGGTATTGACATCAATCAACACCAGCTTACCCGCCGCCGTGCCTACCCACAATGCAGTGCGAGGCTGGAGCATCATGGACTTGACGTCGAACTCGGATATTCTGGCATCTGGATATTGTTCACTGTATGTTTGATAAACACAACAAAATGTCAATTTTAAGTTTTTTAGCAATGAGGATAATTCATGATAAAAATTGTACTGGGTAGAAGGGTCAGGTTCTGTGTCAGGTTGCATGAATGGGATAAATAAACATTCTTAGTCATTGACAAACAAAACACACGTACATGTATATATAATGAAACATATATTTAAATCAGTATGGATATCCAGCACTCCTTATACAATGCTTGATGCAAAATGAGACTGGAAGTATTCAACTGTCATAATTTGTATTATTATTCATTCAGCATTGACTGTGCCTCTGGTCTCTTCTCCCTATATAACCGTTTACAATATATCTTTTCTTAAATGAAAGATCTTCTCTTAGGTGATTATAAATGTGAATGGTGAATTCCAGTACTGGTAATCAATCTCATGAATTTGATGTCATAGCCTTTTCAAATTGTTGAGAATAATTTCTTACCCTATCAAGTCCCTGATGTCGATGGTTGTTTTTAGCTGCTGTTTGCCAGTGTTCCATACTTCTATCACACCGCTGTTATGACGGCACAGCCAGAGACATTTTTCGAGCGCCACAGTCTTCACCAGACCAAGTTTTCTGTGATGGGTAGGGATATTGAAGATACTAAATAAGTAAGGTTTGCTGCTCAAAAATTTCATCTGAGTTACACAGTTTCATTATCCTTACTATAATCAGTTACTAATCAAGCACCTTTCTTATCTTCACTACAGTAATTATTAGGCCTGAGTCATGTCGGGATTTTCATAAACCGGGTCCCGACGGCCTTGTACCGATCGGGACCCGGTGTCCCGAAATCAGCTCGCAGGATTTGTCACTTGCCTCTATTAAAAGCGCATATCATCAGTATGTCCCTTAAAAGTGACCTTTTTTATCAATCAAATTAATAAACACATGCATACCTCGGCTCAGATCGGTATATTATTCCATTTGACATTATTTTCATCCATGATTGGCGATGTTTAGTGCCATTTTCGTGCCTCTAAAAGTAAAAAACTGGGGCAGAAATGGAAAGACAACATTCGAGCCGCCATTTTGATTTATGCAGGTTGAATAAATCTGGTCAAAAAATATGAATGTTATAATAATAAAACGGCTTTCTAAAAATTTCTTCTGTACAATACACCGATCATATAATATTTTAAAGACAAAATAAATATTTATCTCTTATTTTAAACATCGCATGCTTTTTTTTTAAAGCTGAAAATTACTTGGTAATCAAGAGTGTCGATACGGATAGCCGTTGCAAGGCAAGTTCAGACTAGTCTCAGAAAAATGCGCAGTGCTCCTCGTAAATAGCTGTAATGCGTGCCAGAACGAACCCAAACAAAGACGTGATCGTAACAAGAAAAAAATCATTAAAAACTACGAGAGCACAATTGGAAAGACAACTACTGCTCAAAATTACCATAATCAGATAGATAACTTGGACAAAGAATTCAATAATCGCCCAAGAAATGTCACAGAAATTGTGATAATCGAGGAGTAACTGGGTACATTTTTATCGCAAGGAGCCTGCTGCAAATTCTCGAATCCTTTGTTATACTGCTTTTTACCGTAGAGGACGGTATTTGCCTCGTATAGCCTCGTGTTCAATTTAAACACGTGTAATTCAGATATTGCAGCAGGCCCTTCCGATAATGATTGTACCTATAGTAACTCCTTAAATATCACTATTTATGTGTCTTTTCTTGGACAACTATTGTTTTCTTCCTCCAAGTTATGTATCTGCTTACGATAATTTTGAGTAGTTGTCTTTCCAATTGTGCTCTCGTAGTTTTTAATGATTTTTTTCTCGTTACGATCACGTCTTTGTTTGGGTTCGTTCTGGCACGCATTACAGCTACCGAGGAGCACTGCGCATTTTTCCGAGACTAGTCTGAACTTGCCTTGCAACGTATCGAAACTTCTTGTGATTACCAAGTAATTTTCAGCTTTTAAAAGAAGCATGCGGTGTTCAAAATCAAAGAAAAAATATATATTTTTGTCTTTTAAAAATTATTCGATCGGTATGTTGTAAAGAAGTACTTTTTAGAAAGCCGTTTTATTATTCAAACATTAATGTTTCTTTCAACCTGATTTATTAATCCTGCCGAGAGACCCGGCCAGTACAGTAGCTACTGTAGCTAGTAGCTGGCAACAACAACCCCATGGGCCGGGCGAACTGCCTTGCAATCCATATTTATATCACTTATCAGCAGTTCGGATTGATTCAGGATGAGCTAGAATATGATTATGGTAACCATTAAATACTTAAGTTTTAAGGTGGATTGATTTTAGTGGTGTGCAAAACTGCAATTTCTTTCACATTTTTTTCGGAGCGTCGGTTCTCAAAAAACGAAACCGGGACCCGACGGCAACGGTCGGGTCCCGGTGTGATCGACCGTACCGACTCAAGCCTAGTAATTATCTATAAATCTAGATCACGATGTTAGTACAGGAAAATGAAGGCCTTTTTTTCTTCTCTCAGATTGGTGTAGAAATGTATGCAGCTAGAAGAAACATTGGTAGACATTAATCACTGAGAGGTAGAATGTGTTATCATCCTGATGATATACAGGTAACGGTCAACATCTTTACACTAACTTTAACTTATGAATAGAAGTAGCACTGTGTCATTATAAGCATCATGTCAGAAACATCATTGTCAACCCCCTTCATGACATACTATCATACTCATCATCATCATCAACACCACCATTGTCATCAACTTCAACATCACATGACCATTGTCATCTTCATTATCATCATCATCACCAGTAACATTAGAGCAACTCTTTTTTTGTGTGAATAATATTCATTGCATGATGAATCCTATACATAATTTCCACTTTTCTTCATGAATAACCCCTCCCCCTTCTATTTCATGTGATGCTGAAGAAGCCATTCTGTAACCATGACAACATCTTCCCTCCTCACCTGGGATCTTTGGATGTTTCCTTCTTATCATGTTCTAGCTTGATCTCTGATTTGAGAGTCTTGAGAGTGATAGCCTCCACCCTGTCTCCTACTCCTACCCACAGTCTGCTGTTAGTCAGGTAGGAGCACTTGATGGGTTCATGGTACGTTCCAACCTGGATGTACTGGTCAGGTTTGCAGTCCTTTTCCTGGAAAACAATGACATCATTACCTACCAATCCATCAACCCATCAATAACAAATCCAGTAAACTAAATGCTCATCACTTTTTGATCTAAAGCCATCTGCACTAGTTTGGCCAGGAGGGATTAGACCTCCCTGAATGGTTATCTCATCAAATCAGCTCTTAATTAACATGAGAAAAAGGGAATCCTAGGGGACCAACGGGTACCGCTTAGGCATTGTTGGCTATATAGAGCGCGCAAGTACATGTAGCTACAAGTAGTGCAGTCCCGCTTTAAGAAATTGTATCTAAATATTTTATAACAGTGCGAATGATGTTCATATCCCTGAATTCTATTATAAAAAGGAAAAGGTAGCAAGAAGTACATTTTCCAACAGCAAACACTTGGATGTACTAATCAGGTTCCAGTATATTTTTCTGTCAGTTAAATTTATTATCTAAGAAGGATTAGTAATCATGTAGGTACTTACTAATCTGATTCTCTTAGCCGAGTACACAGCGATGGTACCATTGGCAAGACCAGCAAACACTTTCCCATCTTCTCTTCGTCTGTCATGGGGAGATATAATTAATACTTGATATACACGTGTTATGCATGTTCAACGTTACATGATATACATGTAGCAATACATGTATCAGGATTTTATTTTGGATGACACTTTCTGTATTGAAAGGTGAAAAAAAAAATATGCAAAAATACAACTATCTTGAATTTAACTAATACTTTGAAGAAGAAAGATTTATAATAAAGCCAGCATCCATCACATCACAAACTTTTGATTCCCATCCTCTGGTATTAAAGCTAATACCTCTTCCAAAGCTACCGAAAGCTATGTAAAAACAAATTTACATTTAGTTGTGTCGACAGGGCAGAAAAGGAAAGTAAGACAAATTTCCCCTTCCGTCTTACTTGGTGGACTTTAACAGACAAGCATAGTAGAGAGAACAGTGAAGATAAAATAAGTAAAGCACAACATTTCATTACACATCACAGATTGTCATGAATATTCATGAGAGTGTCAGGCCTACTAGCCCTGCCAACTTACTTGGTATGCCATGAGAGGCACAGCACAGCATCAGGAAGCTGAGGCAAGGTATGCTTGACCTGGTAGGGGCTAGAGGTCAGGTTAATAAGGACCAGTTCACAGGACTGAGTTCCTACGAGCATGGTGTTAGGACCGATGGCCACCATGCATAAGGCTCGTCCCTTCTGTATGATCATGCCCTGAGAGATAGAGAGAGAGAGAGAGGAAGAAGTGTGTCACATTGTGTATGTCATAGCATTTTCAAGTACACAGTGCACCAAGCTCTGTTTGATAGTCTATGAACCTACATATTGCTAACTTACATGTACATGTATCTTTATTATCATATGGGAAGCAATCCAAAATGTACTGTAATAATCAATTCATGAGATTAGGTAAATTGATCTTATAATTCATTGACCTGTTCAAAATTGCTTCAATTTTGTTTTCCAATTCAAATGGTCTTAATTTACAGTTATTATACTGTAGGTTTAATCTTCAACAGTTTTAAAGCACTCGACCAAACATCTGTGAACACAAGACCAACATAACAGTACCGTAATTTAAAATGAATATAATACAAAATTCTCAATATTTGATCATCCTTCTTTTTTCTTCATTCAAAGCACATGGTATTTCCCCCAAATATAAGGCTGACTTATTTATCAGACTTACTTTGTATTTCATAAAATCTTCTCAATTGAGATCTAGAAAGGCATAAACTCCTTTCTCATCTTACATGGATTAATCTCCCTTCCGGCACTATAATAAATATAAATCCTGAGTGCAAACAAACCTGTACAGATGCATCTTGTTCAGAATTTCTGATGGTGAAGCATGAGAACATAGTAGAGTTCTTCTCTCCTCCCGCTAACCAAATCTCTGTTCTCTCTTGATCGTCCTTCTGATATGTCTACAAGGTTACAAAGTAAATTTTTAGATTTTCAGAGCTGACGCAATAACAATTTTCCTACAATTACATTCATAAAAACATGCATGCCAGCTTGTGTAGTTCCCTGTTCCCAAAATATATCTATAACTAAGTCATTAAGTTAATTAACTTTGCATGCAAGAATGGAAATGGTACCAATATATTTTGACGTTACAAAAAATATATATATTTCTATTTCAAGTAGAGTTAAAAGAGAGATTGTCATTAATATGATTCTAAAGAAAATTTGACTTACCCTGACAGCCTGGCATTCAACATTTACTCCACTGAGCAGAGCAGATGCTTGTTTTAAGCAGAGCATCTCAGCTGAACTCAGCTTCTCAAAAGCCTCTTGTGCCTGGAGAAAGAAAGAAGAATCAACATTTTACATATTACAGTGTTATACCAGAATACATATTTTCCAATGGATTTTATTTGACTTTCTGCAGAATCTAATATCCCAATACCAATAAAAAGTGATTTCCACCTGTAGATTTTTTTTTTTTCCATTTACATTTGACATGCATTTCAAATGGGTTTGATCCAGAGTTACCTCATACTGGCCATTCAACAGCTGATAGTAATCACATTATCGGGTGCAATCGTAACCCCTTATCAAGTATTTCAAACCATCATCAATGATATCTTATACAGAAACCTTCCTTATTGCCAATTGACACTTAGCAACATGCTGTTGTCCTACCTTTCAATTAATCCAAAACATATATCTATATCTAAGTCCTTCAACTACCAAATCTAATTGACCTCTAACATGGTATACTCACTGTGGGTCTGCTCTCTGGAACATGTTCTGTACAGTGATCAATGAGCTCCTGTAGATCAGGCCAGGGGGCTACTCCTCCTTGACTTATGGGTGGAAGATGCTGACCCTGTCATGGGATAATAAACAGAGAGTGGAGACAGAGTTCACAATAAAATCAGAAAAAGGAGATGAAGGGATCACACGTTCTGCAAACAAGAACTGCTGCAGTATAACAAAAGTAACAATCAAATGAAAAATGAGATGTCATTCTCTAAAAGCAAACCATGATGTTCACAATTACATTAGTAGATTATTCCTATGAGGATATAAGGAGGTGCTCAATTATTCGATCAAGTGACAATACTTTTGGCTTTATTTCATCAAAGATACTGGGTAAAAATTATGGTGGTTGCTATTGGGTTTTAGGTTAGGGTTAGGGTTTGGGTTAGGAAAGGTATAGTGTTTGGTCCAGAGTTGAGGTTAGGAGTTCAGAGAGTGTAGGATATTGACTGCTAAGCAATTAATGCAGGACCATGAGTCACACTCTTACAAAATGTGTAATGTGTGATGCCTTTTTTTAATATAGACACTCCAACGTGGACCTAATCATCTTCTGTTAGGTCACAGGATTCATACCTTGATGACAGCCTCGTCAATCTCTGTTCTAAACTCCATCTCTTCAAATGGTCGATGTCCTTCAGAGACCAGCTCATAGAGTAGGATGCCAAACGAGTAGATATCAACCTGATAAATCAGAACACGAATCTTCCTATATTACTCTTTCATATAGATTCCAATTTGCACACAATTTTACAACTTTTTGAGAAACGGTGAACATATATGCTGACATTAGTGAAAGAAAGACATCAGATTACAGCTATGATTCAGTCAACAATTTCAATGAGTGGACCGGTTGTTGCTTTATAGAACATGGTGAATACCTAAACTTTATGTACACGTATCAGCTTCATAATCAGAACCACTGCATGAAACAGAGCTGTAACCATGTTGATTTTTAAAGATTTGTGAGGAAAATGTTATCCTAGGTGGCAATAAAATTCAGCAAATATTTCCTTGAATGCAACCCGATTCATGTTAAAAACTTTAATTTTAATATATTTAAATTTATGTACATAATTTGGTCAGCTGTATCAATAAAGGGAGCTGAAGATGCCTAAATTTAAACATTTCATATCTAAACTATTAAGTTACATCTATCTATACATATAATTTGGCTTCACACAATATAACTCATACCTATTAAATCAAATGTATTTAGGCATGTTACAGCAACAATTAATAAGCTGAACCCATAATTTAAAATATAATCATCCCAAACCATTTAGGCATGTCAAATAACAAATCATAAGCAAAACCCATACTCTAAAACATGATCATCCTAAACCATGTACTGATGATATATTAGCAGGCCTACGTACCTCTGTGTTATAGTTACTAGTACCCCTGATGACCTCTGGAGCCCTGTAGCCTGGGGTACCCTCAGATGACTTCAGCCCATAGGGGGTGGCAAACCTTGAGATGCCATAGTCAGAGATCTTGGCATTTTGCTGCAGAACAGAAGATGATTTTGAGGTGAAGAGTTTAAAACAAGAGTGTGATCTTGATAACAATAATTTATGGTTTTGTGCATGCATATCTAAGCAAGATGACCTACTCCCCTTTTCCTCTCTTTTCTCATAAATGGTGAATTGTTTAATTAATTGCCTATGGGAATTGAGTGGCTCCTTTATTACATAAACATAAACATTCAGCAATCATTGAGTTAGTAATGACGTTATTCATGACTCCGATGAAGTCATAAAAGTTAAATTTTACTTAATGAAATGGTCATAAATGCAGTGTCTAAGAATGTAAGATATAAAAATATCCAGAAAGTTTTAATGCAAAAATGATTAAATTGAATGACACTGATACAAAATTAATTTGTACAATTTGTAATGTGGGGCAAAAAAAAAATCTGGAAATGATAAATACGATTATTACTAAAGGAGTAATTTAAATGGAATTCCAAATCATCCTAACTGCTCAGGAAACCTTGCTTCACATATCACTTTGGACTGATTTAACAACAGTTAGGTTCAATGTAGTACCTTCAAAATATAGCTCAAACATTTCACTGCCTCTTTCCTTTAATAGCTTACCAGTGTACCCAGTGCTAGAGAGAAGATAAGAACATTGTCTGGTTTGAGATCTCTGTACACAATCCTGTTCTTATGAAGAAAAGCCAATCCTTCAGCAACCTGTCATGAAGATAACATACTAAACATTTTAAGAGACAATTGCATAAAATTATCAACAGTATTGTAAATGTGGATATTGTATACATGGTAATAATGACCGTCATCTTATGATTGACCATTATAACTTAACACCTATACAATGTTGTATGCCATTTCCTTTATGATAATTAACATCTTCTTTGCCTCTCTTTCCAATACCAAGTAATTAATCAAGATTACCGGTACCTAAATCTTCAAATTTTAGATGGAGTTTTCAACATTGTTTAGTCATCACTCTCATAAACTTCATTATTATCATCAACTTTATTATCATTGTGCCGCAATCATTACACTGAAGATGTTGAATGAGATTATTACTTGGTGACAGTTGCTATTCTTAATGTCTATCTCCTTTGCCTCATCATCATCAATTTTACCATGACACTGTCATCATCACCACCACCGCCACCACCATCAACACCACCATCAATACATCCCGAACCACATAACAATAATCATCATTCTCCCTATCTCACCTGCATTGCGATGCGATGCTGGAGATTCCTGTTCTTGATCCTGCCGCTAGCCAGGAGAGTATTGAGGGATCCTAGAGGAGCGAGCTCCATGACCAGGATCCTTGGGTTCAGACCAACTCCTTCCATTGAGACAAGGCTAGGGTGCTGTAGATGCCGTAGAACAGTCACCTACAAACAAACAATATGCAATCACATTGGTTAGTTAGTTATCGAATATTAAATCCATATCATTCATCACTATGTCATACCTCATCATCATTAGATGATGGTAAGATTGTGATAATGATCTAATAATGAAAGGCATACAGCATTGTGATAACCAGATGTAAATTAGATTAATCAACTAAAATTAAATAAAGCATTGTAATTAAAAGACAATAAATTCAATTTCATATAATAACTTTCCTTGTATATGAAAATTGCTTAAACATAAAACTGTCATTAAGAAAATGTTGAACTCTTAAGTTCCAAAATATCAACAAACCTTAACGCTTTCCAAAATCTATATGAACAACATGCTTTGAATGAACTGCTGTGTAACAAGTATGAAATATATGTAACAATACTTCTTTGAACACATAAAAGTCATTCATTCTCATCAAAAGTTTATTTTAGAAAAATAAGTAGTCTGGTCTCAAATATAAAAAGCAAAAGGACACAAATACTGATTTTTAACTTTACCTCTTGACGTAGTAGCCTATGTGGATGACTTTCTCCACCCTTGCTGAATACCTTGACTGCTACAGGCTGCAGCAAAACACAAATAAAATTCAATTAATTCATTCTAGCAAAAGTACATAAATTAAAATAAACCTGTACAGCAAGGGAGACACATTTTGTTGTTTTTTGGGGGGTTTTTTAAGAAGAAAAATATGCCTACATTGTAATATGATTGTATAAGGTCAACTCAAGGATGTAAAGGAGCTGGGGGTTATTTGTGTATGTTCCCCCAACCGGTTCCAAGTCTAAGTACAGGGGAATAAATATGACAAGAAAAAAATGGAGACACAAAGAAAATGATCTTTGTACTCAGTAATTCTTCCTGTAATTTTTAAAAAAATATTTGCTTCAATTGAAGCCACTAGCAAAATTTGATCTTCTCAGACATGTGAAATTTCTATACCAGCGATTGCTAAATTCAGGTTATTTTTCAGTAATTTGTCCACAACAAAGAAATGAAGATGATTTATTACTGCATAGAAATACTGTAATATATATCACAGGATCTGAAAATACACCCTGATGAGTGTCTTCATATTTGAACAGAAAATTTGAATTCTATTCTATTTGAATATCATGCTTCTTTTAATAGCAAGGAGGTAAGAAAAATACTACAGAAATGTTAATGAGGAAAAAGAAAAAAATGCATTATTATTCCCCTAAATCACACTCTTCCTTACCTTGTCTCTGTATGTTCCCTTATACACAGAGCCAAAGCTGCCATCTCCTAGTAAATTCTCAGCCCTAATAAGCAAAAAAATATATATAAAGCTGAAAATTACTTCTATAAAAGATTAAAAACTTCATTAAATATAATATATGATTCACTCTTTGGCTACATGTCCAATATAGATTACATATATCTTCCTTTCACTTCTCTCTCCATATACTCATCCCCTTTGTATATATAATCTAATAAGTTTTATTGATTTTTTGCATGCTGAGTTCTAAAACAATGCATCATGTTTTCATCAGTATGGTGATTCTAACTGAAATTGTAAATAAAGAACTACATGATAACTATTAAATCAAGTGTCATAGCTGACCAATTCTGAATGTTCTTAATGTTGACAAATTTTGGAATTTTTTTTTTCTTTACAAGCTTACTGCGACCTTCAAACATTTTTACAATATGACATGCAATAGCTGTAAGTTAGATTTAAGCGGAAGATTTGCGCCATTTCTGTGGTTTTCTGACCTTTGAGTGAAGTTGAGTTTTCTAGGATCAAGAAGAAACTTGTCCTCCAGATCTGCAAGGGTAACATCAGGTGCCTGTTGAGAACATAAAATATTACAGCATGCTATTAATTGTGTCTTTTGTTGAGAGAAAATAAGTGTTAATTATCTCAATGTAAAATGATATGAGGAAACAATTTCAAGTTATGATAGGTAAACAGATGAAATAACTTCTAGTGGGGATTCATGTTGAAACAATGCTTCATTCACAACTATTTTTTTAGTCTCTCCTGGGTAAATTCTTTAGAGGAATACATGCATGGACATTACATAATGTCAAATTAAAACACTAACTGATTAGCTGATTACATGTATAATTTAATACGTTATTCTGCTTGGTAAATATGATCCTTGCATGTTATACTCTGCATCCAATTAAGTATCTGATGAGAGCTAGAAAGGCATTAACTTAAATTATAAAAATCTTTCTGGCTTTCAGCAGACAATGTATACAAATCATAACCACAAGATGTAATAGCGAGCAAATGTATTAAAAAAAAGTCACAATATTGAGGCGGCTCAACTTTCCTATAGGCATCATCCTTTTACTATACCCAATAGGTCAACACTATATGGTACCATCAATACTTCACAACAATCAATAAAAGAATATATAAGAATTTAGTCATCAATGTAATTTTTGAAAGAGGAGAGACTAGAGGAATAATGTTGTGGTTAAACTGACCAGAATCTGAAGTGGAACCTTTCTAGTAGGATGGTTAGGACAGGTTATTGTATCACTTGTCTCAGACTGTTCTAACAGCTCACTCAAATCATGAAGATGTGGACGCCCTGCATGGATATTGAATAAGATGCATAATTAGTAATAAATGATAAGAGACAATATTTCTATTTGTTCATGCATTAGACAGAGAGCCTAAATAAACCATAAGAGTACATCTCTCATAGATGTTTCTCACAATTTTGCTTACCTTCACACATGGTGCTCGAGACTAGTCTCTGGACCAGAGGTCTACCTAGTCTAGGATCTAGCTCACATAGACCAGGGAACCATTTCTCAATTAGATCATCAAGAAGATAGGGATGGGCAGAAATTAATTGCTTACCTTCACACATGACGCATGGTACTAGTCTCTGGACCAGAGGTCTACCTAGTCTAGGATCTAGCTCACATAGACCAGGAAACCATTCCTCTATCAGATCATCAAGGTGATCGCTGACTAGGCCTAGAAGTCTGGATGGATACAGAGAGAAGTAGAACAAATAGATGGACATCAGTCGAGAATGATTAGAAAAAAAAGAGGGACAAATAGATATTGTAAAGGGCAAAACAATTTTTTATTTAATGAAACAAGAAATAAACGCAAGAAACGAACCAAAAAGAGACAGAGATGGAGAGAGACAGGCAGACAGAGAGACAGAGAGAGAAAGAGAGGAGGAAGGATAGAGAGTAGTTGGGAGGTGAGAGAGGGCAAAAGTAAGAAAGAGGGGAATAGACAAATCAAATTCAGCATAAGAATACATTTGGGACTTTGATTGTTAGCAATGTTAATGTAAATTGTAACTTACATACACCTTTTTCAATTCATATTTCTTACTCCAGAAGCTAGCAAATGGAATCAAGACTTATTCTGTCAGCACTAATGTTCCTGTCTTATTTAATTACTCCTTCCAAACTTTATGTAATAACGCAGCAACTTGATCTCTCCTTCAACATACATATAATAATACAAGATATGAAACACTACATGTAGCTGTAAGTCTCGTTGTTTCTGGTTTAATACCTGTATCCCTGCTTCGTCTTTGGGACAGTGATCTTGAGAGTGTCGGCTCCTTTCTTCAGCGGCTCTATCAAGAAGAATGCTTCCTACAAATACAATATTACACAAACATAATCAAAATAATCAAATTGTTTTCTAAATAGTTACTCACAATCAGTTCCTAATTTTTGAATAAACACATGGATAAACTTAATTTTTCTGGCCAGCTCTTACAGCCTTAATCAACCCATAAATATCTAATGGCTTGGAAAGGATAGCAATGAAATATTAATCTTTCAAAACATGTGTTTCACCATTCACCACTTAAAAATATTTTGGAAAAAAAATGCTTTTAAATTGTTACATGTACATACCATAGAAGAAATATGGTATTTCTTATCTTTTCCACTTTTTTTGTATTTCCTTATTTTCATGAACATGTACATAGGATCTAAGAACTATAAGAAAACAAAAATCATCAAAAAATTGGTTCTCTATCTTAGATTTGACTTACCTCTGACCAGCAGACATATATCCCTTCTCTCCAGAATACAGTCTCCGGCTCTTCATGAGATCTCATACGAAACTGAGATAAATACAAATAAACAAAAAGTAATCAATAAGTATTTGCCCATATTCCTATGCAAATTAGACAGTCTTGGCATTTGTTATATATGACCACCCACCCCCTCTCCTATACAAATTAATCTATCCATAATAAAATAATGAAATGTAAGTGTACAGTAACAATAAATTTCACAATCTCAAAGTAAAGAAGACATTCCTCCCATACACATGAATATATTCCATGTATTAAAATCAGTCTGGGTATTTTTTTTAATTTTCTTGCAACACAAAACAAAATTTGGTTTCATATTTGTTATACTTTGTTGTTTTAGTTTTTCTTGCTTTTGAATACACGGCATGAAGAATACCAAAATCATTTACAACTGTTTAGAGAACAACTGCTGTTTATTTTTAAAAGTCTCTCACAGTTTTCAACATGAACATTACATACATTAATTCTAGACTTAATTAATATTAAGCTTGTTAGTGATGGGTAGAGTAGGAGCAGCAATTAAAGAATATAATTGTATATACCAGTACTAGCAAACGTAACTTTAATTTGCAAGCTTATGAGAAATATATAATATATGAGAAAGCCTAGTGGCAGAGTAGTAAGTTTTGATTAGCGTTAGCAAACCCAAATAAATACAAAATTCCAAATATTACAGCCAAAAAGGTTAATTGGTTAGATCAAATGTAGTATCCCTGCCCATGGTGTAATATCTTTAGATCCCTGAACCTGTACCACAAATTATTTAACTTCACATCAAAACAGAGTTGAATTATGGGTTAGTATAAAGAAATAACACAACAGTGAATAGCTAATTATTAACAATATCATATCCTGAAGAAAATTCTATAGGAAAGGTAATATACAATTCTTAGTTACGTTATTATACTTTCACTATTAAAAGTTGAATATTGTCTAAAAACTTTCTTTCAAAACCTCTATTTTCACTTCTCTTGATTTGTTTATTTCTCTGTCGATAAATGGAAATGTGCATCTCACTATTTCAAGTCTTCTCCTACTTCTCAAAACCTGATATCAAAATAACTATTATATTACAGAAAATACCCTATGTAAAAAGGCCAGATCGTCCTTTCTTTTTTATATCTTTTTTGTTGTTACATTTTTACCATTTTTTGACAAAATGAACAGTGTGAGTGCATACATCCCTAATTAAAGTGATTTCCACCAAAATCAACCGCGACTTTTGAGGGATGACTTTACATCCCAGATCTCGAGCTTCTGGCAGGACGGGGCTCATAGACATTTGCTCTGACGACAATTGCTCCATGCTCTATTTCATCAAAGATAGAGAGTTGGGGTTAGGGTTGCATTTGGACTTTAGGGCTTAGTTTGTGGTTAGGGTTAGGGTTAGAGAGTCTGGTCGAAGACTGTAGTTAGGAATTTGATTAGTACAGGACATTGACCACAGAGCAATTGTCGTCAGAGCATATGTCATACGACCGAGAGGACTAACTTGTCATCAGTGACAAATGACAGTTGTTGTTATAAGCTACGGAAATCCTTGCTTCTAGTTAGTTGTAAACAGATTTGTCACAGATTTGTCATTGAAAAAAGGCTTTGTGAAATGGGTCCCAGGTAGCTAACCTGTCGATGGGTTGAGACAGCTGACCCCTGTGTGTTCAGAACAGGCATGTGCCATATAGGAATGGTTTCTGCATGGTCCTCCTCCTATAGGTCACAAGAATGAAGCAGTTATATATAGGGACATGGTTTGAGAGTTAGAGCTAGGTGTGAAAAAGGATGCAGAAACTGTTGGAAGATGGATTCTTAAAGTGTACTAATCATCAAAACACATTTTGCTCTTGATGTAAGGGGTTCCCCATGTTGCTTTACTGTATTGAAAATTAAATTAAAATATTACTTCTACAAAGAGATTGCAGTTGAAATACACTCTCAGTAAACATAAAGACAACTGGTTGAGTAGACTAGTCCACACATGCATAAGCATTTGCATAGAAAAGGGCACACATGGAACCAACATATACCCCATATACCTTTTAAGAATGCTACATGTATTTACATTTCTTTAAAGTGTGATTTTGTACATTTTAGCTTTACACACTTTCCTTTTTCAGGTGATTGGTACACTTAAAAGGAAAGGGAACACGATTCCCACAGGAAAGGAAATGTATTCCTTAAACTTCGTAAAGCAATATCAAGTAGAAAAGTACATTTTAGCAAAGTATAGGTATCAGAGTCTGAAGAAAAAAAATCAAAGACAAGAAATTATCTTGAAAAGGGGTTTTGAAAAAGAAGAGAAGAAAGATATCACAAATATTATAGCTTCACTAGCAGGACCCGCGGAAATCCGCGGGATTTTAGAGGGGGGCGGGGGTGTAAATAGATATATAGAGAGTGTTTAAATTAAAACCACCAAGAACTTTATTTGCCATTCAGGCCATTTAAAAAATATACATGTTTAGCGTCCCCGCCCGCTTCCTTTTTGGGGGCCGCCTCCTATTTATTTATTTTTTGAAATTTGTTTGATTTTTTTTTTTTTTTGAAAGAAAATAAAACAGCGTTCTGTCCGCTTCCTTTATGGGGGCCGCCTCCTATATTTATTTTTTTTTTTTTTTTTTTAATTTTTTTTTTTTTTAATTTTTTTTTTATTTTTTATTTTTTTTTTATTTTTTATTTTTTATTTTTTGAAAGAAAAAAAACATGAAAAAAAAAAAATTGTCGGCCGCCATCTTGAAAAATAGCCCGAATGTCATGGGAAAATGTACGGAGCGGCCATTTTGAAAGGAAAAAAAAAAAAAAGGGCCTCCTCCTTCCCATTTATCGAAAAAAACAGGATGCTAAACATGTTTTTTTTTTAATTTGGCCTTATATAAAAATTTAAAAAACGATCCAACTGTACCGGTAGTTATTCTTTAAGCTTTAAGTTCCGTAGTGTGGCATACCGAATACGCAGAAATTAGGCTGCGTATTAATGGGAAAATAGTCCCTGCGTAGGTTATGCGTAGGCTGGCGTACAGGTTTGCTTATGGTTGCTTACTGTGTGGAAAGCTTTTACTGCTTTGTCGATCTGGCGTAGGGTAGCGTTCTGCTGCGTAGTCATGTAGCGTAGTGTTGCGTAAAAAGGCGTACTTTCTGCGTCAAGTTTCTACGCCGAAAGTACGCGAAAAAAAATTAAACATGTTGAATTGTTTTCGTTCATCTTGCGTACCCCTTTCCGTCCCTCAGCATATAGTAACGTAGGCCAGCGTAGTTGGTACGCAACACTACGCAACTCTACGTATTAACCCCACGCCAATTAGTGACCCGCAAGTGTCACAAATAAAGTATGAAAAAAATATGCTCATCTGACCCTAATTAAACACCTAAAACCCCCGAGCTTTCGGGGGTTTATGGCCCCTTGAAACCTGTGGACCCCACGCCTATATTATATATACACTCAACTCGCTCCGATCTGATCTCTCTCCCCCCCCCCCCCTAACTTTGAAGAACGTAACCCCCGAGCTTTTGGGGGTTTATGCTGGCCCCTTGAAACCCGTGGACCCCACGCCTATATTATATATACACGCAACTCGCTGCGATCTGATCCCCCCCCCAACTTTGAAGAACGTAACCCTGAGCTTTTGGGGGTTAATGCTGGCCCCTTGAAACCCGTGGACTCCACGCCTATATTATATATACACTCAACTCAGGACCCGCGGAAATCCGCAGGATTCTAAAGGGGGGCGCAGGCAAAAAATTAAGTTTTTCATTTCGGGGGCTCCATTTCAAATTTTTGGGAAATTTTCGGGGGCTACTTTTTCAACTTTCGGGGGCTCTTTCTTCTGGGGCTCCTTTTTCATTAATTCATAAAAGGATAGGCCTACACTTTGTTGAGATTTGTTTAGTAGGCTATAAGGTTTCAGGCTTCCTACTTCATAATTGCCTATTTAAAAAAAAAAAAAAACATTTTTCTAGTTCAATAACTAAGTTTTCATGCATTGATTTGATGCAAGAACTGTAACATAATAGACCCTAGATTGTGATTATTTCCGACCATGAATTTCGATAATCATTTTTCAAAGTAAAATTTTCACAAGAAAATCAGATAGTCGTTTAAAAACGTAGACATTAGTAATACTTTTACTATTTCTAAGCTCAGGTTTCGTAAATCTATTCACAAAACTATATTGAAATCGCGGCAATAATGATGCAAATCCAACAGATAACAATTTCAAAGTGTCAAATCAGCTCAGCTGAACTCACACACACTACAGCGTAACTCCATGAGCTCGAACACCGGCGCCACAGGCGTCCGACGCCTGCGGTGCGCGGTGCTGGTGTTGAAGCTTCCTGCAAGCTCATGTCAACTCACACACACTGCACAGCAGCATTGCACTGTGTGTTGACTGAAGGCAGCTTGCGACTCAACTGTCAGTCCAATGGTTTTCTTGTAATAACTTTCCTTTAGAAAATGATGATCAAACTTTAGTATACATGTCCGTAATAATCACAAAATAAGCTTTGATTTCATACCTCCATTCACAAAAACTATATCAAAATCGCGGCAATCATGATGGAAATAGGTCTCTAAGTTTGGACGTCGACGGGATTGCTCGTCGTGTGTCGTGTGTCTATTTGATACGGATGTAATGTTGAATATGCATGAGGTATCTCTGTCGTCACGCATATCCTGCATTATGCATGTCGCGTCTGTTTTCGCCCTGGACGTCGACACGGAGGAGGACCTCGGGCGGAGTATAGCCAATTCGCTAGAGTAGACTCTCCCGCGGACGACGGCACCGGGCACGGGTACCCCGAGGGCAGGGTTCAGGAGGAGATAGCCGCACCAACTTCGGTCGGCGATCTCATTAAAAAACAATAGAATACAAAGGCTGGCGGAGACGTCGCGCCCCCCGCGGAGCCTTAGCGTATTACTTATATAGATTGAAGTAAAGCAAAAGAATAGTCTAATCAAAAACATATGTTTTCTAAGAAAGCGATTTTTGACATACAACAGAAAGAACCTAGAATCTACACTAGAAATATATGTTATTTTCAAACAATGATGAGAAGCATTCAAGCAATTTTTGTAATATAATATCCAAATACTAGAAGGAAAGAAAGGAAATGCTACAAAGAACGTGAATATAGTATTGGAAATCTATATAAAATTCTTTTAGAAATCTAAACAAAGAAAAGAGTATTCAATACAACTCGAAAGTCCACACATTAATCGGTTCACGGCAAACTCATCACATCACCCCAAATCATCATTGAATTTCTCTATACTTAACTTGAAAGCAACCAACACTCTAAAAATAATTTTGTTCAGCATCTCCGGATGCCTTTTGTTTTACAGCTAGGCATCAAATCACAACTGCAGATAGTCTGATGTTACAACTTTTTGAAGTTATTACAATCAAAATTGAATTTAGCTTTAAAAACAAAATCGATATCATTACTAATACAAAATGTGAATCCTAAAAAAAAAACCTAACAAAAAAAAATGGTCATTGCTCTCAAGGCAGATGAAAAGTTTACAAAAGTAACAAAATCAAGTAAACTTCCTTCTTTTTTTTTTAAAAATTGGTATACTCTTTCATGGGTACATTTAGCACTTCACACACAATACCAGAATGTTGGTTTGCTTTCAAGTTATAACAAAAAAAGAATGGATCTAATAGAAGCTCACTCCGTTCATCATGTGTTTTGAGAAGAGCAAGAGACGTAGAATCATTCTGGACCAGAGGCCAAGCGGGATGTAGGGCATGTCATAGTAGCGCAGAAGCAAATCTGTCGCAGAGATTGGAAAATGAGTTAAGGAATAAACACCACCATGGAAAACTGAGAAATTTGCATTACTGAAAGTACATGACAGCCTTATGAGGATCTTCACTATATTAGTATGTTAGTATTGCATATTTACCAGTTAAACTTTATTACGCTACTGCCAATCATTTCCTTTAAGGAATTTTAAATAGTACTTGTAATATAATACACAAAATAAACAATACTTTCTGTTTTTTCACTCTGGGAATTGACTCAAATTCTTGTTCATAGAAGTTATGATATGAAAGAAATTGATATTTCTAATCAGTAATACATCTTTTCCTCACAATTTATAGAAATTTTACAATCAAACAACTACAAACATTTACAAAATATTTGTGAAAAGTATTGCAGAACATATCAACAATTTCTAAAATCTGATTATGAGTTTTCTTTCTTCAAATCAAGTTCATCTATTTTTACATTCTTGTTGTAATTAACTATAAAATAAAAATAAAAATAAAAATAAGGTTGAAAGAAAACTAAGCCTAAAAACATTGAAGATAGTCAGCCCACACCAGGTACATGTAAGTATAAAGTAAAATCACCTTCAATAACAACATAACAAGGATGCCATTATCATCACTTCCTCAACACTTTCATTCCTCATTATCATCAAATCAACACCTCCTTTGTCATTATCCATAGTTTTCCCTTTACTTTTTTAATAATCCATCTCAAACTTGTTATTCACTTCCATGTCATAACATACATGCAACCATATTAATGAACAACATAAACAACAAATGATGTGAGAGAAAATGCCATAAAAAAGTCCCAATGCACTGTTGGCAAAACAGGAAGAGAAAAGAGACAGACCAAATGACAAATAGAAAGACCCCAAAACACCCCCAGGAACAAGAGCAGTATGCCTTAAATAATAACCGACATTGAATCTAGGATATGCTGAAGACACCAAAATAGGAAAAAAGTTCTTCAAAATCCACCACATATTAAATTTTTTCATGCAAGATATGAATAAGCTCATGCTAAAAATTACATGCCTGGTACTAATGAAATCATACTTATAAATTCATGAATTTGAAACCTGTTTCAAGAGGTCGTTTTGCCTATAATTTAAGCAATTAGTTTGCATTACAGAATATTTGGCAACAAATCTTTATGTATCTATATCATGCATATGACTGAGCAAATTTCCTTAGTTTGCAAGCACACATGCCAATGTAATTGTTAATCAGTTATTTTTAATGGTCAGGTTTAGTGTTTTAATCACATTCCACTTGAAAACAGTTAGTAGCTACTGATATTTTGGGGTAAATTGTAGAGAAGTTCTCACTCTTGATTCTCTCGGCAACATGTACTTGCCGAAGAGTAGGAGACTGTGATTTAGTCTCATCCACAGACCCATTGGTATATAGGTCAAGGAATAAAGCCGCAACAAAACATCTATATAAAACAAGGAAGTTCAATTAAGACACAAAAGAGAATTTCACAATATATTTACACAAGACTAATAGCACAATGACATATAGATGAAAATGTATCACAATGAACTATTCTAATATGACAAACATCTCAGTGCTCAAGTGATCACTCACTGGTTTGCTCACTCATTAATATTTACTAAATTTCTAGCTAATCATTCACTCATAATCACTCACTCAATCGGCCGGTCGGCCAGTCAGTCACTCCATCAATCAGTCAGTCACTCACTCACCCAGTCAGTCAGTCAGTCAGTCCCTCACTCACTTACCCAGTCAGTCAGTCAGTTAGTCAGTCAGTCACTCAGCCAATCACTCCATCAATCAGTCACTCACTCACCCAGTCAGTCAGTCACTCAGTCAGTCACTCAGTCAGTCACTCAGTCAGTCAGTCAGTTAGTCAGTCAGTGAGTCAATCACTCCATCAGTCAGTCACTCACTCACCCAGTCAATCAGTCACTCAGTCAGTCACTCAGTCAGTCAATCAGTCAGTCAGTCGGTCAGTCACTCACTCACTCACTCAGTCAATCACTCCATCAATCAGTCACTCACTCACCCAGTCAGTCAGTCACTCACCCAGTCAGTCAGTCACTCACTCACTCAGTCAATCACTTCATCAATCAATCAATCGATACAAACTCTCAACCTTCATCAAAACATCCTCAACAAAACAATTCTACAGCGACTTAAGTTCAGAGTTGTCTATTACCGTCTCTTTTGTATAAAAAATAATCTAAATTGGGCCTCATACAACATGAAACAGTCCAGTTTTTAATGCCAAGGAGATTTATTATAAATAATGGACAATTCTGTGTGGATGTTTACACTAACTCTAACTTTAACTACCCAATCAAAACAATGCAACCTATCCCGACCATTCATCCATCCATTTCAACCAATCGAGCACCCTGATCTATTTGAAAGTATCCATCCATAAATCTAATCAACCAATCACACACTCTCACCCTTTCAAACCAATCAATCACACACTCCATCTAAGTTCAAACAGGTGTACTCACCCTGTGTAGCATCACTTATCGGTAGAGTGATGTTGGGTTTCTGGATAGGCACCTTGCATGGGAGTAGAATCTTATCGTCACTCACTGGTAGTGATACCTCAAACCTACAAAAACAGATATATCACAATTGAATCAAGAAAGTTGAAATATTGCAACAGGTAACAGGCATATGCAGTGAAATAACCCGCTGACATAGGCAGGGGAGTTGCTACATATACATTCTTTAGAACAACAATTATAATGCCTTCTATGCTTTGGCCGGCGAATCCCGACTAAAATATTGGTCTTGAATATTTTCTTTGAATCAGAATGACTAGACTTTTCTTCCTATGCCAGAAAAAATCTACCATCCCCCCCCCAAGTTTATCTCATGCCATGTATTTTATGCCCAGGTCACTGATGAAACAAGGTATTTAAAGTCCATATCCAACTCTTGTAAGCACATTTACCTCAAATCAGTGGTTAAAAAGGGGTTAAGAACTGAAGGAGACAGACAAGACTACAAAAAGAAAAAGAAAATACATAGCTTCAATTGACTCCATCACTATTTTGCTTTTTACTACTTCTAATGCATATTATTCTTATATGTTTGATACTGTTTTTACCTTTGCTTGTGAGCTTTGGTGACATTTCATTTTTGTTTTTATTTCTGTGTATTACATTTTTATTCTGTTCAGGACCATGATGTAAAGTTTGTATCTACAATGTATATCTGATTCTTGTTATCCTGATAAAATATATTTCAATAAATACAAAAAATAAAAAATATAATTCAAAAATTACTCACCTCTCCAAGAGTTTGAGGTATTGTGGAATGAGTTGCTTGGGGACGTCTCCATCATTGAACAGCAATGAAATGTCCTTCACTTTCATGATCTGATTTAGAAATCAAAAATATTAACAGTACATAAATATTACACACATACTTCCAGGAAGCAATCATGAAGGAAGGGGGCTGATTGGATAAGGAAAATAGGTATTTGAAAAGATAATGTCAGCAACATAATTTACATTTTTCATCATACAACTTTTACAATTCTGAAACACGTGTTTTAATGTGGATTTCTTGCAACTCATGGCCAATGTACTGAAACAAATTACAGTACGACAATATTTTCATAAACATAAACTCAGTCCTCAAGAGTTCAGTGAATTCTCATTGACTTGCTGCCTACACTGAATCACATTTAAGGTTTAAGGTGAGCAGAAAACCAATGAAGTTATCACTTTCATAAAGGATTTACTCTTGCCTGTGTATACCAAAGACATTTCCTATATTCATCGTTTATCAACTCGATGATGATTATGATGAAGATGATTACCCATGGCATTATCATACAGCTCCATATTTATGTTAACCTTACATTCAAAGGCACAGGCTCTTGCATTTAAATCATTGCTGAAATATATAGTTTATAGAAAAGAGTTACTGTAAACTGCTAATTTCAAGAAAAAAATGTAAGAATATTCACCCCTTCCTTGCTGACTAGTGGGTTGATCTCTCGGACAGTGATGACTCTAGCCATGACCTTACACAGCCACTGTGGTTCAATGAAGTAGACATTCCGGAGTTGCTGAGAGGGGTCATCGTAGTGGAGTAGGACGCCAGTCTCATGGAGGAATCTTACCGCCTGGGCAGCAATGAGAATTAGTGAATGTGTGTCAAAGGTCAAGAGGAAGAGATATCTATTGGTTCAATGCTTTGATATCAAGTACTCTCTAGTTGTTTGTGCACCCCTCCCCCCCCCCCCCAAAAAAAAGAGCATATTTCTAGAGTAACAAACATTCAGGAGTGAGAGTAAGGGAGAGGGAAAGGATGATACACTGAGAGCAGCAGAGATACATGTAGCAAAATAGAGAGAGAGAGAGAGAGAGAGAGGGGGGGGGGGGGGAGAGAGAGGGAGGACAGCGATAGTAAAAGAAAAGGGGAGGACAAGAAAAAAGAGAGAGTGGGATAGTGGAAGAGAGCCAGATATATAGCAAGTGTAGAGGCCAGAGATAGAGAGAGAGAGAGAGAGAGAGAGAGAGATAGCAAAAGAAAAAGAAAATGATGAGGGGGATCGAGGAGAGGGGAGCAAGGAGACAACACAAACGGCAGAGTAAGTAGTAAGAGTAAAACATGAGCCAGACATGAGGGAGAAGTAAGAGTGATATTTTAGAGTGTTATGTACCTGTGATAGTTCATTATCATCCAGCTGTAGATCATTCTCTCTGATCATCTTGATGACCTGCTTATGAAGCATCACAGGGGGTTGTCCTTCACTCTTCAATCTCCTCACCTGCTCCTGCAGCAGCTGCTCAAGTCTCTGCAATTATTAAAGTCATTAAAAGAAATCTTTCTCAGTAATTCTTCTTTAGAATTCTTCCCTCTATCAAGACAAATAACATACTATTAAACACAAAGAATGAATGATACAAGTCCACAAAATTCCATCAAGAATGACATTTAATGCAATCAAATGATTGTATTTGTGAGTTTTGATATTATGAAAATAATGGCATTACAAAAAGTGGCACAAAGTTTATGATGAAATTATTCTAATAGTCAGGCTTTTCCAGTTAGTTAGGTATTAACATATCTGTTGAAATTGATTTGAACTTTGTTCATATTACAGATATAACTTTTAGTCATCAATATGAATTTCCCTCTTGATGATTTGACACATCTTTCCATAGTACAAACTAAATTGGGTGGATGTACTATTTAGTGGTACTTGTAAAGCACAAACAAACAACAACAAACAAAAACAAACAAACAAACAAACAAACAAAATCAAAATTTTAGGTTTTAACAGTAAAATGCATTACATAATGAATATGCTCTGTCTTTCATTTTGATTATAAAAACAATATAAAACACACTTACCAGATAACTGTAGGGTATCATCTGCCCAAATATGGGTTGACCTTTGATCTTCTCACTGTAGTATGAGAGAACAGAGAGAGAAAGAGAGAGAGAGAGAGAGAGAGAGAGAGAGAGAGAAACAAAAATCACAATTACTCATACATCACAGATAAACCGCTACACATCCTTTACAACAGAACAAAAAGTATCTCATTCAGTGAAATAATTCTGAAGTCTGACTTGATTCTAATTTACAATAAAATCAATATAAAACAAATTTCTTCTTGTTGTTCAGTACAGTCCATGATTTCTTATGCAGAATGGTAAAAAGGGGTCAAACTGTCCATAGCAACAACAACAACAACAAATGTATTTAAAGAATTGAAAGACCTAAGATTATACCTATCAAGTTTAATAGAAAAGCTAACATCAGAATAATTGTTATGAACATATCAGAGCAAACATAAAAGACAGAAGCTTTTATCACTGTCCCTCATATCCCCGCCCTTTTATGGATCAAGTTTTGTATATTACTCACTTTAGAATGACATTCTCGATCATTCCTCTCAGCTCATTGATGCCTCCTGAATCAGTCACGGCAGACAGGTTGATGTAACCCTTGATGGTCGGGAATCCAGGAGACCTGCATACCTCTAACACTCTCATCTCCATGTCACTGATGAAATCCGCCGCATGGTCTGATGATCACAAAATATGATGGTAATAGACAAATAATGTAAATCAGAAATATGGATCATGTTTGTTCATCTTGATTGCTATGTCTGGTGTTTTAAAATAAACTGAACTGAACTGAACTGAATATTGACATGCATTAAACCTTTAATCGGTTCAAAGTGGCAAAAGTCAATGCCGAGCCCCCAAACAGCCTTTTTTATAAATAACTTCCCAAAAGTTTATAATTACATGACAAGACATATATCTACATGCTACTTTGGCTCTCAATGGAAAGGACATGGCAACAAAAAAACAATTCTTTCTTACAGGGCAGTTTGAGCAAAGTACCCAATTTATTACAAGATTCAACATATATTTTGATGAGAGCCAGAAGAAGTGTTATCTCATCATGTAACATGAGTTATTGAAAGACCTTCTGGTTCTCAACAGGTGCTATAATGCAGGACTCCACGCCAACTTTTATCACAGGGAGAACGGATAACAATCTTTATTGTATGCAGGCTGCCATTCAAGCAGAATATTTGGCATGTAGGGTTTAAATTGGGGGGGGGGGGGGGGGGGCTCATGTGTAAAGGACACCAGCTAGTGTCAAGCCTTGTATCTTATTCCACATAATGAAGATAAAAAATGAACATTACACAGAGTAAACAATGAACTGTACAAGTCTAATTGGCAAAATGAGAATATTGGCAAATGTCCAGATTGATGAATGAAGCACCCGACATCCAAAGACTGATGGTCACTGGTAAAAATACATATTGTAATAAGCTTAGGTATATGTATGTACAGTCAAACCTGCTTTAGTGACCACCTGTCTACAAAGACCACATATTTTGTTTCCCTTGAAAATGGTTTCTCATTGAAACATGTACGTAAGGAACCTGTACACAAAGACCACCTGCCTATATGGGTGGTCTTTATAGACAGGTTTGACTGTATATCCTTCAGATGGTATAGGATGTCTTGATGTACCTTTGGGGATCTTGTCCTTGTGTGTACCCACTACTATGACTGGACAGGATGGCGCTAAGGCCTGGATGGTCAGTAACCATGGACGTAGGGTGGTTATCTCATCGGGTCCTTTGCTGATGTCATAAACAACCTGAAATTATAGAAATAGAATATAGTTTTAACCCATTGCCAGCAGGGACCGGGTGGCTCCTGTATTTAGTCTATGGGAATGAGAGAATTTGGTAGTCAATGGGTTAAAAATGTAAATACGTATTTAAAGGTAAAGACTAGTATTGGAAACGCCCCAATTTCAAAAAATGAAATGGAAGCTCTCATTACCAATCATGTGAAAGAATATGTTTTGACTAATACATGATGATAAAAAATTGCCGGGAAACCGCCTACTAGTTCATATATTTGGTAAATTTGTTTCTCTCATGGTCTGTGAGAGATATAGGGTAGTCCCATATACATCTTTCTGTGTATAGTGCTTGTAACTTTACAAAGAATGGGCCAAATTTCTTATCATTTTGATGATTCCAGAACCTTGCAGATGCTAGATGCTAGATGATCAACCTTTTCTGATCGATTCCACAACGTTTCTTTCACAATGCAATCGCATGACCATAACTGGTCTTTACCTTTAATCTAACTGCATGCTGGCCGCTGCTAAAAGCAAGAAATATCATCACTGCATATATATGGGGGGGGGGGTGTTTACAAAGGTAATTTATTTACATGGCTGGCTTTTATTTCAAAGTGCATGATCTACTGTGGTAAATGAAGCCTTTCAACAGTTATTTATCAATAACAGTGGCATCTTAGAAGCAACAACAAAATAAACATCCAATAATTGAAAAGCTAAACTGCAACCGAAACAAAACTAGCTTCCCCCCAAAAAAACTACTACACTGTATCAACAGCACCAAACATATGCACTAAATAATATCCATCGCTATCACCATCATCAACAATGAGTACCATTAAACCCACTACATCTATCCACACCAGTATCTCAACCAACCAACATCAAATCTAAAATAATACAAAATAGCCATTATTGATGAAGAGTTTGACTTAATTACCAGGAAGAGAGCTCTACCAGTCAAGAAGCAGGGATGAGTGCTGTAGAAATCCTCTTGACCTGCAAAGTCCCATGTACTCAGACAGAAGTCCTTCTTCCGTATCTGGATGCTGAGGGAAATGAAGAACAAAGAATGGAAAATATGTGCTAATAACTCAAGAGAGGAAGATTGTTTTGGAAGTATATGGGACATTGTCAATTTTCATGTACTCCTGCAGATGCTGTTCCTTTCGGTAAGCCATCTGTACATTTATACATATGTGAAGAAGGAGGATATCTTCAAAAGGGTAGGATGCTAAATAGATCATACCTCAAATAACTATCTATGTAAAAACTATCGGTCCACAATATCATAATTTCAACATGCCTCATCAGACAATCAAAAACTTGTTAATCCATTGACTAGTGGATTCTCTCATTACCATAACCTTAATACAGGGACCATCCGATACATGTAGGCAACTGGTTAATAAATAAGCTGACTCTCGCTGAGAACTTTTGATAGTCTGATGTAGTGATTCACAGCCTCTCCAAATACATGATCAATCAAAACGATTAGAAATGCTGTAATTTTTTCTTATACTTACACCCATTCCTTGACGACAACCCCAACTGTGGCGATGTTGTCACCCTTCTTATCAAATTTCTGTCCCTGCATTCTGGACAAGAGGGTGGATTTTCCGCGGCCTCCATAGCCCACTACCATCAGCTTCATACGATTGTATGCTTCAGACTGTAAAGAAAAAGGTGAGGACATTTCTGAATCTTCATACCACAGGGAAAACAAGTTATCTGATCAAAGAGACAGTTTAGAGCAACCTTTGAATTTAAAGGAGATTTGTTCAAGAAAGTACATATTATGAAGTATGAGCAATGTTATGATGCAATAGAATCCATTGGATAACACTGACTCTAACAAATGGTACTTTCAGACTGTAATGACAGTTTAACTTGCAAAGTACCATTTCAAAAAGATACAATAACAGAAAATCTACTTCAATTAATTCTAGTGGTTTTAAGCTTCAGGTTTGAAGGTAAAAACAGGCAGGAAAAGAAAGGGTAGATAATTGACAGTTTTGTGGACTTAATAACTGTATACTTGTTTACCATTACATTTAAATCAGCATAAAAAAAACGGGGCAGATATGAGCCAGCAAGAAAGACCGATAGAACAGATTACAAGACCCATAAAAACATTTCTTTAGAGTGAACATGCAAATAACAAGTCACCTTGTATAGCCTACCACCAATACAATTCTTCTTGCATGGTGATACAATAAAACAACTAAAAGTGAGTAGTTACTAGTAGATGAAAGCAATATATTCTCACCCTTTTGTACTTCTGGTTGAGGAAACCAATGATGTCTTTGGTTCTACCTTTGAGTATGGCTGGGTCCAAGTCTAGCTTGAGTCCATCCAATGGGAACTAATTTTAAACAATACAAAACTTATTTTCAAAAAAATCTGCAAATTGGAATGAGCGACACTGAGATTGAACGATTCTCAAGCATTAGAAGAAAGTAAGCTATATGTTTAGAATACAAAGCATTTAATTTCAATTTCATATTTATACATTGGTAGATATGTAATTGGAACTTTGCTTCAATCACATAGTTGATCGACTATGTCATAGGTGGATGAAAGAACTTGATTAGAACTGAAATCTTTCAGTCCCAACGGTGACACAATGAAGTTCATCTTAGTCTGACTAGAGGAATTTGAAACAGAATTTAAATGAACAATGAGATGCCACAAGTTAGCGGCAGTTCAGGAAATTGTAATTCTTAATGCTGGTGCTCACAGCCTGTAATTCCATCTATCCAAGTCACATCTGGGATCCGTTTCACAAAGCCTTTTTTCAATGACAAATGACAAATATCAGTGACAAATCTGCTGATAACCAATCAGAAGCAGGGATTTCAGTAGCTTAAAACAACAACTGTCATTTGTCACTGATGACAAGTTTTGTGAAACACCCCCCTGATTATTACTAAGGTGACAATTATTTCAATGAATTTCCTTAGATAATCAGAATATACACTATGACTTGTAAATTAGACATAGACGAGAGAAGAAGTTATATACATACCTCCCAGAGCTTGTTGAGTTGACCGAGTTCATCAGGGATGGTGGTGATGGACCTGTTATGGCTCAGGTCAAGGGATGCAAGTAGGGTCAACTGACCTAGTTCCTTGGGCACCTGGTATTAAAGCAATATGGCAAAATGGATTAGCTGGATTGAAAGAGAGAGAGAGGGAGAAGGAGAGGGAGAGAGAGAGAGAGAGAGGAGAAAGAGAGAGAGACAAATGGATACAGAGAGAGACAGACAGACAGACATAGAGACAGACAGACAGAGAGATAGAGAGAGATAGAGAGAAAGAGAGAGAGAAAGAGAGAGAGAGAGAGAGGGGGGTTAAAGAGGGCAGTAATGTGAAGAATGAGAGGTAGAAATTGCAAAAAGGTGAGGCAAGGAGCCTGATTCTCAGGAAAATTATCATTACAATATTTCAAAAATCGACTATTATCATGAGAGACACTTCTTTAAAATTGTACATTCTGATTCATCAAACAGATTATCATGCATTATGATCGATAACAATAACTTACACTAAATCAACTCTAGCTCATTGCCTACTCAGCTATTGAAGTGTGTAAATATCATAACAAATTTTTGCATGAGCTTCTGAAAGCATCCTACAGACGTTCCTGTGAAAGAATTAGAGAGTGTGTAACTGGTTTATTCCCCTGCACTAAATTTGATATATGAATATCTTTATAATGATAAGAACAATTACAATTACCTTAGTAAGTTTGTTGTGGCTTAAGATAAGTCTCTCCAGCTTTGACCAGCTCTTTAGGTTATCTCCAAGTGTCAGCTGCAGTCATAAGTGAAGATAAATGGAAAGAAAGAGGGAACAAATATATTGTTAGGACCTATATCAGCAAGTAAAATACACATGTACTTGTAGATGTTGACAAAACAAAGGATCAAGAAATTATGTAAATAAACATTACACCATCAAAAAATTACATGTTAATGAAACGGCTTATAATTGAAAACTAAACATGGTGCTCACTCTAAGATTGTAATCAACCATCCAATAGCTTCAGAAGCATGTTGACACATTAAAATTCATTTTATTTGTAAATGTACCACTGCAGCAGTTGTCTATTCATCAGAGTGAGAAATGTGGATGGATTAATTATTGAAACTAAGCATACTGCTAGGAATCTGGAGTGCAATGATAATATTCATTTCTTTAAATAAACAAAGATTGCAAAATGGTTCATGTCATTGATTTTCATAGAAATGGAAGTAAATGGGTACCCGGTAGGAAGAAATTCCTTGAATGCTTTAGTGCCTTATTATGGCGGCTCAGCTACAGCCGGGGTTATAATATGATACCCTGTACTAAGCGCAGTAGAGTTTATTCATATAGTAGCTGCACTATATAAATTGACCTTGTATTATTTTGATTATTATTATTTCAATTTACGTAGAAAACAAAAATTGTACCTTCTTGATCTTGTTCCGTGACAAGATGACTTCCCTCAGTGTTTGACTCTTCCATTCTGATGGAGGGGGGATGTCGATGATACCATTATCACTCAGATCAATATCTCGCAGTCTGGAAATGGAAGAAGACTAACACATTAAAATAACAGCTTTGTAAAACACATACTGGTACTTTTTTCTTTTTGATCTTTCAAATCTGGATCTCACCTCATTTTCGAGAAATGTATTTGTAAGAAATCATTGAACTTTTCATTTAAAATATGAAGTTTGAATACTCATTAAATCTTAACCTTTGTCTTAGAACCATGTGATGTCTGAAAAGAAACAAATTAAAAAATAAAACAATATGTCTTTCTTTTTCAGTCACCACTGTTACCCATAAAGACAACGATATGACATGTTTAGGCCAATATTTATAATGGTTATCAAGGAACATAAACGATGTGTAGTGTAAGTCTCATTTAAGTTGTTAAATAGAAAAAGTTACATGAATGCAACTTAATCTCTAACATATGTACAAAATGCAACATTTTCATATAAGAAGATCAAGGAGGTGTAAAAAAAATGTTTAGTTTTTACTCACAATGGAAGATGGAGAACAAATTTTGGAATGAAGGGGTGCTCCGGAAGACTGAGCTGATTTTTGGCTAGCTTCAGAATCTTCAATTTGCGCAAGATGTTGTCCAGGTCTCCAGGAAGGGAGTCTGTAAAAGAATACAGCAGATGTCTGATGATTTATCAAATACAGTGAAACCTGTCTATAAAGACCACCCAAGGGAGACGAGAATAGTGGTCCTCATAGGCAGGTGGTCTTTTCGTAAAGCTTCCCTTAGTACATGTTTCAATGAGAAACCATTTTCCAGGGAAACAAAAAATGTGGTCTTTGTAGACAGGTGGTCTTTTTATACAGGTTGTTACTTAAGCAGGTTTCACTGTGATTGATTTGAAATAAAAGCTTATAGTCTAGAAAACTGGCATACATAATAAATGCAAGAATAAATGGGAAAATTTACCAAAGTATTATCATTTATACTTTCTTTATCCCAGAACTTAAAGCAAGACTGTTGTTGACTACTTTGACATTCTCATCTGAATAATAAAGACATGCATGCATCATGTCTGTTCATATCAGGCAAGTTGTTTAGAAACATGCCATTTCCTCTACAGTCTACTTCTAATGCCAGTAAAATCAGAGGCAATACAAAACAAATTCACGCACTATTATATGCGTATGTTCTTACTGCTACCGATGTAGTTCATGTCAGGCATACCTAAAGCAAGCTTTAGTGTGTTTTTGAAAAGCCTCATGGGCGTTTTTGAACTATAAGAATCTTTACCTGTATTCTTAGCTTTGTAATGTTTATCTCTATGCAGCCAAGATCAAAGGGGTCAATAAGTCTCCCCCTTCTGACCTGTAAGATCAGCAAAACAATCCAGCCTTTGAAGCCCCACTCTACTTCTTGTAGCTACTTGCTCCCTTTATATAGAAAAACAATGCCTAATCGGTGACCATTAGTCCCCCATGATCCTTTTTCTTCTGTTAATTGAGAGCTGAGTTGATGAGATAGCCACCTGTCAGTGACCATGCGGGGAGGTTTAATCCCTCCTGGTCAAACATGTGCAGTGAGGCTTTAAAGGGATTACAAAATTAAAATAGAATTTGAAACGATCCGTAAACTTGCCCACTCACCGATCTGATTGTTTGATGCACACAGCTGCTCTAGTGCGTCACATCCATGAAGGAAGACAGGGGTCAAGGTGGTCAGTTTGTTGTTGGACAAGTCCAGAATCTTCAGCAGTTGCAGGGCGAGAGGTTTGTCAGGGATGGTCTCGATCTTGTTGCTGCAATAATGAAACAAAACAATTTTGAATTAATGGACATCGATGAAAGAAAATCAAAAAGGCCATTTCAGTTTTACTTACTTACCTACAAATCCTTATATGTGATTTTATAACTGGTCAGCTATTTCCATTGATATACTACAAAGTTAAAGTCTAACTATATTTTCTATGTCTGTGATATGAGCATTAATGTATTGGTACGGGAATGAATATCTTGGTACATACAACAAATATCTGCGACTAAATCCTGATTGTCAGAAATTCCATGATATTTACGACGAAGTCAAGATTAGTATTCTTGCAAAAGAGGAGAGTTACCTGGCTAATGAGAGTCTCTGAAGAGAAGGCACAAACATACTAAGCCATGATGGAAAGCGGACTGTGGCATTGTAGGATAGATCCAACTCGACAAGCTTGAAGGCAGTGTCTCCAGGTCTGGTCTTGTTGAGATCCTTGATCTAGGATAAACATCAGGGCCCGTATTCAATTCAATATTCAAATACAAAATTTAATCTATTAATTTTAAGATATTTGGCTAAGATAAAATACTTAGCTAATTTTGGTATTCCTTTCAATTTCTTGGCTAATTATTTTACCCTAAATTTAAGACAGCTCCCTACCAGACTTAAGCCAATTATTTGGAGACCTTGAATGGCACTGGCAGGCATATAGTTTTCTTACGCAGTACTATAACCTACGCACAATCATATTAGCGCGCATTTATTGCGACGCGATAATTGCTCATTATTTTTTATTGACCGTGTGATGTCACAATGCTTATCAGTAAATATTTTACTTAGATTTTGTATCAGGTAAGTAAAAGTCTAACATGTGATTTGAATACGAGATAAGTAAATTTCTTAGCTTTTACCCATTTAATTAGTAATTTTTTTTACTTATTCTAAGTATTGAATTGAATACTGGCCCTGAACCATAAGGACTTGTAATAGGATACAACAAAGGTCCAGTATCTATCATCAATTTATTAGTTCATTAAGCAAGCATTCATGAAAGCATACTAACTATAGTCCATGTTTAACTCCAAACTAACCAGGAAGATTTAGTCCACTGAATTATAGAGTGCCCAATATCAACATCGTCATTATGTGGAAAATACCATGATTCTCTGACTAAATGAACAAGCAAAAATCTTGTCACTACAAAATTCGTTTCTGATTATCATTTCATTACTTGATAAACGTTGTTACAAAATGACAGCTATTGATAGTCAAAATTAGAAGATCCATTTAGTTCCAATTAAAACATATGCCATCTTATTCGCTGATAATATCATCTAATACTTATATATTAAAAAACAAAAACTTACAATTGGAATTCCAGTGAAATAGGTGAATATCAAAATCAGAGTGGGATAATATCCATTTTGTTTGTTTGTTTTATTTCTGTATAAAAACAGACATCATGCATTCAGTAAAACAATACAAATAGAATTATGAAATACAAGATAAAATAAACGGCTGGATAAGCCCATATTCAGCGGTATCGTTCCATGGGGACCAGACTAAAATACTATATCATATATACATATCTTTTTATTTTATATCTGTATCACTTGTTATAAAATATTCACAAAGAAATATAATATTCTATAGAATATGAAATAACTAGTAACAGGAGGAAATTAGGAAGCCATTTCCATTGCATACTCACTTGGTTGTGAGAGAGGTCTAGTAGAGTTAGCTTGCTGAGGCTGAGTAGATGGGTGGGTAGCTCTGTGATACCATTAGATCTTAGGTTCAGTTCCTGTAGCTCAGGCATGTACTATATCAAATTAAGAATCAAATGTGCATTGAATATTTGATTTACAAGCTATCAAATTCATAAGATTATCTATTTCACATTTGAGATTAAATTGCAGGCATATAGACTGATGAAGAGATGAATAAACATTAACAGAGGATGGATAGAAAATTGCAAATTGGCAAGTAGTTCCTAATATTGAAGTATTTAACCCAATTTATCTAAAGTTTAAGATAATCACTTTTTCTTAGGGTTAATTAATTACAAACACCTTGCTACAAAATAATAAACCATTCTCACTTTTGCTGTCACTCACTCCAGTTCCTCATGCCATTTATAACCTAGTTAAGATCAAAGAAATTGAAAATAGGTAAATCAATGGAATAATCACTCACATCGGTCAATTCTTTGGGAAACTCAGTCAGACCGTTGTCACTGAGGTCAAGCTTTTCAAGGAACCTAAACTCCTGTAGCAGCCTGTGAGGAGCTCTGGACAGCGGGGTCAGGTCAGAGACGTTGTTTGCAGAGAGGTCGACAAACTTGATACAGATATCTGGTCCTTCCGGCAGATCATGCATGTTAGAGGGTGCTGTCAGGGATCGCCTCTTCTGACGCTGTGGCGTGTTACGGTACATTCCTGCGAAAACAATTACAACAATATCTCATTTGTTAATACAGTTTGATTCTGGTATAAAAGAAATGTACAGAGAGCAAAACCTATCTCGTATAATGATGAACAAAAATAATGACCGTTTCTAATTTAGCTTTACCGTATATAAGTACACATAGTACCAAAAAAATATATACCTGTAAAATACCATTTAATACGAAGGTTACTAACCCATTGTATACAATGTCATTCTGGTATAACAAACTTTTTTGAGAAACCAACATAATGACATAAATGTGACATATTTGGCATAATATAAGTACACATAATGTACCAAAGGAAAACTATGCCCCCCCCCCCTTAATACATAATCCTAGATCCACCACCGTTAATAATCCAACCATTGTATCAAACAGTGGCAGCACATCCAGTCAATACTTGATTACTTCATCAGGAACTTACGCTGCGGTCTCTGGACACCAATCTGGGACACCACATCGGGAATGCTAGAAGAAACCATGCCAGCATCTGAGAAATCATCAGCAGTACTGCTATCACTCACAGCATACTCAGAGGAAATACCTGTGTAAGGAATCGTAAATATCCTGTTATTTCATTTGCTTCTAGTCATCCAATATAACATTGTCCTAACGTTCATAACATCAAGGAGTTTTGAGAAACCCTTAAATTGCATACTATCATACTATTACTGATTTCTTGTAAACATTTGTTGTAGATTTCGGTCAAAATCCAGTTATGCATGAATAAAAAGAGGCAAATGGTTCCAAGAAACTCTAGATTATCTTTTCAATTATAAATTTTCAATAACCTTATAGAAACAGATCTTGTATATGAAATACAATTTTTTTTGCCGCTCATCTGGTGGTCGTTTTTTTTTAAAGTTGCGAGGTTACACCATACTGATGTTTTTAAAAAATACACAAATTTATGACTAAACTAGATGGAATTTTGACTGCGCGCAGTCGAAAATGATGCCTCCGCCATAGAGCAATTTAAACAAGTTCAAGTTCAAGTTTGACCTACGTGCTCCAAAATCTAATCAGATTGTCTTCCTATGGTGATACACACTATCATTAAGTTTGAAGTTTAAATCTCCAGTGGTTCTTGAGATATTATGATAACAATCTCAATGTATGGAATTTCATAAGTTGACCTCTGTGACCCTTGACCTTTGACCTACGTGCTCCAAAATCTAATCAGATCGTCTTCCTATGGTGATACATACTATCCTTAAGTTTGAAGTTTTTACATCTCCAGTGGTTCTTGAGATATCATGATAACAATCTCAATGTATGGAATTTCATAAGTTGACCTCTATGACCCTTGACCTTTGACCTACGTGCTCGAAAATGTAATCAGATTGTTTTCCTATAGTGATACACACTATCACTAAGTTTGAAGTTTAAATCTCCAGTGGTTCTTGAGATATCATGATAACAATCTCAATGTATGGAATTTCATAAGTTGACCTCTGTGACCCTTGACCTTTGACATACGTGCTCCAAAATCTAATCAGATCGTCTTCCTATGGTGATACATACTATCCTTAAGTTTGAAGTTTAAATCTCAAATGGTTCTTGAGATATCGCGCTAACAAACTCAATACAAGGAATTTCATAAGTTGACCTCTGTGACCTGTGACCTTTGACCTACGTACTCCAAAATCTAATCAGATCGTCTTCCTATGGTGATAAATACTATTCCCGAGTCTTAAGTTTAAATCTTAAATGGTTCTTGAGATATTGTGATAACGGTCAAACGGGACGGACGTACGGACGGACAACCCGAAAACATGATGCCTCCGGCACCACCTTCGGTGGCGGAGGCATAAAAAAACAGGATTTGATATCACTTACCTCCTCCAAACTGAAACTGAAACGTTTTCCCAGGAGGGTTTCCAGACAGTCGTCTCTCATCCTGACTACTTACATCAAGGTTCTAAAATGAGATGTTAAAATGCTCCATTGTAAATCTAATTCAAAAATGAAATCGATATTTTCAGAATCTTGAAAGGTATTTACTTGCTTTGGCCAGAAGAAACGAAAATCAGTTATAACACGTCTTTGATGCATACCATACTTTAGGAAAAAAAGTAATTATCATCCAAATTCTTGCGTATAATTTTTTATTTAAGGATATCCAAATTTCTCCCAAACAGAGAGAACAAGAAATAAATTGCCCTAGACTGATTGTCATGACGACCATTTGATTAATACCACTTTCTTTTAAGAGACTAACACGTCCCAAGCCATCATTACAGATAGAAACTGAACAGAGGTGGGTAAGGTGCTCTCAGCCGTTACTGAATGTATCTCAGACAACTTGAAGACAATAAAGCTTTGTATTACACAACCTGCTTCAACTCCTTCCACCCCTAACACCCTAGGAATGGCAAGGCTCTTTGCTGCTTCAAATGAAACAATAGAGAAGATTGAATATTAATGAGTACCTACCTGAACCGATACACTCTCATCAGCAAGATACATACTGGAGCTATCAGCTGTGGAAACAGTAGATATAATACTTTCTCTCTTTTTCAGTTCTGGTCTGGACGGCAGGATGGCAAGGGATGACTCAGATTCTGATAGCTCTATACTGCTGCCAAGATCTGTACATTGGAGTTAGTTAGAGAAAGGGGGAGGGAGGGAGGGAGAGAGAGAGAGAGAGAGAGAGAGAGGGGGGGGGTTAAATCTAATTAGTCATCAGATAAAAGTCACCTACAAATACCAGTAGACACTGATTTTTTGTCTCTCAAATTTGCATGTGTTTCAGTTCTTTAAACATAAAAGTAAAATCATTATTGTGATTCTTTCTGTGATTCGTAGATTTAAAAAAAAACAGGTAAAATACACTGTAGTTATCAGGATGTCATCAGGATATTGTTGCAGATCAAGTATTTAGTTCAAAACTGGACCTTACAAATAGGCATTTCCACTTGAGTATAGTTTTGATAAATTTAAAGATTTTATACTTTCAATATACATGTGCACTACATGTAGATATAATGATTGGATTATCAGGGGTTTCAATTCATTGATTTTTTCTTTCCATTTCAAGGCCATGAGTTACTATAAGCTTTTCTGTTTGAGAGCTCCAGGCAACATTGAAGTATCGGATGTGAGCAGTGGAATACTTACTCTGTTCCATATGCATCACCCATCTTGGATCATCCATTAGGATTGGGAGCTGGGCGCTACTCAAAGATTTCTTACGCAGACGGCTGGCTTTAGGGGGAAGCTCAGAACCGGAGCTGAATCGCTTTCTTCTGGCTGTTTCAGCTAAATCTAGGTCATGAAGAATACATTCATACATTGTATGTGAACATACAGACATAAAATTAGCAGATAGATCATACTATATCATATCTGAATCGAGTGATACACCAATATAAGACTATTCCAAAAATAAAGGTAAAGCCTTGGCAAGGTTCCAATCATTAACACCAATGGCAAAAAGGCAAATGTCAGGGAGAATAAGACTCTTATATAAATAGCAAAGCATTGTTCTGCAAGAAATTCCAACACCAGTCTAATTCCACCACAAGTCCAACCTTGGACCCAAAACAAAAATAAACTAACCCTCAATCTAACCTTTGACCTAATCAGAACCCAAACAGTAGCTCTACATCTTTGACCGAACTAGATGCATCTATGTCTGCTCGCAGTCGAAGATGATGCCTCTGTCATAGAGCAATTTTACAAACCAAAACAAAAGAAAATTTTAAAATTCAATATCCTGATTACAAAAAAAATGTGCATACATAATGAGCCCTGTGACCTTTGACATTTAACCTCGTGACCCCAAAATCAAATCAGTTCATTGGCTTTGCAAGATACATACATGACCCAAGTTTGGCGGGAATCCATCAATGGGTTCTAATGATAGTGTAATCACAAGTATTTTTGCATACATAATGAGACCTGTGACCTTTGACCTTGGATCTTGTGACTCCAAAATCGAATCAGTTCATTGGCTCTGCAAGCGACATACATGACCCAAGTTTGGCGAGAATCCATCAGTTGGTTTTTGAGATAACGCGATCAGGAGAAAGAGACGGACGGACTTACGGACGGACAACCCAAAAACATAATGCCTCCGTTACAACTAACCCTCAATCTAACCTCCAACCTAATCAGAACCCAAACAGTACCTCTATATATTTGACAAAATAAAATCCAGATCAAATTTGAGATCACCCACCTGTCTCATCAACAGGCTCAAAGAACGAGGAAACGGAGGCAGAACGCGCACTATTCTTCTTCAGAGTCTCCACCAGCAGTGGAGACTTTCTTCCGTCTGGTATCGGAGAGCGCCTCCCATTCAGCCCCTGTGACGATCGAGCCTCCGAAGGGGGGAGCCTCCCCAAGGAAGGTTGATCCCTCCAGTAGTCTCCCATCTCATCGTCGGTGTCACTGGTAGCGGCTGTGGCACCGATGGGGATGGTGAGGGGACGGAGATGGGATCGAGGGGTGGAGGTGAACCGTGAGGGCATCAGAGTGGCGGTGCTTCCACCTTGGTCACTGTCTGAATGGTTAATGTAGTACGCATGGGTTTTTAGTATCTCATCATCATCTGAGATATTTATGAATTAATTTATTTATGTTCACAATTTCATAATTCTTTGGAGTTAACATCACATGAATAAGAATATAGTATAACAAATCATTTTTCCATTCTACAATCCATTTGAATTGACCTCACATGAAAAAGAATATAACAATTTTTTATCAAAGACAAGTTGCAACTATCATACAGTTTACAAAATGAACACACAAAGGTGATGAAACATAAGCATAGAGCTTGAATCGTTACAACACCTTTTAAATATATAATATACGAAAAACTAAAGGGTTTTGAACTATTTAAACTGTTTACAAAGAACAAGAAGATAAAAAGAAGATAAAAAAAAAAGAAGAAAAAAAAAAAAGTATATTGCTAAGTCTAGTAAAACGTCTTAAAGATCATAAGATAATTAAATTTATGTTCATGGTAACTGATATGTAGAATTATATATATATCTAAGTAATATCTTACATCTGTGAAATGATAATACATTTGAGTTCTCTTTTAAATGAGTTTGGTGATTTTATATTCGGAATATCATAACATACAGACTATATTGATAATTTCCTACTCAGTCATGCATATGTTTGAAGTTGAAATCTATTAGAACTTAATTTTTTGATAAATAAATGAATATTTAAGCCTTCTTAGATCTAATCTCAATACAATATGAATAAAATTTGCAAAACAATATGTAAAAAATGTCCTGTGTAGACAATGGCCCATTAATAATATTTTGAACCCAAAGTAACTGTGAAATTTCCTTGCATGACATACATTTATTTCCTACAAATAAATATATTAAAGAAATTCAAGGAGTAGATGCAGGACATGGGCTTCTTCTTCTTCACTTTTCTTTTTAAGAGGCAAGGCTGGCATAGTAAACTGACCTTTCTTATCCAGGAATGGGAGGGGGGTGGTTAATGAATGATATAGATATGGGATATATATGTATACATAGAGTACCTTCAAGAAGTTGTGATGAGAAAAGTTCTTCAGGGATAGTTACAGCAGTGCAATCTACGCTGGCTATATTTGGATGGGTGCATTTTAGGAGAAGGAAAAAGGCAGTCAGTGAAAGAGAGATAGAAAAAGAAACAATGGTTGCCTGTATAAATATATACTTTGGGAATAAATAAGTGTCAATACCATGGCAAAGTGTTATTTCATGAATATGCATATTAAGGAATAGATTAGACCAATTGCATGCTACATATATAGGTACAACAAGCTAATTACTTTAAGCAGAAGAGAATATCATGTGGGAAAGATATATTCACAGAAAAGTTAGAAACAAATAGACATATAAGTTTAGTGATGTGATATATATAGTGTATGCTAAATATATGTACCGGTATATCACTTGGGTGTGTATTACACAGAAAGATTTTGTGACATTTAGTTAAAATCCATTTATACATTAATGTGAACATTTTAATTTGCCTTTACATGTATGTCATCAGTGATAAAGTATCAAACCACATAACCATCAAAATGTGTCCACACAATTTGGTCCTGGGAAATTCTTTTTATGTAATTGGTAGCACAACTTTTAGCATCTTACTTTTAACCAGTAACACTTAAATTATGACTCATGTTATATATTCCAGATATCTTTCACCTACGAAGGCATGTAACGCCATGAGTTCTCTTTTTTCTATGAATAATAAATTAATCATTAAGTAGTGCACTGTTCAAATCCGTACACCAAAATAGCATAATTAGGAGATTCCAGATGCATATAAATATCCATTGCCTATTTACTGCATGTGACTGAGAATAAAGTAGTACAATGCTATATCTTGTGATCTACAGATCATTATTAGCACCGTACCTCGACGAAGAAAACCTTGCAATTTGGCAGATTCTGCATCCCACCTTGGCGGATTAATGTCACTTGCTGAATAGGAAAACATACATACACTCATGAACAATTACAGAAACACGCTCCAAATGTATGTATGTATTAATAACCAGTACAAAGAAGTTTGAGAAGGTCAAAAATATGACACAATGGCAAGAGATAAAAAGGTTGCATTCACTGATTTCAATGGTTTTGCCTCTTTTCTTGCAACTTATTGAAAAGGGAACATTTTTTTTTCAGTTTCATGTAATAGTATGATAAGAATCTGAAAATTTGGGTAGAAATGTTTCTTTCAGAAATTGAAGCATTTGATAGAATGGTGATAGAGAAATAAAAATTCTTAAGATATATTGTTTTCCTTATTTCCTTTTTTATCTTTTGCTCATGATAAAGTATATAACTTTTTATCTGATAGAGAAAGATTTTCAGGAATAAAAACAAAACATGAACATTTCATTACTAGTTGATAGTAGGGGGTGAAAACTATTAGTTGTCACATGAAATGCACCACAAAAAGAAGGAAATGATAGAAAATTTATTTATTCAGTTGTAAAGTCAAACAAATTTAGTTCGGAAGCTCATGTAATGCTTCACATTTGCATCATAAGAGGAAAAAATGATAGAAATTGTATTAATCCATTATTAATTACTCAAATTCCTTATAAACATTTCCAAGGCTAAATACACCTGAATGAATAATCAATAAATACACCAAATAGTTACTGTTGTTATGGATGCAATTTATGTATCAAAATGGAGTTACCTCTCCTCTCCAACAGACTCGGTTGTGAGATATCAGTCATTGAGTTTGGTCGAGACCTGCTTGCTGCCGAAATGATTACTAATTGATAAGAGGGGGTGAAAATTTTCAACTTTGGTGAGTGGTGAGTGAGAGAAATAGAAATCTGGGACCCGTTTCACAAATCCTTTTTTCAATGACAAATGACAAAAATCAGTGACCAATCTGCTGATAACCAATCAGAAGCAAGGATTTCACTAGCTTATAATATAAACTGTCATTTGTCACTGATGACAAGTTTTGTGAAATGTGGCCCTGTTCTTCTAAGTGCATTTTGGTTAGAATGATAAGTTGTGGAATATTAGAGAGGGGTCTACTGTGAACATACACTAGACAGAACATTCCATACCAATACAAATCACTTTCAAATTGTCTATGTTTGCAACAAGTGCACTCCCTACTGACCTAAAAAATTACCGGTACATGACTTCCCTTCCTGCACACTACAGCAAGTACTGATTTATTCATATGATGATTTAGACTTCCAGGTAAAAATATATAAAGCAACAACAAAAAATTATGTGATATTTGTGCTCTTACTGCGATATCTGAGAGTGACAAAATGACATGGTGTACATCTTCCCAACTTAAATTTGGAAAGCCTCTAAATTTTGTTCCAAACAATTGTTTGACAAGTGCTGTGATTCTGCTATTGCATCCTAAAAATGGGGCTAAAAAAGAAATTATGAATTATACTTCAACCGATGCTTCGTAAAAGTTTAATACCGTATTAAAGAAACTGGTTAAATCACACATTATCAGGACGTGCAATTCAATGGTTAGTATGAATGAAGGTGTCCTGGGTTCTATGTGTATGTGTAGGTTTTAATACCAAACATCAAACAAGGATGGTTAAAATAATTAATCAAACATTAGTTACCAGATTAAGCATGGAGGGGGTGGATAATAAAAGGAAAGATTCAAATATTGGTAATGAGATTTAGTTTACAGCATATAACAATGGTGTGATCAAAAGGAAATCAATTTAAAAAAGGTTAGTCACTAAACGGACTGTGCATGTATTTTTCAAACATTATAAAGAGGGAAGGGCAGAGGGGTTGGGGTGGAGGGGGGGGGGGGGTAATAAAAGAAATCATTTATATATTTGTTACCAGAGGGAGGGGGCTGCTGCATTTCACTGACTACCCTTCTGACAGGGATAGGATGCTGGGTACGAGGCCCACCGGGGGTACGAGGCCCACCAGGGCTGAGTGGTAGAGGTAGTGATGCGGTTGAGATGGTCCACTTTAGCATCTTGGTGATGTCATGCTTGGCCATATGCTCCTGCAGCTTGACGCGCTGCTGCCTGGTCTCTGCCTTCATCAGGATCTTGCTGGCGATGAACGAGCTGTTACCACTGTCCGTCTCGTTAAGGCCAGAAACTGCAAACATTGACAAGCATGAAACTGCATACTAGTACAGATTGGGGTGTTTCAAAAAGATCCTAAGTCCAACTTAACTCTACGTTAGACTTAAAAATTATGGAGAGCCATGTGTAACCTTAAAATAAAATATATTCAAAAGTAAAAATTTCAAGTATTTTAGACTTTTCATAAATTCCACATCAAGAACTTGAAATCTCCCATGATAATACAAATTATGAATGATTTGAATCAACATTTTATGCCTTTTAAAATAACTTTAACAAAATATTTTCAAAGATGCTACGGTTTTTCATAATTGTTAAAGGTAATACAAAGTTTTTGAATATTTTGAAAATTTGGTGGATAATGATTCTTTACAATTTTGATATATTTGGATGCCCCGGTGGATGTTTTATAAGCACTAGAAAATTTAGCCCCTAAAACAATTCTGCTTTCAAGAAAAAATGAATATAAAAATTTAAAGGTGCTCCCTGTAAATTTTGATCAATTTTAAATAGCGCCTACGGCCGTACTATGGTAGTTGCGACCATGAAAATCTCAGAATATGCAGTTATGATATATAATTTCCCAATGAGAATAGCCAATCGGTCAAATTTAGTCAAGAAACATTGTTTTATAGCTAAATTAATATATTGACCTTGCGAGGGAGCTATACAACATAAGGAGTTTATTATTTACAATTTCATAACTTTAGACTCAATTTCAACCGGGACAACGATCACTGAATATTGTAGGATCGCATATGCTTCCAAAATGTTCATTTGAACCAAATTCGTGACCCCATACCAAAACTTTGTATTACCTTTAAGTCCACCTAATGATCTTTGTGAAACACCCCCCCCCCCCCCCCCCCCCAGATTGGGGTACATGACTTCATTCAAAAGGATAATGCATGATGTGTAAGGACTATAATAGTTATTCAAATTAACTATGTTGAGAAAAAGCAACAACATTGTAGTTACATGTATAGGATGATACAGAAAACTTTCATTGGTTGGAGTAATCATAAGTTTTAAGCTTCAACCAACCTCAAAATATAATAGGCAAGATGTGATATCGAACTTTTGTGATTCATGGAACTATACTGAAATCATTTTTTTTTAAGAGACCAGATTTTCTTTGTCCAATATTATTAGATTAATACTACAAATATTTCAAGTAAAATTCCAATGTAGTATATGGCTCTTATATTGACAGTAAACAATGAAACGTTCTACTGCGAATGAAGATTTTGAGTTTCTACTCACCATTTGGGCTGTCAGGGTCTGGTGGTTCTTCATCTAAGAAGACTTTGTACAGCCATTCTGGGTTCAGTCTCGCTAGTCCAAGACTACTCCAGGTCAATGACCCAGCTGGAAAGAAAACAGATTTGTGAAATAGTGATAGTGGTGGTTATTTTACCCGACAGCTAAGAAAGCAATAAATGCTTGTTAATAAGCAACCAGAAGACAGACGGCTTTAGGTCCTCTCTGAGGAACCTGGTAATGAATGTTTTGGAGTAAAATCTTCATGGAAGTCTGTGCAACTAGAAGGAATATTTATCTCGTGTTTATTATCCCTTTTTGATTTCATACCAGAATATTCAATCAGAAGGTTTATCCCATTCTGGCTTTGTGATACAGTTAATTATGAAGTGTCTACATTCCTGAAGATTATTTTTACCAAAACTAAGTTTTCAATTAAAAGTGCAGATCCTTCCTTACTTTTCTTTGCAAAGTTTTATCTGAAATAATCCCAAACCTTATCGGCCCGAATTCACAAAGGAGGTTTGTCAACAAACCTAGGTTTATGTGCGTCATATGACACGTTTTGACGCGTTTTTACAAACCTAGGCCATCATGATTGGGCCTTTAATTTGGGGTCATTATGGCAAGATCATTGTGTACGTATATACTATCAAAGGCAAATAGTGATACTTTCCATAGCCTTTATCTATCATCCCCTATACATAGTTTTAGGTATCAAGATCAAAATTAGAAAGTTTCTACACAAAATTGTAGTAAATAGTATACCTTGTCTATCGCAACCCATCTGATAGAGGAGCAAGCCAATGATGTGATGCTGTTTCAGTTTTAAGCAACGGCTGAGGGGAGTGTGCAAGTCACTGATTCCCTGTGAAATTAACGACATCTAATATAAGGTATCACCTTCAATGATATTAGAGGCATCCACTATAACGTATCAACTCCAATGATATTAGAGGCATCCACTATAAGGTATCAACTCCAATAATATTAGAGGCATCCATTATAAGGTATCACCTCCAATTATATTAGAGGCATCCATTATAAGGTATCACCTCCAATGATATTAGAGACATCCACTATAAGGTATCACCTCCAATGATATTAGAGGCATCCACTATAAGGTATCACCTCCAATGATATTAGAGGCATCCATTATAAGGTATCACCTCCAATGATATTAGAGGCATCCAAGGTTTTGTTTCATATTTCAAAATGTTAGCACATTAAATGAATAATCACAACATGAATATCAAAGTCAGGTATGCCATTACAGGGACATGTACCACTCTTACTTTAAACATTGAAATCTGAACATTCAGCTCCTACAGTATACCACATATTATACATTCTTAAAGAGAAATCTAGTTACTAAACCTCCCTTCTAAATATACATGTACAACTATAAATAGTTTATAGACATACCCTAGATATAGCCTACATGTTTTAATGAATGCTTTCTATTTCAGTTAAACCATTCTTACATCTTATGCCTGTAATGTCTAATTTCACACACAGTAATTATACTAGATTACATATTTATAAATAGAAACAAGAAAATGCCATGCCTCATGACTTAGCTACTTATAGTATTAGATTTCCTTTAATTCATAGGGTCTAACAATGAAGAACTTATGGTTCTAGAATATTTATAACCTTAAAAACATCAAATTCTAATTTTTGCAAGACAAAAAGAAATCTCACCTGTTTGAGTAGTTGTTTGACCATGTCTACATTGTTATTCTCACATGCAAAGCACATAGGTGTCTCATAGCCTTCACCTGTGTTGACATCAGCACCTAGCTCAACTAGAACCTCTACTCCCTACAGAAAATAAAACAAAGTTATTGAGCCGTGAGCCGGTCAGAGGTCAACCGATAGGCATGATGAAGACTCTTCACTGAAAAATTAAGCATAATTTGCTGCTTTTCTGCCTTATTTGCAACTTGGATAAATACCACTCCATGTACTACAGGTACATCTAATCAGACCCAAGCCATTAATTGCTATGTACTTCACATTGTGCTTTTTTCTTGCAGTGTAGGCCCCGTACACATCGCTTACCATGTATTTGTGCCACTTAAAGGTAATACAAAGTTTTGGGAAATTTTGGAAATTGGGTGGATAATGATTCTTTACAATTTTGATATATTTGGATGCCCCTGTGGATGTATTATAAGCACTAGAAAATTTAGCCCCTAAAACAATTCCGCTTTCGAGAAAAAATTGAATATACAAATTTACTGCGACCATGAAAAACTCAGAATATGTAGTTTTGATATATAATTTCCAAACAGGAATAGCTCTTCGGTCAATTTTAGTCAAGAAACATTGTTTTATAGCTTGATTAATATCTTGAACTTGAGAGGGAGCTTTACAACATAAAGAGTTTATTATTTACAATTTCATAACTTTAGACTCGCTTTCAAATGCGACAACGATCACTGAATATTGTAGGATCGCATATGCTTCCAATATGTTCATTTGAACCAAATTCATGACCCCATACCAAAACTTTGTATTACCTTTATTATATTTATATATACATACACCTTATCAAAAACATTAGCCAGTTGAGCCGTTGTTAAGTCATAACATTCCATGCTCTCTCTGAAAATTAAAGGTAAGATTATCTCTGACCTACAATCAATATTAAACTAAGTGGTAATAGAGAATTGTTCTTTCATCTTGCTTACCTTCATGAGATTTTCCTTGCAAGCCCACAGCAGCATCTGATCTGTGAACTCCCACTTGCAGCAAAGAATATACAGACACTCACAAACCAGGTTTACAAGAGCTGTACAGAAAAGAGATAAAAACAATAAGATAACACAATTATTGGATTGGATCTGCATAAGATCAGAAGCCAAAAGTTTAAGACAGTAAAGCACAAAACGAGCCAATCAAATAGAAATAGAGAGAGAGAGAGAGGGGGGGGGGGAGGGAATGAAAAAAAAGTGATACTAGCAAGCAAGTACTGATACAATTTTAGTGGGCAAAAGGCACTTTAATACTTTACAACCCATTCCCATTTTGCTGAAAAATGCTGAAACAACAAACAAAACTAATCTCAATATGCAAATCTTGAGGTGAAATATATTTATAGGCCTATAATAATGAGCAGGGCCCTGTACAGTCAAACCCGCTTTAATGACCACCTGTCTACAAAGACCACCTGTCTACAAAGGCCACATATGTTGTTTCCCTTGAAAATGGTTTCTCATTGAATCATGTACTAAGGGAACCTGTCTACAAAGACCACCTGTCTACAAAGGCCACTTTTTATGTTTCCCTCGGGTGGTCGCTATAGACAGGTTTGACTGTATTACAAAGAGTTGATATCAATCGCAATTGTGATTGATATCAATCACAACTATGTACATAAGAGATGGGAGACTGCAAACTTGTGATTGATTTAGGGACTTGATATTGATTCGGATCAATATCAACTCTTTGTAAGACGGGGCCCTGACTTCATTAACCCAATACGTGGCCTGCAAGTTCAGACCACTCAATCAAACAAGAGATAATACATTCAAATTAAAACTATGCTTACTATCATCGTCTTTGTAAGCCTCTAGAATGTGGAAGAGCTCTTCATGGGCGTTGTAGTTGACCAGTGTCTTTGTGACTTCCTGCGAGATGTCGGCTAGGAACTGCATGGCAACACAACTCTACAGGAACAAACATATGAGCAATGATTTACCACATGAAAGTATCATACAACATGCAAGTTGATGTAAGAGGTTTTTCAAACTGCTATTTGATATTGATATGCAGCAAGTAAGTATATGAAGTAGATCAAAAACCAATGGACCTATGAATTGAATTCCTATTCAAGGGACTTGGTAATTACTCAAAACAGAAGTAAACTATTAACCAAAGGGAATACGCACATTTATTTGGCTTTGAACAAAATACCTCAATGGAGCTTCAAATTCCAGAACCTCAGGAGTCAATTTACACACTCTAAGCCAATCATCTCATGGATACACTGTCAGGGTACAAAATGCAAAACATTCACTACTTTTTTTTCTGTAACCAATTAAATTCCCTGACCTTTCCTAGATTTGGTTGATGTTTCTTAAATTCCCTGACTATGCCCTGACTGCAAAAGAGGGAACTCATTTCCAATGTTTCCCTGATTTCCAGGATAGCTGGAATCCCTACTAAAAAAAAAAATTGGGAGGAAGGGTCCTTGCTTACCTCAGCCAGGATAGAAGGTGCTTTTCTGAACTTCTTCATAGAGCTGATGATGGCTCTAGCAATCTTCTCAGCTAGTCTGTCATCACAAATTGACTTCTTCTTGTTCACAACGGTCTGCAGTAGAATGGTGCCATTCTCTTGAATAGCTATGCCATCAGATTAAATGAAATGATCATACTAAGTTTCAGTAACCCAAAATGGGTACATACAGATGAGTTAAATCTGAATCATTAATTTGGGGGAGTGACACTTGTGTGATTTAGATAATAGATTGTCAAGAAAATTACTGATTAAAACAAAATTCAAAGATAATGACAAGTAGGAAATGTTTATGTCACCAAATATGTTCAAACATCAAATACTTACATGTACTGTTAAATTATTCCCAAATACTTAACTTGATCGCTAGAGAATTTCTGCTCGGATAAAATAATCTTTTATTGCATTCATATGTAGGTCCATGATGATAGTTTGAATTTCAATTGCCATTTAAGTAAGTTTTAATAGAAATCATGAAGGGTTGTGTTATTTAATTTTGGAAGCAAAATATCAATCATAATGTAGATATTTTCATGAATGAATAGAATCATTTAAAAAATGGGTATCAATTAGAGACCTGAATTAAACACTTCTCTCTCACCTTCAATTTGAGAATATTTCTCCATCAGTTCTACCGTAAGAGATAAAATTCCAGCTTCAACAAGAATGTCAATCATTCCCTCTGAAATTCAATAAGATAAACAAATATAGATTGTGGTTTATGTGTGGTTATTTGGATCAATGTGGATTACGTACTATAAGAAGTACTCTACAGTACAGCTCTAAACAGAAACTGTGCATAGTAAAATTGATTTTTATACAGGAGAGCCTACATATAACAGTAAAAAATTAAGATCTCTAAATATCTAATTACAATAAGATCAATGAAGAATAAAAATCAACTACTGAAATTTTATATATCCTTGGAATTCTTTCCATAAAAAGAAAGATGAAGGAATTATCAGTGAATGCAAAATTGCATTATACGCTACAACAATGCAAATTTCAGTACGAATGTAAAAGTCTTAGGAAATACAATAAAAATGACAAGGAATTTCCTCTCACAAATCCAAATCATTTTGTTTAAATGTTAGTATTTCATGTCAAAGATTCAACTTTCAAACTCCAATCAAATTGTTTTCAAGATTTACCTGCTGATGATAACACAACCATGGTTTCTAGGAATAGTTCTTGAATGTTGGGGTCATCCTGGTATTCTGCCATCCCTTGAAGTATGACTTCATGGATGCCTTCTACCATACACTGATACTTCACAACATCTGCATCAGAAAGACAAAAGCTTTAATAATAGGCAATTTCCGCTCTATACTGCACTGAACATATCACAGAGTGAGAGAAGGACTTTGATCCTCAGTTGATTGATAATATTTCATTTTATATGTTGGGGTTTTACAGATATCAATCAGATATGATTAAATACACCTAAGAATGGGTATTCAATGTCATCAGCCAAATGGCGCAACTCTATTAACTGTACCCAAGTTAGTTTAAAGAGCAGTAGACAAAAGAACATTTACCAAGTCATAAAGCAAGCAAACGTAAGTCTCTTTCCCAGCTAATGATTGGCATTCAACCTACTTTTACAACCTTTTTAGGTGTTAAACAGAATCGATTCTCTACCTGCTTTTCGAAGCACAATGTATAAATCAAATATCACATACAAGACTTTGCAATCCATTTTAAAAATTTGTAAACCTCAGAAAGAAAATTTGAAAAATTTTCCCATTTACTACAACAAAAAGGTAATTAATCGCGGAAGAGGTTTACGGTACACCATGTGTAAAGTCCTAGAAGGATTAAGGAAAGTGGATAGAAATAGAAGTGAAATGGAAAGGCGAGAAAGTGGAGGTTGGAAGGAAGAGTATCTTTCGGAAGTGAGTATAGTCCTGAAGACGGACAGTCAACCTGTCCGAAACGTCGAGTCTACTCTCCTGCTCCTGCTCTGCAACTCTACTCGCCGACTCAAGCCAGCTTCTCTCATCTACTCAACTCTCCAACTCAATCCAGTCTTCTACTCAAACCTCTCATCCTGTCTACAACTTTCTGGTTTACAGTCCTTTTCAGGACTATACTCACTTCCGAAAGATACTCTTCCTTCCAACCTCCCCTTTCTCGCCTTTCCATTTCACTTCTATTTCTATCCACTTTCCTTAGTCCTTCTAGGACTTTACACATGGTGTACCGTAAACCTCTTCCGCGATTGTTCATACCACCATGCAAACCTTCAAACATCATCCAAAAAGGTAATTGTAATTACGAAAACACACTACTACTGTTAATGAATAAGGTGGTCCATGTGGTATTAGAAGTAGAGGGAATCTTTTTAATCAACAGACTATAAGATCAGTGAGAACGTGATACAAAATGATGTTTTACAAACTGAAACTCACCCATATCAGCAAGACACGTGATGGTGTTGACTATATCCAAAAGAACCTCCACATCTCCTATGAAGTTTCTGACAGCCTCAAAGAGAAGGGTGTGGATACCGGCTTCAGTTACAGCTTGCTTGTTGTCTAGATGAATCGAGTCATCTCGGTACTCTCTATGTAGGAAATGACATTTTAAAAGAATGCTCATTTTGCAATCAGACTAATAAATTATATAATAGTTGAGACAGTCCTTTTAGTCAATTTTCAGTTTTACTGTATCAAGCCCGTGAAGTCAATTAGCCCATGCGCCAGTAAGTCAAAGACAGTGTCAGTCATTAACGCAGTCCTACCTCAGCAAATGACATTTTACTACTTTATAGTTCTCATGATATATCAGTTCCCACGTGTATACAGCCATCGTGAACTATTTTTGTTTCCTTTGCATTTTGATGATAGTATTATTTGATAATGTATTGCATTTGTTTCTTGTTCTTTGATGTTTTTTTAATGTACCGGTAGTTGTATTTTGTGTAACAGGCAACATAATTCAACATGCAGAATTTTTTTGTGTGTCAACTGGATGATAAATCTGATTCAATACTTGATAATGATACTGGTGACCTTATTGAAAATCCATATTGCACTCCTTTAGAATTTTTGAAATGTCTTAAAAAGTTATACACAAAGTACACTCTCTCTTGCACAATTTAATTGTTGCAGCTTGAAACAAAATTTTGATACATTCACAAACTGTTTTGATGTTTTTAATAAACCCTTATCATTAATTGGAGTTTGTGAAACATGATTGAAACAACTTGAAGAACAAGAAATATGGATTCCTTGTTAAAACTTTGTTGGAAATTGTCGCCCGAATAAAAGAGGGGGTGGTGTTGGTTAATATGTTAGCGATAGCTTAAGATTTATTAGACGATTGGATTTAGATATATTTATTTAGTGAGGATATTGGAAGTGTATGTATTGAGGTACATGTACGTAATAAAGTGAAAAATGTTATTGTTGCTGTAGTTTACCAGCCTCCAAGCCAGAACCTATCAAGCTTGTGTCTCAATTACAAGAATCTTTGATTGAAATAGTGCAAGAAAGAAAAGAATGTATAGTTTTGGGCGATGTTAATGTTGATTTTATGAAAAAAGATGAAAATATGAAAGTAATCAATTGTTTAAATAGTTTTGTCGCTTTGTCTTTTTTTACCATATATTTATAAACCAACAAGAATTACAAATGATATGGCATCAACTTTAGATCACATTTTTTGTAATGATCCTGGAAAAGTTTTAAAATCTGGCATAGTTATAACAGATATCAGTGATCATTTAACACAACAATTTTGATTCTGAACCCGATATTGAAGTACGTAAAATTTATTTTAGTGAAGAAAATATGAAGCAATTTTGTAGTAAGTTAAAAAAAGTTAAATGGGAACGACTCAATCATATTCATGATGCGAATGATATATACAATTTTTCTTTTTAATTATATAAGGATATTTACAATTAATTTGCTTTTATCAAAGGATATAGTACTTGCCATGCTCTTCTTGATTTTATTGACAAACTTGCAAATGCTTTTGAACTCAATGAATTTTTTAATTGGTGTATTTTTAGACTTATCCGAAGCTTTTGATTGTATTGATCATAATATTTTAATAAATAAGCTATGTTTTTATGGTATACCGGTAAGAGGAATTCCTCTCCTTTTGATTAAAACTTATTTATCAAATCGAAAGCAATATGTTAGCTTGGGTAATTATTACTCTGATCACAGTACTATTTTAACTGGTGTGCCGCAAGGTTCTAAACTTGGCCCGCTCTTGTTTTTACTGTACCGGTATATCAATGACTTGCCATCTGTAAGTAACATTTTATCTTCTATTTTATTTGCTGTTGACACCACTTTGTTTTTATCTGGTAAAGACCCTGTAGATGCAAATATTTTATTAAATTCTGAAATTATCAAAATACATAAGTGGTTCCTTGCCAATAAATTTTTGATTAATTTTGAAAAAACAAACTATGTACATGTAAGTTCTAAAAGAAGAAATGAATATGTAAATGAAGCTGCTATTAAGATTTGTATAGATAGTAAAGAGATTAAGCAAGTACACCAAGAAACCTTTTAAGGTGTCATTATTGATGAAAACTTAACTTGGAAGGAACAAGCTTTCAAAGGTCATTGGTGTCTTAAATAGACTCAAAGATATTTTACCATTGCGCATACTTGTAAATTTGTATAACACTATGATTTTGCCTTATTGTAATTATTATATTATTGTATGGGGCAATTGCGCTTTGTATTTGCTTCAAAAGCTATTTTTATTACAAAAAAGAGCCGTCAGGGTTATAACAAATTCATATTTAAGAGCACATTTTAAAAACTGCAACTTTATGATTTATATGATTTAAGTATTGGAGCTTTTATGTTCTCTTACATGTACAATATAACTACTTTACCTGATATTTTTCATGATTATTTCATTTTTAATAGAGATACAAATCAATATAGTACTAGAAATTCAAACAAACTTTATGTTCCTTCATTTTGCTATAATTTGTCAAGAACAGTTATTAGATATGAGGGATCCGTTATTTGAAACTTACATGAACTGGATTCTCTCTCGGGATAGCCAATATTCTCTAGTTTTAAGCGTAAATTTAAAGATGAACAAATAATGAGTTACAATATATTTATTTAACTTTATCTAATTCTGCCTGTCCTATGTATGTGTGTATGTATGTCTCAGTGAATGTAATGTCTATATTGTCACTATTTGCTTACTAATGATTTTACTTATGGGGTTTGTAGAAAAAAGGGACCAGCCTAGATAGGTCAATGGCCCTTTCTGGTCCCTCACATTCCTCCAAAACAGTTGTTAACTTAGGTGTTACGTTTGATCAAAACCTTTCAATGCGCCCCCATGTCAATAGTATCTGTCGTAAAGCATCCTTCGCCCTGACAAAAATTGGTAAAATTGGTATAAATTGTATTTGAACGTTATATTGTTGTAAATTTTGTATTGGATGTGAATTAAACTGAACTGAACTGAATATATAGATGATTGACAATAAACACATTTCTAGAATTGACCCCCTTGTAGAAAGATAAATATTTGTCCCATCAAAGTATAAAGACTGTTCCTTCTCAATTGACCTTTAATGCATATAAATGAATGTATATGTATGTCCATGAAGATAAATGGAAACGTAAATTCAAATCCTATGACCTAGCATAGCCTATAGATTGAACAATCACACTTATTAAACATTTCCATTCCATACCTTATACAGCCAAACCTGCTTTATTGATCACCTGTTTTTGTTTCCCTTGAAAATGGTAGGAACCTGTACATAAAGACCACCTGCCTATAAAGACCACCTTTCCTTGGGTGGTCTTTATAGACAGGTTTCACTGTACATCAGTAAAGAGATGGACATTCACGCTAAGACATCCATTTCTGAACAGAAGACATTCACATTTAATAATTTCCATCCTGGGGCCCGTTTCACAAAGCCTTTTTTCAATGACAAATGACAAAAATCGGTGACAAATCTGCTGATAACCAATCAGAAGCAAGGATTTTCAGTAGCTTAAAACAAAAACTGTCATTTGTCACTGATGACAAGTTTTGTGAAACGCCCCCCTGGTTATCTTACATGGCGAGGCATAGTCCTCTGATAGCTCTACTAGCAGCAGCTTGGCATTCAGGGCTCCTAGCGTAGGTCACCATGCCTGACCTGATATCCATCAAAGCTCCCTTCTCTGCAAGAGTCCTCTGCATCATATCTGACAGAATGAGTTAAAGGGATATATCACCTTGACTACAATCAAAGAAGTTGTTTCATGATATATGAAATGTATAATGACTAAAATACAATTAATTATGCTATGTGTATGAAGAAGATTTATTTTGTGAATTTTTAATGAATTTCAATCTTTCAGAGAACATACTGGTGCAGTATGATTAGTCCATGGCATAAAAAACAAATATATGACAGTTTTATTTATTCATAAAATACTGTATTTCATCTATGTTTGCAGGGTATTAAGAAAGTCCTAGTCTTATGTATTCACAAAAGTGTATTTATGGCACATCACTTTTGTCAATTTCTCAATTATTCTGATTCAGAAGCGTTCAGTCATGCAAACTATTCTTTTAGATTTTGGTATCCATGATTAAGTACATTATGTGGAGTTTACAAAATTGTTATGCAATATTATGAAGGTTGCTATATGATATCAAAACTGCATTTCCTAAAGTAAAAGAGCATCTTTCTCCATTAAGTGCATCTAGCATATAGGTCAGAGATTGTATTAAATAATTACACTTCATAATATAAATGCAAATGAAAATAAATTACCTGAGTTTTCCGCCAATGCTTGGATTGCATCACAACCCATCTCAAAGATGATCTTACTGTTCTTAGAATGCAATCTCAAGCTCATCAGTACTGCACTGTCTACAGCCATACTTTCACTGAAAACAAATAAAAGCTCATAGATACAAAGGTTTGCCTATTCTTAAATCAATGTAACTTAACCAATCTACGTATACCTATTAAAAACAGCTTATCCATCAAACCATCGAACAAAGACACTCACGAATGTAGAGCAGGGAGTTCAGGTTTGATTATCACCTACATGAAATACTTCCAATTCTATCAGTAAATTGCTTGTAAAGCGGGACAAATATTTGCTTTTTGTCATTGCTTGTAACATTTCCTTCATCACATTATAACATCTCCACTGACATTGTAATATATACTGAAGGAAAATTTGGCAGTACAGTTTTGAATCACAAGATTAAGTGATTAATTTCATATCGTCTGAGTTCTTAGCATCCTCTACTGCATTCACAATGAATTCCATTTAGGTTCTTTACCTTTCTTCTGTGAGCATTTCCACAAGCATGCCAGGTCTATTACTGACCAGTGTTGTCAAAGCCCTCAGAGCATTTTCCTACAGAGAAGAAATAGCAAGATAACAAATAATATACACAAAATATGGTGAATGTCACACTGACTGAAGATCTGTTCATTTAAATCAAAAGGAATACAAGAACCCACTTAAATTATCCCATATGAAAGTTAGATTACGCAAATTAACATGCGATACAATCTGATACCCAGGCTTAAGATATTTAATATATATATCTAGACAAATCTAAAATGATTCGAGAAATATGATTTTATGATTGACATGAGATTTGGCAAAGACATCTAAAACCAAACATTAATTGCTTCATTGCAGTTCTTAATTATAAGGTGACATCTACAGTTAATTTCAGAAGAGGACTTTAGAGGTCTGGAAAATTCTTCATTCAATCTACATTTCCATGAAGTTATTAAACTATGATTTTTTCTTTTTTTTTCTTTTTCCCCTTTGTTTCTAAAACTGAATTTCTACAGATCTATAAATAAATCATTTCTTACAAGGCATGGTGGTGAGTCCTGATGTTTGGTAAGAGCCATGAAGGTTTCATTCATCCAGTTATCATTCAGCATCCTATCTAACCACTTGGGTGCTGTGAAGATGGCTTCCGCTATTCAAGAGATGATGATGAAGGAATAAAAGATAGAGAAACTGGATTGGGAAAATGGCTTCAGTTGATAAATATATATGCAATGAAGAATGAGGATAACAAATTGAGTTAAAAAAAATTAAAAATTCAGACCAACTGGAGAGCAGAAAAGAAGTCTCTGTATCACATCATTTCATTGCAGAATTCAGTTTACTTTTTTTAATAGAGACCATTCACCCCAATCATAACAAAACGCCATGTAAAAACAGGTCATATGTACACTGTGCAGCATGATCGCTGTTACAATGTAGTTGTTTTGTGTTCCATTTATATTAACAGCTTATAACAGATTTACAAAGCTTACAAATGCTTCATTGGCAGTGGCACTCATGCATCATGTAGTAGTTTCGACATGGCCTTATACTTGTAAAGATTTCTTACCATAACTGATGTCATTGATATTAGAATCAAATTGATATCAGAATATCACATTTATGTCTCTCAAATAATACATTTTAATTTTTTTGTTAATGTTCTGTTAAAACCATTTCCAGACCCTGGATGAATCCTTACCTAGCCTATCCATGACACTGAGACATATAGTCAGGTAACGAGCGTTGTCTGAGAACCTTCGTAACGCATCAATCAGCAGATCCGATACATCATTCAACACAAAGAGCTGCTGGCTGTCCTCTGTAGGTTTAGAGAGGTCAAAGGTCATTGTTTATTTAAGTGCATGTAAAGTCCAAACAACTAACATACATGTACATGAAGAGGGTTAAGGAATAATGTTAATCGGAGAGGCAGTGGAGCGAGTAGAGAACAAAAGAAGAGGTTGGGGAAAGAAAAGGTTCATGAAATGGAGGAAAACATGGAAAGTTTATACATCACTGCCTGAAAATCTGCAAGTGCTCTTAACTTTTAACAATGAAATCCATAACTATAACACTCGTCATAGAGAGAAATTTCATATATTCAAATGTACAAAAAAACTTTGTGTCCTTTTCTGTTAAACATACTGCACCTCTTTTCTGGAATGCACTCCCTCAGGAAATATGTCAAACTAGACATTTTAATGGATTTAAAAGGAAACTCAAATCTTATTTATTAGCAAGTACGTAACCCCTGTTATACTATTTTATGTGATAAAAAGAATTTCCATTTCTGCAGAGTCAACACCCTCTTGCTCCTCACTGGGTATTATGTTCAATTATATCCTACCTGTTTGAACCAATGCCTCAATGAGAGCACAGCATGCTGTCCGTCAGAAGGGCATTAATCACACCTTTCTGCAGAGTCAACATCCTTTTGCTTCTCATCAGTCATTATGTTCAATTATATCCTACCTGTTTGAGCTAATGCCTCAATGAGAGCACAGCATGCTGTCTGTAGCCCAACATTATCAGGAAACCTCTTGATGGCTGCTATGATGTCCTTGTGGGTCTCTTGAAGTAGAACATCGTAACAGTCCTCTGAAAATTTATCAATATCTCACAAATTAGTTGAAGTGAGATACTTTGATAAACAACATATGCACCTTTTAATCAGTCTGATGTAAAATCACAGAGCATTGGAAAATATTTTTTATCGAGTCTTTCAATCTGTCATTACATGTCATAACAAATAAATATATCACTACCATATAACATTATTTCAATGATGCACCATAGGCACCCATATCATAAAAAGAGAACTTAACAAAACATTAAAAACATCTTAACATTTGTTTTAAACACATGGAGACAATTTTTTATATTTTAAGCAGAGGTGAACAAAACTGGTGAAATGCTAATCTATTTGTGTACACCAAAGTGGCATCAAACTTTGCATGCTGTGGATCACATTTCAACAACTACATGCCTCTTCCTAGGAAATGTGATACAGTCAAACCTGCTTTTAAAATAGTGACCAACTGTATAGAAAGACCACCTGTCTACAAACGCAACATATTTTGTTTCTCTTCAAAAATGGTTTCTCATTGAAACACAAACTAAAGGAACCTGTACATAAAGACCACCTGCCTATAAAGACCACTTTTTTGTCTCCCTTGGGTGGTCTTTATAGACAGGTTTCACTGTTTATCATTATTGCAAAGACATATGTTGTACACATGGTGTTCTTGTAAGTGAATAAAATCAATCAATCAATCAATCTTACGGGGATAAATACATTAGAATTCTATAAATATTTATAGCAAACACAGATAGTTTAATATATATTCTCATCTTACTTTTAACATATGGAGGTAATTTCAAAATCCTGTTATAATGTGCATAATAAGTGTCATTTCATTTTAAAAAAGAAAGAAATATATGCTTGCCTGGAATGGCTAGTATAGCGAGCAGCCAGAACGCCTCTTCAAGCACTGCACAGTCCTTGCAGTGGTAATGGACGGCTGCTGTTATGAATCGATGCCTCTTTGTGTCAACAAATTCAACCTGACGATCTGACTCTGAGAAAAATAACAAACATAGAAAAATTAATTACGGTTAACTGCAAAAATCATGAACATTTCAACAGAATACAACCACTCTGTTTATTGGAGAATCTTGCAATTCATTTCACTTCAGAAGGAAGGAAGGAAAAGTAACAATCATTTACATACTTTTGCATTACTTTTTATTTGCCTGCACTGAATTTTTCCACCTCAGTTACCATACAAATTTACTCAACTCCTAAGAGGTCTAGCTTATTGTTAATGTGTAAGTGCATTGCAATAACCAGCCCATGATTACATCTTTGTTCTATTTATATGACAATTTATATCCAGTTTGTTTATTATGTTTTTCTGTGGATAGTTAGGTACGTATTTAATGATTGTTGTGATTCCATATATTTGGTGTTTTACCATGTACATGTATATGTTGTTTCATTTTTAATAGAATTAGATTCTAAAAAAAAAACTTCTTATTTCATCAATATAGAGAAGTACAGTAGATGATGGGGAATTAAACAACACTTGATATCACATGGACGTTATTGTTCAATTCATAGGGGAATTATGCAAAGCTGATATCCCATGTTGCATAAGCTATCAGATTTTCTCCTTTAAACTGGTTATGAGATCATGGTACGGTTTATGAGCAAGTGACATATGACGAGATGGAAACCCAGCATGGTTCAACGGGTCCAGGGTCGCCATACGTCATACTAGCTTTCACTGGGAGAGGAGAGAGAGCCAGTTAGAAGAAGTAGAGTATAGGGAACCAAGAGATACTCGGAAAATGGAAATTATGTGATAGAGTGAAAGAGCACCAGAGCGAGAGAGAGAGAGACAGACAGAGAGACAGAGAGAGGAAGAGAGAAAGAGAGAGATAGTGGGGTGACCAAATGGGACTTTGGCATACTAGTGCAGTGAGAGACATGGGTCAACAGTCCAGGATAGCCACTATATGTTGGGTGTGGTCAGTTAATTAAGGAGATTAAAAGGGAGGTACTGTATATAAAAGCTAAAATGAAATGAGATGAGAAAAACAACAAAGGTTGGAAAGTAGAAAGTTAATTTCTACGGGAGTAAAAATAAAAAACATGGAAAGTTAGAAGAGGACCAAAATCAGTCTAATACATAGTGGTATAAAAATAAAAAGAACATTCATCATAACTGTACATACATGTAGCTACATGTGTGTTTATACAGGACAATATGATGTATACATATGTATGTTCTTTTCACACCTTATCTGAGTTATGGGTAGCAAAGTTTGATTAAGATTTTAAATGCTGTACGTGTTTATATCTCTTTCTGAAAACGAAACAGGAACATACGTTTCAAAAATTGAAGATCAATATTGTGCCAAAACTAGGCCAACGCCACCCTACTATTGATGATTACCAACCCCTAACAACTAATCATATAGGACAACTACCCCTGAGGAATAATACCCCCGCCGCAACCTCATCCTAGGACATTGCATCTTTGAATTAATTCTATATGTGGTTGTTATTATTGTGCTGATATAAGAGAGCCATCGTCATTGAAATAAACTAGGGAATTGTTAGCACGATAGTAATTGCTTTGAAGTGTAGCAGTTGCCTGACTCCCCCCCCCCCCCCCCCCATAATTTAATACATGTTCTTTACCCTCATAGAGCAAACTATCAACAATTAAACGACCCATGAAAATCCATTGAATAACAGACTTGTTGATATGGAAGATTAAATGACAAAAACAGTTCGGGAAAAAAATGGTGCGTGAGAAAATGCATCAATAGCCATGGAACTTGTCCCTGCATGACAATGTTATAGAATTATACTCCAAGAACATAAATACAGCAACTCATCAGCATTATTCACACAGCACCTAAAACCCACGCAACTGTACAATTAATTATATAGATAGCACAATGGCATAATAGGAATAAAGTCTGTCATGGTGCACATCATGTGGTCTCTTCTTTGTAATGTTATCATAAAATCATTGTGAGGCATTTCTTTATAACACACAAACCAATAGTGATTACCCAACATGTCTAAAAAGGGCAACAATAGTGTCAAAGTTATTGAATTCACATTGAATAAATTGTATAACACGCACAAGTAGGGCTCAATCTACACAACGAGCATATATTTTCTGCTCGTTTCCGTCTTCTGATATCTAAAATATTACTCCGTGCTAGGATTCATAGTGAGATAACACCCTTAAAATACAAATCTCTAAATTATTTTGTGAGTAATAATTATTAATATATGAGGAAGTCCCAAAGTAGTTGGTCATTTGCTGTCTCATACATGACCAAAACTATACCATTAAAAAAAAAATTGTTTCCATTCTTTTTTTGTCAGATTCAAGCTCTAGGAGGACTTTCAACTAGATACAACCATCAGGTCTACCAAGGCTAATGATGATGTTGGTGATGCATAGGGGTAACAACCCTGGACTCGCCCACCATATTCATCTTATACGAACTGTCAAAGGCAATCCATCAATAATTTTCAGAACCAACCTTATGAATGCAAGGATTCTGATCACAATGAATCCGAATTTGATGCATGATTCTCCCAGGTTAAGCAATCTACCTGTAACTTACCATCTGTAAGTAACTGCTTGAGGGCATTGCAAGCATTCTTCTGGACTGGCGCATTTCCTGGGAACAGTTTCATGGCTTCCAAAATGGCTTCCATCACATCCTCTCCCAGCATGGCGATGCACGTGTCTTCTGTGAATTATTAAAAGAAGAAATATCTAGAAACAGTCCTTTGTGTGAAAAGAAGATAGATATTGCTGATAACATATGATACCAAAAACATAAATTTAATTTCATAGCACACATATCCACCATGCAAGGTGCTCTAATATTTCCCCTCTAGCTAGGCAACTAATTTTAGTGCTAACAGCATTCAAGGAATTCCTTCCTGCTGATACCCATTTAACACCTGAGTGGAGATTGACATACATGAATGTAGATTTGTCTTGCTAAAGGACACTGGTTCTATGACAGAGCTTGAACCCATGAACTTCAGTATTTTGCCAAAATGAGTATTTGATATCAAAATGTTCAGAAAAATGTGGGCTTTAGTTCCAGGATACACAAAGACTTAATTCCACCCAACACACCATTGAAGCCAATGGCTAGTGAAACATAGACTTTCATAACTCCTTAAGGCCCAAGTGCTCAGTGACATATAAACCACTTTTTCTCAAAATAGCCCAAATGGAGTTACATCTTTGTGTCTCTGACCCCTTGATATGTACCTAGGTTAGATAATTCAAAGACTAAGAATTTGGTAAAGTGCCTGAACCTCTACCCACCTGCCATAGCCAAGAAAGCAATGGTTTTCATTGCAGAAGCTTGAACCTTGGGGTCATCCTTATGCTTGTCCATGATCTCGAGCACTTGACTGTACAGTGGAAAGACATCAAGAAAGATATAGAGTGAGAGAAAGAGAAAAAGAGAGAGGGAGAGAGAAAAAGAGAGAGAGAGAGAGGAGAGAGTAGAGAGAGAGAGGGGGGGAGAGAGAGAGAAAACAACAGACAGAGAGACAGAGCCAGAGACAGAAAGAGAGAGAAAGAGAGAGACAGACATATAGGTGTACGGAGAGTGAGAAAGTGAAGGAAAACAATACAGGAAAGACGGGGAAAGAAAAGAGAGAACAGGAGAAAAGAGAAGGAAAAGAAAGAACAGGAGAAAAGAGAAAGAAAAGAATATACAGGAAGAGAGTGAGGAGAGAAATATGATACGGAAAAACAGATGAAGAGGAAAAGGAAAGAGAAAGAAAAGAGTCAGCAAATAAGCTATTGTAATTGCTGTTAAAATTCAAACCGGTATCTGTATATCATGATGTTTAAAGAAAATATTATTGGTTTACTTTATAACAAGACTAAAGATTGATGAAAGCACGAATAAAATTTAGAGCATGCCTTTTTTTTTTTTATTAAGTATTTCTGTACAAAGGTGCAGGCCTCAATTCGGATCAAATTTTTATTATATTCATGTGACTCGTGTAATTTCTTTCATACGGTTAATAATGTCAAATCTATTCTTTTCAGTGAAAAGATTTGGATCCTGTAGAGTCTTATACAAAAGCCTGCATGCTTCAGTTAACTGTTGAAAGATTCAGTGCTTACGTGAATCACACAAAAAGACAAGAAAGAAAACAAGAAAACTGCCTAAGGGGCCAGACCCACATCATAAACAATTGGTCTCCTGATATTAATGTTGGGAAAGCATCTACATGTATGGTATGCCATCGATCCAAGGAAATTGGCACTGAAGCACAAATCAGTGAGCTGAGACCTGCAAAACCATTATCCCATGAACCATCTTCACATGCGTAGAAACTTCAGGGGGGGGGTAACAAACATCCAATAAATTTTCAACATAAACATCAGGAAAATAATTTATAGCTATCCTTAGTATCACTTTTATATGTATGGACATGGCACCCAGCCATTTATGAGAAAAGGGAACCATGAATATCTGAAGTAGCATCCTTTATTGTGTCATTTCAGACAGGTGGTTAACGCCTATAGTATAAACACATTAATAGATTTCAGCATATCACGAGATAAGATACACATACAGGACTTAATTTTGTATTGGGGGAGGGGGGCTAGTTTCAGAACCTAAGAAAATGATGATGATGCAATTTAATAGATCATGAAAAGAACGGTTTAAAGGGGCATGTTACCGCCAGTGTAGTTATCGGAACATGCCATCTGCGTAAGAGCCGTATTCTTTTGGTGTCAATAGGCAGCTATAGCGCCGTCCGCCAGCGCGTACGTATTTTGCGCGCCCCTTTAACATCAACTTAATACATTAGCAAAAAAAATACAACATTTATTACTTTTCACTCTAAAAATCAGAGCTGAATTGAAGATACACTGTAGATCTTTTGGTTTGTTAGAAAAACGGAACAATGATTATTTATAAGCATAAGCAAAGGTATGCCAAACTATTTAACGTTTTTGAGTAAGGCCTGGTAGTGGATGAATACATTGACATAAACATATTCAAACTACTGGGAAATATACTGGAAAGACTCGGTATAAAAAATATTATGAAATATTAGTTTAAAAATTGGGTTAAAAATGCTTTAAAATACGGCTCAGATTGAATCTTACATCCTTAAGCAACATCTGTAGCCTGGTCACAAGGGGCTTTGTGTTTCATGTACATCAGTTCATACTCCTTCCACATTCAGTTTTACATGTTTTAAATTTTTTTGTGAGGACCAACTCTGCTATAACTGAATTCTTCACTTTCCGAGAAGGGAAACAATATAAAACCTAAAAATCAAATATTTTAAAGATGCACTGGTACATCATTGGGAGTTTGTAATACTACAGGTAGGTCCTCTGGCTGTTTGGGTAAAATTAATAACAGACCAAACATTTGATCAACGTTCAATTTATATATTATTAAAAAGGGGGTATGATGCATTAAAGAATGTTAATGGTTATCTATTTTCTGTTTAATACAGTTTATAGTAAATATTAAACCTACATGTATATCCATGTTTGTACTTCTTACCAAAGTTATGGATATCCAAACATAATAAATGTTTATTACACAATACATAACACATATTTTATAAACAGAGTGACTCATCACTATATTCTCATTGCCAAAGCAGTTGTTTGTTATTGATTGCAGTATATTTGAATATACCTGTGAATGTTCTTCTTGTGAACCAAATCTTTAAGTTTGTCACTGACTTGCATCATGGCTGCTAGGGCGTTACAACCAGCCTGTAGAAAAGAAGAACAAAAAATCTTTCTCACTCAGGATTGTAGGGACTAAATGATTAATACAAAATATGAATACACCTGTTATATGTCACATATCTATTCAAACGCAAGTGTGCTACTGTAAATCACCAATGTCTAAATACAATGTTATGAACAAAGTTATAAATTCAAATGTTGTTAAAATATACATCATCTATCAATTAGCAACAAACAGCATTATTGATAATGTGCAATGTGCATTGAGAATTTATATTTCAACAAGCCATCCAAATTTAAGCATAGATTCCAATGTTCTTCAGTATGAATACACTGACAATTTCAATCCAGAATATGTATTGAACATGTAATTCTAATTGCATCAATTCGGCAGTAGTGAAAGCTTTGTGCCTGCCGAGTTGCCCACTTTGCATGTCAAATCATGAAGATTTGCTTTCTAGCTCCACAAATTATGGACAGCTTACAAATACATGTATGTTACAGTATCCATGTTCTGAGACTCTATGACTTACCTCCATCAGACACAAAATCAACTTCATGGCTGCCACAACAACCCTCAAACAACAACGAGGAAAGCACAGCCTACAACTTGTTCAACAAGGAGCACAACTACACACGTACAAGTACATCCAGGATATCATATTCCAAAATTAATAGTATGAGCCATCCGATGTTAATCCACAAAACAATTTCAACCAACAAGGAAGAGGATTCAGGCCAAGCTCAATATACCAACCACTTTACCAACATGGCAACAACACACAAGGCATGTTGCAGCCACATTGCCACTGTGTGTCATAGCAAATGGAGGTAGAATATGGTACCGGTATAATTATGCTGGCTGGGAGGAGTCCCTTAGGATGATAAGAACCTTAACCTGTCAGTACTCAAGATTAAACTGAACGTTGGAAGCCTTTATGGCTGGTTGATCATGCATGCTCTCAATTATTAAAAATTTGCAGCTCAGTGAATTTAAGGAGCAAATTGCTCATCGTATATCAATTCTGAAATATGAACATTTCTGAGTAGTTAGTTTTGATGTAGTACAAATACATGTAACTATATTTCTAAAAAAAATTGTAAAGTTTATTAAAATATGCAACATTTTGTATAATTAATCTGCCAAATGTGGTAGAAAGCAAAATGTCATAAATTGAATACATTTTTTTAAATGTATAGATTTACGTTATTTCCTAATGATATTTTATTTTAATATAATAGCTTGGGGTAACTTATAAGTGTATTCACACCATATACAATCTCAATAATTTATTGTTCTAGTAGGTTAAATGAGTGAATAACAACATACAGAAGAAACATAAGTGGTGCATTGCTAACAAACTTACAATTAATTCAATGAAAACTAATTTCATGTTAATAAGAAGTAGGAGGAAAAAAATAGGCATGAATGGTAAACTGAAAATCGCTGGCGAGGAAATTAAAGAGGTTGATGTTGCCACTTTTGTGGGGGTTCACATTGATAGACATTTGTCTTGGAATAGTCATATTTGTTTTGTAAATCAGTGTATTAGAAAGAAAATTGGAGTGCTATTTAGATTGCGACATTTTGTTCCTAGCCGTACTGATATAAAGCATTTATACAACCACATCTTACGGAAGAGAGGTGTGGGGAAGCACTTATATTTATAAGACTATCCTAAGAAGTATATTATATTCACAGAAAATGGCAGTTGGTGCTATAAAATTTAGTGAATGGAGGACTCCTTCAAATCCATTATTTAAAAGATAGCCAATCCTAAATGTGTATAATTTACATGATTTATCCATTTCTATTTTCATTTTTGATTGAGTCAATGACAATTTGCCTCATATCTTGATAGAGAACTGTGACATTATAGAACATAGCTATTCCACAAGACAAAAAGAAGGTGGTCAATTACGTCTTCCAAAATTAAGAACGACACAAGGTTTTGGAATAGATTATCTATCGAAGTCAGATTGACAAGGTCTAGAAATAGGTTTTGGAATTCTGTTAAAAGTCATTTGTTGAATAAGTCATGAAGAAAATATCAATTCAAATAATTTGCATATGTACACAATCTATATTTTACATTATTAGTTTGTATATTGTAAGACATTGTTGAGTATTCTTGTTTTTTAAAGTAATGATTGTAATAGTAAATTTATTATTTTTTGTTTTGTTACGTTTTCTAAATTGATTTGTACCAAAATACTTTGGTTAGCTGTTTAAGGGGTTAGGCTCGAATCGCACATGTGCTATTATCTGGCCCATTTTACCAACCAATAGTTTCTCTTCTTGTATATGTAAAATCATCATATGAAAATGTATGTATTGCTGTTGGTAAATAAATCAAATTTTTAAAAAATAAATAAATAAAAAAAATTTAAAGAAAATGTAACGTCCGAAACGCCATTTTAAATTGCACTGTTCCATCCAAATACAAGAGATGATTCAGATTTATGTTATTATCCACCCATGCTCATTAATCATCAATAGAAAAAATTCATATTGTTTGTGCCTAAATATATTTTTCAGCTCCAACCATAATGGTATGTAGATTTGGGTTACAAATTCTGTTAACAATTTGCTGTTCAGGGTGATTTTTTTAGTTGAGCTATATGGGAGATAAATCTAGGTCCATGCTAAAAGAAAAGTTGGCAACTGATTTCTAATTCTCTATCTTTGAAAATGTTCAGGCTCTCAAAGTGCCATTTAGCTATTTGGTCATAGTTTTTTTTAACAGAGCCATATACTAAATGAAGGGATCTTAAATAACAAAAAATATTCCTGTTACTGGCATGATCAAAAAGAGTTATTGAAAGAAAAATAACTAGCATAAACCTATTTCCGTTGAAATGTTATTCCAATACATGTAACAATACACAGACACAAATCATGTAGTAAGTTTTGAGGCCAGTTCAAGGGCACTTCCTGTGTAATACAAGAATACTTCCTTTTATAATCTGGCTGATGAGTTGAAAATATGGTTGTAATGATTATAGGGAAAGACTAGACAATAGAAAGTTTGGAGTACCATGAAATTTCCTGAAGAAACAGAAAGAATAACTTGCTAAAGTAAGTAGTATAATATATATGTTAAGCACGCCACCAACTTTCCCTTTTCTATAATTGAAATAGCTTATTCAGTCTTTCCAATATACATACTTGTAGACACTGTCTATAATACAGCAAACTTTGTGAGGCATCTTTACATGTACATGTAACAATAGTGATCAAAACTGATTAGCAGCAACTGACTGGTAACATTAAATTTTAGTAAAAAAAACCTGAACACATATTTCATTAAAAAACCTGTACATTACATATATTTAGTATATGCCAGGCACTCTTTTATACTTTACACATAGCAATCCTGATCCTGCATTATAGTTTTCCTTGAAAGTACATTTTATGAAATTATTCAAGCTGTATATACACAACATTAATTTGAGGTCATGCAGTTCCAGAGAAAAGAGATGACCAATATTCAAATATATTTGGAATAGGGCCGATTGAATGGTGTTCTATTCTACTCTTCAAGAACTAGCCAAAGAAATTCATCTCAAAGTTTGAATGTTACATATCTACATAATACCTCAAACTCAAATAGATTGCTCATTTAATTCACCCAACTAAATTGGAAATCAATCAGAAGTGTGGTGTTTATCACATATCAAATCATTCCCACTACCTTTAAGTATATTACAAATCTATTTTGAGTTCTTCTTTACTCAAAGATTTAAGTTCTCTTCATAACAAAGAAGTATGACAAAATACTTCAAAGAACCCTTTTCTATTAATTTCCAGCAAAAACTGTAAGTTTAAACTATGAATATATGAACATGTAGTAGATTATTGGTAAATCAATAATGATAAATCAAAATTGATTTTAGCAACTGTAGATTTTTAGGTGGTACATGTATTTTACAAGCGAATATATAGTGTACTATGAAAACTTTATTACTTTTCCAATGTGCACACACAGCAAAGCTCTCCAGTTATCTCTAATGGCAAAAAGTCTTTCTCAAAACAAGTATCCCATCCCCAAATCGAACATATCAATCAAGAGGGCACTATTTCTTAATCATCACAATTTTCTGAAGTCATTTTAACATGAAAATGTATGAGCTTACCTCTTGTATGTCTGCATTGTAGGTATGCTGGTCCATGACTTGCAGCACCTGAGCATGAGCGTGGTATTCCTGAAGGGTCGACGCTACAGCCCCTGGAGGGATTTCAGTTGATAAAGTAGCAAAATCCATTATGAATGGAGAACACATCAGTATCATCAACACAATGGTAGAGTTTGGGGAAGATTTGACATACTGTGAGCACAGCTAGGGAGACATGATGTACATATATCTATGTGTTATACCTCCAAGTTAAAATAGTCATGAGCTCATATAAATATGCCATATGATGAACCAATGGTTAAAGTCAGAGTCTGGTGTGAAGATAAAGTACCTATATGTGTGAGATTCCTCAATTGGCAGCAGCTGATATTTTTCACACTGATATTCTGATGTAAACACATACATGTAGATCAATTTATTTTGTTCATTCATTCGTTCAATTCACAATATGCTTTGGTTTGTCGTTTGTATCCTTTGGTATTATAATCCACGCAGCATGACCATCGGATTTAAAACAGCCTAATGGCCTCCGACAACTATAACTATAGGAATAAACTATGAAGCGTTTCAAACTGTCAACAATGTAAAGCATTATCTGTAGAGAAGGTCATATTACACTAAAATCCCATCAATAATCGTCCATGTTGCATTTGTTCAACGTGATTCATTCCAAAAGGCTTAGCAAGTTTATCCTTTGAGCTCATCAGGTCCTATTTTTCTTTGAAAATCTAAGGTCCACGATGCACTAGCAGACTCACTGAGTTCCCAGTTGACCTTGTGTCTCATACAGTATATATATTAACCAACCACAGTCGAGGATTAAATGCAGGAAAAGAGTCTAAAGTAAATCCTGTGAAACAGTCTGCTCGCTTATAAACAAATCACATATCAAACAGCAAAGAATGGAACTCCGTTGACTGTTCAAAGTTACATGAACACCAAATGCATTTTCCTTCCCACCTGTTCTTGGTAAAAATCTCAAATAGCTATAGTCCAAATTGCTTCAATGCCACCACAAAAACTGAGAAAATATGATTAAAACCATCTTGCAGCTTAGACAAAGCAGACAAATTTCAGGTTACAGAGAACAGCACTTTTTTTGCAGATCGAGACTCTAATCTTGGTGTGAAAGGAAATGCTTCAAAATCCCCACCGGTATTAAATAGCTTTCCTTCCTTCCTTCCTTTTTTTCTTTCCTTCTCTCCACACCACACCCCCCTTTATCTTTAATCATTCATTATTCAGCATGATATACAGGACTACAGGTACATCAAGAAATGTTATACATGTAGTCTCATTGATTCGTGGACTTCACAGTCAACTCTTGAGGCAAGTTAGCAAATCCATTAAATTTTGGTCCACTGACAATTGTGAGATATAAATATCCCTGCCTCCCTGGGCCCTGTTTCATAAAACTTGATATCCATAACAAATGCTAAATTTCTATGAAAAATATAACCGAAGGCTGAGAATTCACTAACAGTGCAAAGGAAATCTTGACAACCCCCCCCCCCCCCCAAAAAAAGAGGTTAAGTCCAAGGTCAAGGTCAAGGTCATTTCCTCCAGGGGTACAGCATAACAGATCTTTTCAAGCTGTGTCCTGATAGAAAGTCAACCGGTATGTACTACAGTATATTGTGTTCCTCTATAAGAAAAAAAGTCTGCTTGTAAGTTGTGGTAAGTGAAGTTACAGTATCTAGGTCAAGCCAAGTGTTAACTGCCCTAAACAGGTAATATGCACATGAATGAATAAAATGTGACAATGAATGCTGCATGGTACATGTACATTTGTCATATTTGGAAAAAAAAACAAGGGAAAGGATTAGTTTGTATGCTTTATACTGAAATTTTCATATTCTAAAGGAAGGTAATATCATCATTTAGATCACTATTAGATGCTGTGTCAAATGCATGCAAAACAGCATGCAGAGGGGGTAAACTCATTTTGTTTAAAGGAAAGCAGATCAGGACACATTTTCCATATACCGGTACTTAATATGACTAAACAAATTATATTGTTTTGAGAAGTACATGTATATTAAAATCATGAATAATTTCTTTACATCATGATGCTTCTTGTAAAACAAATGTTAAAGTATAAAAGTACCTCACTGCTCTCTTTCCCCCCCCCCCCCCCCCCCGTCTTTCTTTCTCCCCCCCCCCCCCCCCCTCTCTCTCTCTAACATAGTAGAAACATCTTACGTGCATCACGATGCTTCTTGTAAAATAGATTTTTAAAGTAAAAACCTCAGTGCTCACTCTCTCTCTCTCTCCCTCTTTCCCCCCCCCCCCTCTCTCTCTCCCTGTCAATAATTGTTTTAATACAAATGAAAAAAATTATCCTAGAAGTTTGAACTGGTAATTGATTGAAATCAATTGATCCCTACATACCATGTCTGGAGATACTGGAGATGAGAGCTATTTCCAACAAGATCTCACTGAGTCTTGATGGATCAAACTGCACCTTCAAGAGCAGCAACGTGTCCAGTAACTTTCTCCGGATGCGCTCTTCATCCGGAGTGACAGGTGATTCCATCTTGGTGACTGGCCCCTTCGGATGCTCCGATCAAAAATGTTCTTGAGAGAAAGGCTAGACAGTCCTTAGGTCTACTTCATGTAGTGATGGGCATCGGATGTAGGATTTGCATACTGATGCCATTTCCTTAAAAAATGAAATGTTTGATACAAAGGTTAAGATATTATTTATATATGTTTGTAGTCCATCCATGGTGTCATGGCAAATTTTGTATTTCTAGCGTTCATTAATTGATAATGAGATTCCAATCTATACGTTTGAGAGAAACAAAAAATATATGTAAACATTACAGTAGTTTTCAAACAGCTTACAAACGTCAGTGTTTCCACTGTGTTTGGTGCTCAATAATGACAATAGACACCTAAAATGAAAAGTGTTGTTGCCAAACAGAAACCAACATTTTTTGTATACAATTAAAAAAAAAGAATATTTAAATTCTCATGCCTCGTAAACATGCAAACTGTACAAACTAGTGATGTGAAATAGTAGAAATCACAGAAAAACTTCTATAAACAGTTCAAGTTCTATAAACATACTAATTAAATGAAAACGTTTTTAATTGAAAGTCCAAATTTCTTGTCCAGCAATCTAAGAAGAAATTATACACAAAGTACAGATACGGTAATACTTACTGAAGGTACTGCACATGATGAAGTGCATTGTAACTTTGTAAGCATATTTTTCTCTCATTTGTTTGCAGGCTATAAAAGTATTTTTTGGTCAAAGTTCATTTCAAATTACATTCTATGGCTTGGCAAATAGACAGGTTTGATTAGAGTGAAAAACTTGAAAACAAGTGATTCACAGAACGACAGTATACCCCATGCAATGTATTGCAACATCAAACATAAAAATACTTGACAGGTGCCAAAAGATAATATATTTCTTTGTATAACACTGTTCAAACAAAGTAATAAGTCAATGAACAGTCCAATAAATCTACATGATGTATTTTCACTTACAATACTCATGCATTTACTGTACACGTACAATTGTATCTTAATTATAACCGAGTTGTAAAATATGAGTAATCCTTTTCTATGCACATTACACAAAGGCCTAAATTTAAGTCACTACTATATATATACACTGTAGATTCATTTAAATGTGATTTCATCAAAATCTCCTTGATTTCATGAAATTGAATATTCATTCACACTTTAAGAAGAGCCACCTATTCAGCTGTTAATAGGGGAACTGTCAAGATATGGAAAAGAAATTTCCTTCTCTCAGTAATTTTGTCCATGTCTATCAACAGCAGAAAAATAATTTTCAAGAGCAAAAAACCTGGATGTTAATATTCTGGATTTCTTTTGTAAAAATTTGTCTGATCTCCCAGTTCGCTGTTAGCCTCAATTACTGCCTCCCTCCAAGCCAACTTGCTATGTTTAAACTCACATTGACTTTCCTTAGGTTTCTTAAGATTTCAGGTGATACACCCACACATTGTGCACACGTTGTGTATCAGGACAGGTTGGTCATCTGGACACTTGATTTCAAACAGTATTCAAACATGTTTAAAAGGAATATTTCTTGACTTTTTAATGACCACATTATCGATGACAACTTTTTTAATGATGGTAGTGTTATTTGCTGCCTATTTTACATGATTTCCAAAGGCGAAGATGACAGCTAGAATTCTAATCTCTAATATGCATGGTTGTTCCGTTAAGACTACATGTACATACAAAATTCTTAGTGCTTGAACACCCCCACGTCCCCCCCCCCCTTACACACACACACACACAAAGCATTTCAGCTTACATTTAGAGCATGCGCAGATCGCTCATCCGATCTCAGCCTCATTTTCGTAAGTTGGCACCTAGCCTGGCCGACATGGGCCCTTCTGATTGGCTATCGCTGGTCTCTATTCACTCAATGCTATAGATATTTGTGCGAGGAGCAAGCTTGCGATTTTCCGTTTCTTTATACCAAAATTATGATATTTCAGTCAAACCCTCGATCTGTTATGATTTTTCACTTAAGTATTACACTTAAGTATTTCTCTTAAGTTTAAGTTTCACTTAACTATTAAGTTTGAACATTTCTCATTTTCTTCATATTTAAGGTACAAACTGGAAATTTATTCTGAAATGTTTGTTGAAATTTTATTTTATGTGTTTGCAATGCCGTGTGTGCATCACCTATGTGTGAAGTGCGTCACCTGTTAAAAGCAGGACGTGTGAAAATCTCTGTGGTGTGAAGTAATATTACGTATTGACTTTGCCATTGAACTTAAGTCGCGCATAAGTAAAGTAGTTCCTCTCGCACTTAAATTTGAAAACAATCGAGCGGACCGGCCAATGAGAGCACGTAAACTCGTTGTACATACTGTAGATAGATGGCAAAAGTTCTTTGTGACACACACATCCTTGCGCCTATGTACAGCTGAAGCTGATAATCAACTGATCCAAAATGTAGGCTAGCCAATATTAATTACATTATTACAATATTAGCATTTTAAGGCTCAGTCGGTGTGACCGCGTAGAATGTAACCTAGCTGCACCGTTTGTCCGGGAATTAGAGACCGGGTTGGTTAAAAGTTAAAAGCCACGTACATCGCCATCGTTTTCCCGAAAAATACTCCAAAAATAACAAGAAAATTGGCTCGAAACAGGTAATAAACATAATGACGTTTAACTCATGATCTTTATTTGGACATTTAATGAATATTTTCTAGATTCTATATTTTGGGTATGTTTTAGTAGGGCATCTCCACGTCCACGCCAGAGATACGGGTCAAATTTTGGATAGGTTTCTAAACAAGCGCCAAAATTTGTAGATATTTATTACCGATGTCATGTCATTTCTAGAAAAATTTTCAACCACATGAACGTGTACAATAATGGGAGGACAGACTGTGCAGATAGCAAACCGGAGCAGAAAACCTGCATATTAAGAGCGCGTTCATGCTTGATTTTGAAGGCAGAATGAGCGATTTGTAACGCTCATCGTAAACGCTCATCGTAATCGCAGTTCCACGGTGCAGTGTTCATGCTCACTTCTCCAGGCAATTCTCCTTGGGTGGTCTTCAGCTGGATTCGCAAACCTGTGTGCGCATGCTACGTAGACCTACTAGAGGTCACTGCGTTGACCCCATTTAAACGCGTTTACAAATTGTAAACGCATCTTTTTGTGAGTTTACGATCGGCGATCGTGATCGCCGTTTTTTCGGTGATTCTACAAAAGTGAGCTAAGACGCAACCGTGTTTTAAACTAAACGCGTAACAGATGCCTGATTCTGGCCGTCAAAATCAAGCATGAACGCGCCCTATGTCTGACGTACAAACGGTACTGCATCTAGTAGGACAAACGGCTCGGTCACACTGCGCTGCACCGGCAGCCTTCAACTTCAAACACTACCGGTAATCATATCAATTGTCATGCAAACATTGCAAGCTTAGATATTGTCATCAGATAAATGATACGTTTAAAGAATGCCTTTCATATGTGCTAGATAAACTTAGGTTCTCACCTGTTAATCTCATCGTCTCAAAGATTCGCCCGTTTCGCATTAAATAACTTAATAATTGCTGTGCTTCACATCAACAACTCACACATGTCAATGTCATCACACATTTGTTGTCATCGCCCATATGATTTCGATGCTTCATATCTAGCCTAGCATCAAGGCTAGGCAAGAAAAAAAAAGACGGGGATGGGGTTGGGGGGGGGGGGTATGAGAGCGACAGAGAGGGATTGATATACACAAACAAATACTTGAAGGCTCATTTTTTAATCAAAACTGTTTTCAACTCAAAAGTAGACAATACAGCCCACAACTGAGATCTACAACTCACATATCCCTGATTTGACAATTAAAAAAATCATCCAATGTATATATCCAAATTCCTATTTCAACATGCATTTCGATTAATATTTATTGAACATTAAATACATATAATGAGCAGAGGTAGCTACTCTTGGCAGGGGGCAAGAGTGACCCCCCCCCCCCCCCCCCCACCCAATTCCCCAAAGTACTGTATCAAATGTTGACCGCAGATATTTCTCTAGCTAGCTGTATGTGGAACAAGAAATCAGTGTTCGTCCCATTATAAGTGACGGTGGTGGTGGTGGGGGGGGGGGGGGTATACGTAGGCTAGCTACTTGGATTATACGTGGCCATTTCGACTCGGGCCCAGCATCCTAGAAATGCACTTAAAACGATCGTTTGCGAGCAAATTAGCAGCTCCAGCATAGGCTGCATGTCATTAGCACATCTTGTGATCTTCTACATTATACGCCGATTATTATATCATACTGTCTGTCTATTCTCTATTTACTCAATCTACGAAGGAAACAACACCACAGTTCTCCAAACCTGGAGGAAACCATGCAAGAAGAAGGAGAAGATGAAGAAGATGGAATTGGAGGAGAGGATGTGGAATATATTGGCCCAAATTCACAAAGCAAGGTTTGAGCTCAGACCAAGGTTTGAGCTCAAACCTCCTTTTGTTTCGCCAAACCTCCTTTTGTTCTTTACAAACCAGGTTTGTAAAAAACGCGTAAAACGCATCATATGACGTACGAAAACCAAGGTTTGTCGACAAACCTCCTTTGTGAATTCGGGCCATAGCTAGGTCTCATGTTTTTTTGTTTTTTTTCGTGTTGTTACTTTTTTTTTTGGGGGGGTGGGCTATTTAATATTGGAAGGGGCATCTGGGTATACTATGGCCCCACTTGCTTTCGATAGAAGAAAAAGAGCGGGAGGAAATATGGGGGGGGGGGTGGTGAGTGAGGCCTGACTTATAGTAAACCTTCAGCCTGAAACAAGACTATCTTCCAGGAAGCGATCGAGCTGGAGACGTCTCTCAGGAAACAACTCTTAAAACCCGAGAATCAGTAGTATTTGAACATTTTTATGTTCTGAGAAGAATTGAGGCAGACTTTCTTTTTTAAGATGGCATCTGCTCGACAGCTTAGCAAAAGTGGTGGCTTGAAGTCGGCTGCCAGTCGGCAGAAGTTGAAACAGCAGCAGCCGAACGATCGAGGAGTTGCAACTGTACCCGGGAGTTCAGGCGAAGGATCAAGTAACTATCCGTACATGAAGGAAGAGCACGTGTTGACACTGGGCGAGGTACAGAACGTTATACTTATACCAGTGTAGACTAGGTATACGTAATTATCATTAGACAGAAATAACCGTGTGGTATGGAAAACTCTTTACCAAAACTGACATTTTTGTAACCTTCCCAGACAGTGCACAGCGCACAGCGCACAGACGGTGCCATTGACATTGTTTCTTTTTCTAGACATGACTTTCGCTTTCTAATCATTCTCTAGACTAAATCTAATCACTGTTTTCTAAACCAAAACTGTACAGTTTTGTTTAGAAAGCAGTGATTGGAAAAGAATGATTAGAAAGCAAAAGACAATTGATGACATTTTTATGTGCAAATATTAATTATAACGAAAATCAATGTAAATAGTAAGTTAGTAAATAGCTAATCCGTTGAGTGTGGTAAAGCTGCTTACTGCGGGGAATGAGATCGGCAATCACAGACCCACTGTCTGCATTGCTTAACCTCTCACTAACCCACATGATGCACTTCAGTCTCTGGATAGGTGGTCAGTGAATGAAGCATATATAGCCTCAGCGGAACAACCGTCGATGTAGAGACCAAAGCTTACGGTCTACATAATCATGAGACTTGTGTATTCAATATAGACTTGATTATTGAAATTTTTTTGATGCAGAGATGATTTTGAAGAACTATTTACCTTTATTTGGGTTGTTTTTTTAAAGAGCATTTCAACTATTAAAAGTGATTGAATTGTGCAGAGGCTGATATAATCTCGGAGTTGGCTCATCTAACAACTACGGTAATAAACAAGTTATCTTTATGGACATTTTAAACAATTTAATACCTGATATTTTTAAAGGTAAGCTAAAAAATGAAAAAGAAGAAAGTCATCAATTAGGCCAACTTCTATATGTTATACTGACATCACAAATTCATGATTCTTGACATTGATGTCCAACTTATTTACATGACAAGAGTGAACATGGTCAAGAGTGAACGTATGGTCTTTACTGGTACATATAATTCAACATACATTACATGTCCTTCAGTGGCAGGATTTCCATACTTGTGGTTCAAATTCAAATTCAAATTCAAATTCAAATTCAAATTCAAATTCAAATTCAAATTCAAATTCAAATTCAAATTCAAATCAAATCAAATTCAAATAATTTATTCACTCAATATCAAAAATTTAAAAAAAACAGACACATAGAATTGCGAATAAACGCATACATGTATAACAAATATAAAAAGATGGACATAGCAAAATCAGTAGATGACAACACAAATGAGTGAATAAATTATTTGAATTTGAATTTGAATTTGAATTACTTGTGGTCGATGAATTAACACATTTTCCTTCCTTGTATGAATTTAGCACTTTTACAACAGGACGATGGTGTTGGTGCAGCAGGCTGCAAGGAGTAGCAAGGAATCCTCATTGTGGGACATTGCAGATGGGATCTACAAGGATGTAGAGGGCTACATCAGCAAAGAGGCCCAAGTGAGGGCATTTGCCCTCCTAATGTACAATAAAGGACTGGAGGACGCCCAGAATGCGGAGACTGTGGCCAAACTGTGCTCCAGACTAGCTTCCTTAGAGGCAGAGGGACTCAAGTTCAGAAGTCCTCTCCTTAAGCAACTTCAGGTAAACTTTTTGTCTCAACATTTTGCAGGGAATGCATTAATTTTTATTATGAGTAGTTGGGTGATGTATACCGCCTTTACCATCAGGCTCAACTGCAGAATAACCCAACATGCATTGAGTAAAATTCATAAGGTTTAGGTATCGAGGTCAGAACTGGGATAATGGTCAGTTGATGGATCTTGATATCCAGGGAGTATGTTTTTCAAATTGTTTATGATTTGTCCTCTTCACTGTTATGAAAAGTAAGTTTGAGAATTATACATCACCAACCTTATGCTTGAGAAGGTCAAAAGATGATTTTACATAATCACAGCACACCCATTTCTTCATTGCTCATGACAGGAAGACTTCATATCCCGTGCGACATGGAAAGACAATGACCCAAATCGATGGCTTGCCTTTACCTGCTACCTGTGCTGCCTCTTCAGACACCTCAAGATTGGAGATAACTACATCAATGCCTTGGTCGAGCCTGTTTTTACATGCCTGGACTCCGTAAGTCTTTTGGCTTTCCGTACATTCCTCAAGTTTATCTGTACTTTCTATGAACACTATGTCATTGTAATGAGCATAGACAAGACCACATTTTGTTCATCATGATAAATTGATTTATGGTGTCCTAATATTTGGGGACCTTGCTTTGTACCAATGATGTGATTAATCAAAATTAATAAATTTAATTGCTTTTTAAGTGAGTTTTAGTATATTCCTCATTTGTATATCTTGTTATTTATTAATGCAGCTTGTAACTGATGCCGACTCAAGTGATGAAGAAATGAAATGTGGTTGTAATCAGGTAAGCTCAAGTCACAGAACATCAAAAGTATCATACTTTTCTTGTCATTTTCCCTCTATTATCTTTAAGAGCTAAATTTCTTTTCCTCATTTTCTTTTTCTCTATCCTCAATTTTGTTACCCCTTTTCTTACATTTAGTGCTTGTTGACTTACCTATCAATTATTTGCCAACTGTGACATCAATCATCTCCTTCACAGGTTATTTAAAAGTGAAAACTTTATGTTTGTTATTCACCCAAGTCTAAATTTGTGTGAATAAACATTCTATTTACCCTTGTGATATACATGACAATGAAATGGTATCATCTACTGGTAAATGACATTGCTCCAGATGTTAAAGGCAGGCTTTACTACTTCAGGCAGAAGGGATAAGACCACCCAGCGAGCCAGCGAGGTCACTGTGACAGGTGGCTATCTCATTAACTCATCTCTCATTTAACATAAGAAAAAGAGGATCACGGGGGGCCAACGGGCACCGATTGGGGAAGTTTTCTATATAGAGGGAGCAAGTAGCTACAAGTAGGACAGTGTGCCTTTAAATGCCTTGATTCCTCTTGATCTTACATGATAGTTTTCTTTGCCTATCCTATCCCAGCTCAAGGAGCTTGGACCCACTCTTGAAGAGCTCAAGCCTGCACAGATGGATATCCTACTAAACATGATGAAAGAGAAACTCCTAGGACCCAAATCTTCTCACTTCTCCCGCCTTCTCCTCCTAGAGATCATTGAGCTTAGAGCAAGCGGATGGCACTTGACCGACACACAGCAGCAGTACTACTCAGAGATCTTCTGCTAACAGTGGCCAAAGTGCTTCTTTAAAAGACATTATTCAATATTTTCTGTGAGAGAGATACAAGTGCTTCTGTGTTCAGTCTTAGCTAAAGACTTCCTTCGATAGAGTACTTTGTTTTGATTTCAAGGACAAGCTGTAGGAGATCTGTGAGTTAAGTGCACCGGTGTTAGTGTTAGTGTGTTAGTGTTAGCAGATGGCACTTGACCGACACACAGCAGCAGTACTACTCCGAGATCTTCTGCTAACGGTTGCCAAAGTGCTTCTCCTTAAAAGACATTCTTCAATATTTTCTGTGACAGAGATACAAGTGCTTCTGTGCTCAGTCTTAGCTAAAGACTTCCTTTGATAAAGTACTTTGTTTTGTTTTCAAGGACAAGCTGTAGGAGAGCTGTGAGTTAAGTGCACCGGTGTTAGTGTTAGTGTTAGCGGATGGCACTTGACCGACACACAGCAGCAGTATTACTCCGAGATCTTCTGCTAACGGTTGCCAAAGTGCTTCTTCAAAAGACATTCTTCAAAATTTTCTGTGGGTATTGTTTGCTTTCATGGAAAAGCTTTAGGAGATATGCGAGAGCGATACGAGTGCTTATGTGAGCCTTAGCTAAAGACTTTGTTCGATAGGTTGTTTTTTTCTTCCAAGGACAAGCTGTAGGAGATCTGTGAGTTAAGTGCATCAGTGTTATTGTGTTTTTGAGATGCAAGAATATGAATGCTCCTTTGATTTTGTGTGCTAGAGTTATGTGACACAATCGGTTATTACGAACACCGTCGTCTGTTTAAATTTGTTTACAGAAGGTAGCAGTGGGCAAGCTTGGTATTTCATATCCACAATGGGAAGATATTTTATAAAGCCATGTACATTAAATATAGTAGCATTAATAAGTTCCTCTAAAAAAAAAAATCAGCATTTATGAAATGGCAAGAGTAATAGCCAGAGGTGTAAGGGTACAGATATCTCCCTCCTTCTCATCACAAGAAATTCAGTATTTTCGTAATGGTTTATATCTGAATGTATTCAAATATTGCTCAAGTCTTTAATGCAATTCAATGGCACATTATGTTTTGCCATGTTCATTTGTATGTATCTACAATTGTCAAGACTTATGCGAAACAATGCTTTAACTGTGAATATTAGTACATATGACAGATCATTTGGACTGCTAGGTAATCATACTTTTTGCCACCTCATTAATTATTATACCTTATGGCATCCAATATTTCCATGTACACTCATAAACAACCAAATTCAAATAGCTAACTAGTGTCTTGTATGAACCTGGAAAAGTGGGTAGGTTATCGTAGTTCAAGCAGCTGTTTCAGCTTGATATCGAGCACTTTTAGATATCTCAGGTCCATGGACAACTGCAGGAAATATTTTAATGATACTATTGATCATGCAAAAATAAACATACCATTGAATTACCTTTACAGTTAGTCTTGCCAGTAATAACCTTTAATCAACCTTCATGTACCAGAAGAAATATTGAAATAAGTTGAAGCTATTTGTTTTCAAGAATCCAGCTGCCCCTGCTCTAAAGTGAATTAATTTTAAAGATTAACTTTAAGATATTTCAGCATAAAGCATCATTTAAAATGAAGCTCATTCACGTGATATATTTCAGAAAATTTACAAAAATGTTGGTTTGTATTCAATGATGGTAAAGAATGAATATGAATGGAAGAAGCTATAATTAATCTTTAAAGCTTTATTTATCATTTGTGCATGATTCTTTATCTGACATATTGCATGCATTGATTAAGAGTTGTTTGTGTTTATAAGATTTAAGGAGAGGAGAGGATTGGTGGACACTCCTGGTTTTTTTCTTTCACCTCCAGTTTGTCATTTGTTTGATTTTTAACCAAGTTTTACCTACATTTATTTTATTACACATGGAACCAAAGTTCACACAAAGTCTGTTGTGGGTTGTTGAAATTCCTGCATAGCTCAAACAAATTTATAATCGGTACAAATAATAATGATTAATCATGGAATGATTCCGATACCTATTTTAGATTGTTGATAGCACCTCTATCAATTTTCTCCCATTATATGCCAAATATCATAATTCCTAATCTGTTTCCTTTAGATTTGAAGGAGATACGTTTAAATTCAGAATTTGCATCAGTGCAACTGTAAATGTACACGTGTTTGTGGCTGAAGAAAGCTATACTACTTTGAGAATTAGCAGCAAAACCAAAACTGTATATAGCAGAATAGCATTTCTAAATGTATTGACAGTACTCATTGTTGCTGTGTTTAGTTTTCATGCAGCTTCTCCATCTGTTATTCTACTCTCTTTCTTATATCCTCTTATTTTGTTTTATACATTATTGTAAATACAAACAAATGTTATTTTATGCCTTCATACTTCTCGAACATAATAAGACATTGTATTAAATACATTTCTTTAAAATTTAATGTGTTATGAATCATTAATAGTGTTCGAGTATTTGAAGTAATGTATGTTACATATGCCGGACACAGCTATTACGTAATATGTCTTAAACTGGCAGATAGTCAGTAATTTCAAGGATCTTTGGGTAAAGAATGTTTATGCTCTTTGACTGAAATGTTTACTTTTAGAAAATCATAGACGGAATTAGCCCAATCAAATCAAAACAAAGATTGGTGAACAATAAGATAAGAGGAAATTGGACAAAGAATCAATTCTGACTTCTTGAAGGCTTCAATCACTACAATAAATTTTAAAAAACACCCATGGGCAATAAATGTCCCTTTTTCATGTATTAAAAATGAATGAATACATTTCTTCAATCATATACAAGTACAATGTATACCCCCCCCCCCCCCCCTGCATGTCCAGCTGCAAAGAAAGGTCTGTTGCATTATATCATTTTTGATAAGTGCTATTTTGTGCAAGTATAGGCCTGTAGGGTAATAAACGAAGGGAGAAATTTGCTAATAAGATATTCCTAATTTGGTGATTTTGAATTTCTCAAAGTTTCTGCTCTTTTCTCTGATTTTCTGAAACTTCCAAGATTCTCTTTCTCCGATATTTCTACTTCAACCCAAATCAAATTTCTATAAAAAGGCTACTTTCACTTTGTACCATCAAAACAGTGGTACTGTACATGTATGTTGAAATAATCATAAAACAAGAATTAGAATTCATACAATTTTATTGCTACAAAACATGTTCACATGAAAGAGTTGCACAAGATTCTACTGAAAATGAAAGACAAAGGGTATGGTCATGGTCATACATTTATATACAAATTTTATACAAACATGGATCAACAAAGATGTGTAGTACTCTGTAGCATGTCCCCATAACATCAAGCAATTTCAGAGTCGCCCAAGCATGACTGCTAGGAAAAGGTGCTTAATCAAAATACATTTTGGAATGATAGTAAGTTTTCCAAATGAGAACTTTGAGAGTACTCTAATTGGAGATGATATCCAGAGGAAGCTAATGCCAATTAGCTTCTTTCTTTTTTTAAATATTAAGAAAAACATTTGTGTACATATATATATATATATTGAGGTCCATTCTTAAGATTTACACTGCTTCCAATAAGCTTCCCAATGTTGTTCAAGATTATTTCATGTTCTTCTTTCACACTTACAAATATGACAACAGGCAGTTTACACAAAGGAAACAAACAAATATTTGATGAAATTTATACAAGAGAATTGTCATAAATATAAGCATACAAATCAAACATACCCTAATCCTACCTTCTTTCTCTATTTTTACAACGGAGACAAATTCACATGCCCACTTTAATGTACATTACAACTGACACAAATTGACAAACCCACTTTAAAGTACATTATACATACTGCATATGCTGCATATGAAAGGCAGTAACAAGGTAAACTTAACAAAGTTAGACTTAAGTTCTCACCCATCTACAAATCAGCAACAATAACTTCATGAAGTTGTTGCACTTCATAATAATTACTACATTGCACATGTCTATGAATACATCAAGCAATATAAAACAGAATAAAACAAAGAACAATCCTAAATTCGATACAATACCTTGCTTATTTGAACATCATACATGTGGGTGTATATACCTTGTAATTACACAAACATTTACTTCTAATATCCCTGATTATTTTATTGTCTTACTGTACCATATCCCACTGAAGGGATCAACTGATCCCAAAACCATGATTTTGGTATAACTGTATACTTTGGGGAAAAGTTCTCTAATAACTTTTATACAATTATAAACATCTTGGTAACCTACAGATGTCTTTAAGATACTAATCATTTTTGCTTATGAGTTTATTAGCTTTATAAACAGGATAACTTGTGAAGTGAAAGTTTTGGCAGTGACAAAATAATCAAGCCTATGTGATCTAATTCAATTGGTAAAATAAAAAACATTTCAGCAAAAGGTACTGTGAATAAGGCCTACTTTGAATTGCAAATTCATGAACAGGGGGAACTTATTATAAATAGCTTTGATAAAACAAGATACCTGATATAACAAAGATATTCTGTGGTTCCAATGTCCTTATTGAACACAAATTTCCATTGTCGAAACAGGACTGAGGAGAAGAAATGATGATTTACTGGCTTCCAGGAGGCAGACCTGCCAACCACTGGATTTCAAAAACTGTATTCTTGAATCCCATAAGTTGTATTTTAATGAAAAAAATGTTGTATTTACTTCTAAATATTGTCATATTCATTTCCAAATATTGTACGAAATACAAATAAATCGTACTGGTTGGCAGCTCTGAGGTGGGCTCTAAACCGGTAGATCAACACTCTCACTCTCAGTCCCATGCAGACTTGATTCCACCAGATGGTGCAGTTTTCCCCACCGTGGCATTAAACCTTGGTCGGCTCTTGAGTTGCCCCGCCCTGGTTTGGCCTTCTTTGGCAGCCAGCATTGGAGATCTAGGGAAATCAGAGCGATGCAAAAATGAAAGTTAATGAACCCAGCATGGATAGATCTTGTGTCTGGGTTTAGCTATGCCAAGCTGAATTTTTGAAAGAATTATTTTAAAAGTAATGAACTTCAGAATGGTATTCTTGTTCCAGATATGGATTATCAGATACTGAGGTAAAGTCAACCTGTACATAGAGACTGCGCATAGACATAGGGAACAGAAGAAAGAAAAAGAAGAAAACTGGGATACAAAGATATATTACACAGAGATAAAAGATAAATGTAAAAAGAAAAACAAATGCGTGTTTGTGTGCATGAATGAGAAAGAGAGAGAGATATTAAGGGGGGGGGGCAGGGGCTGAAGAAGCCAATGGGAAATTCAAAGACAGGTACCGGTAGACGGATGTGAAGTAGGGTATCATTCACTTACTGTAGCAGCATATCAATAGTCTGTTGAGTGGCTTTAGCCTTCTTATGACCAGGTCCATAGACAGTACTCTCAATATTGTAACTCTGAAAGAAACAAAGAATCCATCATTCATATTAATTTTTAAAATGATCAAAATTGTAACAAAAGCTACAAAAGTATTTCAAATTTAGCGGTAAATAAGTATATCTGACACTAGTTAGATGGTGTTTCTACTATTGCATTATCCTTTTACATGACTGCAATTTCGAAGTGGATTTTTTTTCTTCTCCCCCTGCCTCTCCTCATTCATGATTTCAAGTAAAATTAACTTTATTACAAAATATTTCTCCTTTCATTGACCTACCATGAGGGGTCTATATGTCCATTAACATCATCATATGACCTTTGAAACTCATTGCCACAATAAGCCCACGTCAATGGTCATGAATAAGAGAGGGATTAAGCTTTAAAAAAAACTACAAGTAAAAACAGAATACAAATTTGATTCTAAATATCATCAAATTAAGATAACATATTCTCACCTTCTTGAAGAATTTGAGTGCCTTCTCGAGTTGGCCCTGAGACATGAGTATCGATCCATAGAGCTTGTAAGCTTCTCCGACCTCTGCACTCAGGTCACCAAAGGTGGCGCTCTTCGAGGTAATCAAGGTCCGCAGTAGAGAAACTGCCTCCTAATCCAATGAAGACAACAGAGATTGTAAGGAAAGTGATGACACTCATATCAGCAAAAGCAAATAGATATACCGGTACACACACATACACATATATACAGTGTGTATAAAAAATAAGTGTACTATCTTCCTCGGATAAAATTCACTGAATAAATCCTGACTTTCAGTAGTCAAGCTTCCATTATTGAGTGCTCAAGGATTCTACGAATTCTTGCCTACCCGTTACCATTACCAACTTATTTCATCCAGATCAAGGGTGTCAAATACAGATTAATGTCTAGCCAGAGGTATTAGTGCCTTGACACTAGATACACGATAGATAGCCACTTGTGATCAAAACTTCAATGCAAAAAAATATATAACTAATAATAAATATGGATTTATATATCGCTTAATACAGAATACTGTCTCAATGTGCTTTACAGATATTCTTATTATCACCCTGTTCATTCATGCACAGAGTGCACCATTTCCACTCCCTGGGGAGTATTCCTACCATTTGGTCACTGTGAGGGCATAATGCAATTCCTATCAAAAAAGGTTTTCGTCTTCCTACAAGGTCCCCGTTTCTCTCCTGGGTATGGAATGGCAAATGACCTTTGGATTTCCAGTCAAGAGTTTAAATCACTCAACTATGACACCTCTACTAACTAAGTACTAAAGGAAAGAAAAGTAAGAAGAAATTCAGAGAAATATCATTATAAAACACATACATCCGTCCTGTCTGTGCGTATGAGAAGCCTGCATAAGTCATCCTGAGTAGATATTGTCTTAGCATGATGAGGACCAAATAGGACCTGTCTAATCCCTAGACTCTCATTCAGGTATTGCTCAGCAGCAGCTACATGAATGAATGAGATAAAATACAAGTAATGTCACAGACTGGAAAGGTGGTGTTTAATTATTTTGATATGTTTGATAATGATAATGATTGTTTTACCGACTGCTAAGAAAGCATGTATATGCTTGTAAGTAAGCAACCAGGGGACCGACTGCATTAAACCCTCTCCGAGGGACTTGGTAATGTGGATTAATGCCTTTAATACCAAAATGCATGATCGCATTGGCTTTTTTTCGTAACTGGGACCTCCCGGATACGAGACCACTGCTCTACCACTGAGCCATCGCGCCTCCTCTATACTTTGTATAAACACACCAGCCAAATATTCTACTTAATTAATCTAAACCCAACACCGGGATTCAGTTATGATGAACAAAGAGAAATTTTAAACCTTGGTCCAACTTTCTCTGTCTAACTCCAGTGGGTATAAATTTACAATATGGGCCAGGGTGTATTTTAGGGCATTGCTTTTTTTGTATGACCATGAATGCATTTGCTTCATTAAAAATTCCCTAAAGTAGACTTTGGCAGATCCTTCTGTATTGATAAGAAAAAGATATCTTTTGTCACCTGCGGTTCTGTACCTTGGGGTGATGGCTCAACGTGACTTCTGATTGACAGCCAATGATATGGTATAGACCTCATAACTGTACACTTGTCTATTTATTGATTATTCACTCATTCGTCTCCTTTATTCATTGAGGAATCCAATGTACTTTTCTCTGGTAAACGCCATCTATTGCATCATTATTTTTTAAATAGATAAATCTATCAATTTAGATATGAAAGCTTTTTACTTTCTGCTTCTGCAGTGGCTGATTCTGAATAAGCCAGGGCCAGGGCGTGAGCTGTCTCAGCTACCTCCTCACTCTGTCCGCTATACCTGTATGACAGATAGACAAGCATGTAATACAAAGTCAGTATTGCATCAATCTTGACAGAACATGATTCTTCAGACAACGCTCACATACAAACCTTTATCTCTTTCTTTTGGTTCTAAATATGTTAAATCATTCTTTTATTTCAGAGAGAAAATGAATGTGTAACTGTGTAGAAACGTAATCATGTCTGAGCATGTCTTAGAATGTTGTAAATTATAAGCATTCTGAGAACAAATTCCTTCATACTGGAAATTAGGTTGCTTTGGTAAAAAATCTCAAGACCATTACATAATTCAGTTAAACTTTAACTTATGTGTATTTTACTTTCTTTCTTGAATCACTTGATGGTCGTATGCCCACAATTATAATTATACAATTTTCACACAACTGTGCCAGGAGTGTCATTATTGACAGACATGGCGCATTATAAATGTTCACTATTATTATTATTATTATTAATATTAATGTTAAAATTAAATCACTTTTAAATGAGAGAGGATAATCAAGTGAACATACCTTGCCACAGCAATGGAATGTGCCTGCAAAAAATGCTCTGTTGCCTTGTCTTGGTTGGCATGTTCCTTCTTGCTTTGTTCTAAGTGATCTCCAGAGTCAAGGAATCATTCTTCTAAATAGTGGGCTGTGTCAAATACTTTGGCAATATTGCTTGGTGAACAATGGTTATCAATGAAAATTAAGAACATTGACAATTAATTATACTAGCAACAGTAAAAGTCAAATGCTTAAATAAATTGATTTTTCTATTTTAGAATTTCAATGAGTTCAAGATTTAGCCATTTTTCGGCAGGAATTGAATACCCTTGGTTTAAATGAAGGCAAACATGGCATTGCCTTCCAAGGAGGATGGTTTCAGAGGACCATGCATCAACATATTAACTACCCTTGTTGAGTACCTTGTCACAGGAATTTACCCTTGGTTATTTCTTTTCCTGAAATCTCATGTGGTTGTTATTCAGGGATGATAGTGAGCACTATCAAAAAATAAGTTTTTTTCTTCCCCTCTACCATGCCCCCCTTGAGTAAAAAAAAAAAAAGAAGAGAATTTGCAGGGAAAAAATGGCATCGAACAACATTCCCCCTTTTTGAGTAAAAAAATTAGAGAAAATAGGGAAGAATAGAGAAAATAAGGGGAAGAATCTGGAAAATTGGGATAAAATCGGGGGGGGGGGGGGGGGGGGGGAGAAGAAAAAAAAATCAGGAACAAATCAGGATTTATTTTTTTTAATCGGAAAACCGATTCAAATTGGGTAATTATCAGGCCTGGTTATTAGCACTAGGGGTGTTTGATATAAGAGAGATATACTTTCATTGTAAGAACCATGAAAGTAGGTAAAGAGCATTCTAAAGGATATTCTTCCCAAGTCTTGATAGATGGGTATCAGGTCTGGACTGTCATTGCCATACTCTTCCTCTGTGAGTTGGATTGCTTTCTCATAGAACCCAGACCCTAGAGCATGCTTCTGTTGTTTGGCATACAACCTGCAAAGAGGAAAAAATAAGGGATTGATGGCGTGAATGACATCAGTAAGCAGTATAATTCTGTGAAGACAAGGAGAGGGAATATATTATAACTGATTCAGAAAACACACGAATTGGAAGAACATTATCGCAACACAAAACACCCTTTCTTAAGTTCAAATGGCAAATTTTTCTATGAATTGTATATAGTTATAATGATTCAGGTAAGAATGAAAGAAAGAATATGATTTCTTTGTACACATGATCATGACTTTACAAATAATGTAAAAAAAAATAAAAATATTTGTGGTTTAACAACTTTACAAGAACATCACTTGCTGTAAAATAATGGCAACACTTTAGACAAACAAGAAATCTTCCTGTTTTGATGTGAAATGAAAAAGAAGTGGTATATCATTTTATTTTCATCAATGTCCATACATTTTGACAATTACAAGCAGTAATTGCCACATTCTTGCTCTTGTCCTTTTCACCATATGCTGAATATATTGTGATGACTTACTTGGCTAGAGCGATTGCAATGTCAATGTCCAGCTGCACTCTTCTTGATGATTCCCTTTCTCCTGACAGCTTTGAAAGTTCTTGAGAAACCCTCTCCGCTTTCACCAGATTCTGCTCAGCCTCCTGATACGTAAAGATCTAGTTAAAGAAAATCTAAAATATTTTACACTTTGTCTACTGAAAGCTAGAAAGGTGTGAAAAAAAATTACATTTAACTCCAAGATAATGACCTTCTGGCTCTCAACGGTGGATGTGTACTAATATTCTTCTTATGTCATCTTACAGGAATGCTCCTGGGATCAGTATCAAGGTCTGTAATTCCTTTTAGTATAAAAAAGGTCACACAGAAAATACAAACATCAATCACATGAAAATTATCGTTTCTGAATCATTGCATAGAGGTTTTTGATAAAAAAGGATACTTTCCCAATTAATCTTTGATAAGCTTTCTCACCCTTCTTTCATTTCCTCCTTCTAAGCAGACAAAAATAGACTGGTATACTTTCTTCCTATCCCCATTCAGTTATCAGTAATTTGCTCTTTACAGACACCACCACAATAATAATAATAATTAAAGTAACTTTCCATTTAAGAACACATTACAGCAGATGATTAGTTACGTCTCAAAAAAGAAACTAAAAGAACTTCCTCTAAACTCTTGATGGAATACTGTTTGATTGGTAAAGGATATTTCTTGAGTAATGTGAGGGCTCTTCCGAGTACATAGTACATGAGGAGCAGTGTTCCCATCAGTTGGCTCTTAGATTCATCTGACTCTGAGGTATGAAGTCCATTGAGCATGATGGTCCTTGCAGTCTCAGAATGGGCCTGTGCTTGTGTGGGTAAACCTGAATGAAAAAAACAAAGCAAAACACGTAAATAAAACAAACAACAATAGAAGGAACATTAGTAATCTTATGTTATATTTCTTGTAAATGGAAACTGCTTTTGTGATACTGAATAAGATGAAAATCCAGTTTGCTAGCTTTAGGGATGATTTTTAACAATAGCAATAATAACTATTAAATTTGTAAAGCATTTAATAAATTTTGTAGCACTTTACATGTAATTGTTACTTTGGTCATTGCATTAAACTGCTATACCACATAAATAAGGCACACTCCCCCACTCCAAAGGGGTGCATTCCAACCAATGCCATTTAACAGGCACACACATGCTCATCTGCAATGACGTTTGCATCCTACCAGGTACCCATTAATACACCTGGGTGGAGAGTAGCAATGTAGATGCAGGTACAAACAAACCAAACAAGCAAGCCTATACTTGCAGAAAAGTAACACAGGGTACTGTGGCTTTGGTTCTATGACACATGCATTCAGATTAAATTTTTAAGACTCACAAAATTCCTCACTTCCAACCCTTGATTAACACAATACCCAACCTTAAACCTAAACTTAACATAAAGTAAAATCCAAACCATTACCCTACCCTATAATAGTATTTATCTTCGACAAAATGTAGCCCACAGCAAATGCCCAGATAGCATTTGTCAGATCACAATGGTCTAAACCTAGTCCAAAAGGAAAAAGGAAACTAGCATACAGACTTTACTTTTAACCTTAAATCTCCTAGTAACAACTTCCAAGACCTTTCTAACCAGTCGGCCTCTTCCCATAGGGTTGCATGAACAAAGTACTTGATGGAATTAATACTAACCTCTGAGCATGAGATAGGCATGAGCCAGGAACACATATCCCTCAGCAAGCTTCCAATGTTCCAACCCATGTACCAGTCGACAAAGGGCTATGTATCGAGACCACTCCTTGATTGCTTTGTCAGTCTGGTTTACAAGAGGCCAAAAGAGAACAATAACATGAATAATAAAACATGAATTCCATATGTATTGTAATTTGTATGTTTATTTGCATTTTTAGTTTTGTATAAGATGTAATTGTATATCAGTCTATTTTATGTGTATAGCGCTTAGAGACTTCGGTGGTAAGCGCTTTATAAGTAACGTTTTTATTATTATTATTGTTATTATTACTCACTGGGCCTGAAAAGAAGCCAGAACACATTAAAGGTACTATGTCCCATTTGCAGGCCCAAAAATGAAAAAGTTAAATTCCAACTGCATTTGAAAGATAATACTTATTTAGAACTTCCCTAAAAAAGGTGGGGCTTGAAAATGTCTTCAAGTGGGAAAATAATGACTATTAGTTGTCAAATCGACTTTAGGGCTATAGAGCCCAAAAGTAATAGTCTTGATTTCCAGACAATTGTACCGAATGGTCATACGTATTATGCTGTGCAAAGATTCAATCAGTTTAATCTTGGCCATCACAAGAAGTGGGTTATTGATGTAGACAAATGCTCATGTACCCTTTACAACTATTTTCATGTATGTTATTACCAAAGAAGAAAAAAAGCCAGTCAGTCACTCAATAGTGTCTGACAGTGAATGTATGTGCTGTACAATATAAAGCCTGAAATGGGAAGTTGTCAGGGCCTGAAATCAGGCAAAAGCCTCTGAGGACTGTACCCCATTCTTACCTCTTTCTTGCTGGTATAGTAACGTGCCTTGCGTTCACACTCGGGTAGCAACTCTTCAGGAGGTGTGAGATCGAGAACGGAACCATCTTTGAGCGTTACAACGGTACGTTTCTTTCTTCTTCTCCTTCTCGGCGAAGGCGTCTCCCTGGTGCGTTGTGTTGATAGCTGTGTGCCATCATCGGAATAATCTTGCTCTGATCTGGAATTTCAGTAAGAAATGGTTAAAACAATAGAAAGACAATGTAAGACTACTCCAAGAGTAAATGTTTATTTGAAAATGAATCAATGTGCCTCTTTCTTGAAAACATTAACCTCTGACCTATGATCACTTATGAGAACCTTAATCATTTTTTATTTAAATCATAGACATACCTGATCACACATGCAAGATTCAACTTTAAACAAATATCATAACAAATTTAAAAGAAACAAGGTGCCTATTAACTGTTTTTTCAACATTACCAAGTTTTAGTTTAACGTCCTAAACCAATCTAACATCACTACAAAATGTTTTTAAAAATTATTATTTAATTGACCCAAATCTTACTCATTACTCTATAAGTATCACCAGAAACAGGGAAAAGTATTTGATATCATCTAAGATCTCCAGCTACCCATGGAATCTGGAACCGTGCTGCACATTTAAAACAAAAACTGAAAATAACAGAATACACAGTGAATCTCATGAAATCTTATTAAATCTGTGCAGCAATTTAGAAACATCAACTGCAAGCCGGATTTGCACTACTTTTGAAACATGGACTAGATTGTAGGTTGTTAATAGTTGAAGGCCTCTGAAATGAAAGCTTACCCTGAGGAACTACGGTGTGATCTCCTACTCCTAGAGGCTTGGCTGCCTGTTGGTATATCCACAATCTTCAGCCCTAAACCTCCAATATCTGGTTTATCTTCATGGTCCGACAAAGAACTTTGATCAGATCGCTTTCCATCAGAGAAAAAAGAATCATCTGAACTCATGTTGTCACTCAGATTTTCCAAGGTATCCTAATAAATGAAAAGTAAAAGAAAAGTTAATTGTGCCTTTATGCCCAGCAATAATTTATTGGAAAGATTTCTGGTGGTAAATCACTTGAATTAATTACCAGTATAAATTGTTTTTATTTTTCTCCAGATTGTTTTGTAGACATGTGCAGGATGTGTGCGAAAACGTTTGTAGTAGGAGTAGGGTGTCTGATCGCGCACCCGATGTTGTGTGCTAAAATTCTTCCCATAGAGATTACACGCATCCCTATGCAGCCTACGTGCATTGCGCGACCATGCAAAAAAAGTCAATTTTTTTTTCTTCAAATCGAGATTCAAACCTTTATCAGTTGTGATCCTGAAGGTGATAATCAATGAATGAGGTGTCATATGAAAGAGCAGGTGAATTCCAATATTTCCAAAGGGGCGTAGCCCCCGAAATTCTAAAAATATCTTGGTCAAAACAGCAATTTAAACATTGTGTCCTGGCTAACTCTGAGGTTTGTCACTTTTGAGATATGACGCCCCGATCGATAAGTAGTCCCAGTCCTAAGGAACAATTCTATGTGATTATATTTTCGCTAGCCCCCAGGGATCACAACTGATAACAGTTTAAAAATACCCTTCTCGCTATTTGGTGGATCAGCTAATTAGGAGGCGTGCGCTCCGCTCAGTCCAAACCATGGTTACATCGCGTAACATCTCCGCGCACGAACGAAACCCCAAATTCAATTACACATTATAGTGACTGAAATTATGGTTGGCAATTCCCTCGATAAACCCGGAAGTAAATACACGTTATAGTCAATGGCAATATCGCGGAGACACGCCATTGACTATAACGTGCATTCACTTCCGGGTTTATTGTGCGACGAACGCCAACCATACTAGTCAATCGCACATGTCGCGGAGACAGCGTAGCTCAAGCTGCAAGTCGCGGATTGGCTTAGCAGCATGCGTACGATATGCATACGCTTGCATATCGCGCGATACAGCTGTTTGGCTAAATTTAGCAAAACAACATCACTCTGCGTGGACGTCTTTATCGTCGATTTTGACCAAAATGATATGAATATACCAGCGTGTTGGAGGGGCTGTAACTTTTGATAGAAACATCGGTGAGACTTGAAATTTGAAATGTATTATTCTGATAACATTTTTTATTCAATTATCAAACAAAAATGGTGAAAAACGATCCCAAATTGAAAATTGAAAAATCGTTCAGACACCCTAGTAGGAGTGCAGTGCCCATCGCCGCTTCTAGGACAATTACCCCCAGGAAAATTACCACCCCCCCCCCCCCACGCAAGACAATCATCCCCTAAAATTACCCCCAGAGAACAATTACCCTCCCCCACCCTTGAGAATTACCAATTGAACAATCACCAGCCCCCCCCCCCCCCCCCTCCAGGACAATTACCCCGGAAAAAAACTCTGGTTTTATTTTTAACTTTTAACTTTTATAAAACCAACTCTTTTTAATTTTATTTTATTTAGGATACACTTTCCCTTCAACAAACAGGGGGGTAAACAAAAATGGGGGAGTGTGGTTATTGTCCTTGGTTGTCCTTTGTGGTGGGGGGGGGGGGGAGGGGGTAATTGTCCTGATAGTGATACACCCACCGCCATATCAGTCGGACAGAACCTTCAAATGGAAACACTACGCACACAGGTACACATGGGACAATACTAAATCCGAGGCTTACTGAGACCAGATCTCCTTCCAAATTATGACTTAAAACTACAATAAATGTAAAAATCTTAGCTGGAAACGGTTAAATTGATTGCACAAGATATTCATTGCTAGACTTCAATACATTTCAAGATTCTCAATGGCCATTTATTTACCTAGCAACGAAACGCCTTGAGCTCGCTCTTTGAAACAAGAATCCACCAAATTCCATTGGTCTTTGGGGTGTCGTCGAAACCTCCAATAGAAAAGCAAATTATTTTTTAAACGAAAAAAAAAATGGTAGACCTATACAATTTATTTCGTTTGGTAGTATTAAAAGAAATCACAAAATGTTCAAAATGAATCGTTTTCATGAACTAAATTCATGAAAATGTTTAACAAGAATTGTGTTGTAATACACGATTTCTATCACATGAAGGATTTATATACAGTCTTAAATTAAAAAAATTAAAAAAATCGAAAAATAAAAAAAATTGTTGAAAATGATATATACAATTTTTCTTTAATTCATATTCATAGAAAAGATTACTTGTGAAAATTCCATTATCATTTAACATTTGAAAGAAAAAACATTGAGTCCGGATAGGGTCTAGAAGCTTCGGTATTTAATCAGCATAAACGAAATCACGTGAGAAAATACAAAAGATAAGTTGTAAAGAAAGGGTATATAGATTTTACGAGAGATGATGGAATGGCGACAGTTTTATTTTTCCGCGGGAATCCCGCTGGCCCATCACAAATTGACCTTTTTTTGTTTCCAAGATCTATTTTTGCATAAGAGGGCCGGGTTGAATGTTCGCCCCTTTTCCCTGATGATAAGAATGGAATTTGTTGTCTATACGCTTTGCCTTTCATCAATTTAGAGATTAATTTGCAGAAATATGCCACCCAAAAAACTCCTCTACGAATATGTTTATTGTTCTCACTTGTTTGTTTTGTTAATATTGTTATTATTATTATGATTATCATCATCATCATAATCAATCATCATCATTTACTATTTATTTATTCATTTGTATTGCTTTTTTGTTATTGTTATTTTTACGGAATTTTTTTGTCTGACCTTTTTTTCAAAATTGTTCAGATATGGCAAATTGAGTGTCTCGGACAGTGGTGTCATCGGCAAGGTATAAAAGGAACCGAGATTTGAACAAAATTCTTATTCGTCTTTCAATATCGCGGCCTTATTAAATAAAAACCCAATAACACACGGGTGCAGAGTGATTAATTTATCGTGTCTTGCCAGACGGCATTAGTGCACTGCCTGGAAGGAATTCGAATCATGAACCATTAGCCTGAAAGTTATGTGAATTAACTACTTAAAGGGATAGTTGAGTTCTGTTTTCGGACCACAAATGCCTTCAAAGTGCATGGTTATTGATCTTATTCCTATTTATTACATTTATAGTGCCCTTTTAGAACCTAAAATTGCTATGAAGGTAATTTTAGACCCTAAAATGTGTGAAATTTAGCCAATACGATCATACCAATTCAGCTCCACTTTAAAAAAAACATGGTGACCGTTAATTAATTATTTAATTAAAAATAACAATACATGAGCCGGCTAATTGTGGGTAATATAAGCACCACGAAAATGCAAACAAAAAAGCCAACATCGGCACTGGCTGAAATACGACGTAAAAGGCGTTATTTCGTTTTTTTCAACGGTTTTTTCAAATTTTTCAAAATATTTTTCAAAACAAGTATTAGAAATCGTTATATTTCAGCCGTCTCTGAACCGATTTTGATCAAACAAAGATGATTTTGTCATTTAAATATTATGTTTTTATTTGACATTCAGTTTTTCATTATCTCACAAAAAATTATTTTGTGTAGCGCCCTCTGCAACAGAACTCAACTATCCCTTTAACCATGATAAGCTCTCCTGCCTTTTATACTTACTTTTGATACAATCTCCTAAACAAGTTCAAACCACTGAACATATTGATTTAACGAGAGTTAAATTGCAAACGAAAATTCGTTTAACTTACCTATCTTCATCACATCCTTTCAAATATTGGCGAAACAACTAAAAACATAAACCACTGTCCGTTTAATGGAATAGCTCCCCTTATTTATTTGCCTTTGTAATTAAATGTCTGTTGAAACGATATTAGACTTTGAAGAATACTTAGGCAAAGTAAAATGATCTGAACATTATTGTTCTAGAAATTGAAACGAGGGGGCTTGCTTGCTTCCCGACTAGGGGCAGCATATGTTGGAAAGAACAAAACTTCAGATTACACATAGCAATGATTGGTCTACATAGACATACGTTGGAGGGGGCTGAAGACCCCCCCCCCCCCCCTTTTTTTTTTTTTTTTTGTTGAGATTTTGAAAAAGAACATTTTGGCAACTGTCGCCTCATATCCGAGAAGCTAGGTGCCAGATTACGGATTTGTATCCACTATCTATGACATAACGAAGACTAACGTTATCAAATGAAATTATCATATCTTTTGTGAGCAAACCAATCTTGAGATCTAAAATATTGATATTCGGGCAAGAAAAATGTGATCGTACGCCTATCTCACCCTCCATTGACATCGAGGCACCGTTTGAAACAAAAATAAAGCATAACATGAAACTATTTTAATTCCATTTTAAATTCCAGCCATATCTTTAACAGTTTGACTCGAACTGAGTCCAATACGTCGGGCAATCACACTGGCAGGCATCGTCTCCACAGGAGAATGCCATCAGAACCGCTGCTGCTAAGTCGAAACCATGATGTCCTCCGATCGTTCTTCTGCTTGGGTTATGACGAGGATGAAGAGAACTGGTAAATTTAAAGCCTTTCGGGAGCAAAGAACTGAGATGGGTTTTTGTGTGTGTTTGTGTCAATCATGTGAATTTGCAAATACAACAGATGTTTAAATGATTTGTTATATTTCATTAATGTGATTGGGGGTCAAGGATTGGGTAAAACGTTTTTTTCCCTCTTGCTTATTTTTTAATTAAATGTTGTGAACTCATGCGGAAGTGTATTTGATATTTGTGATTGAGGTGTACGCCTGGGGTTGGGCGAAACATTTTTTTTCCTTCCCTCTTTAATAATATATTTTCTTCTCGTTTATCTTACGATTTAATATCATGAAATCACGTAAAATGTCATACAACTGGGTGTATAATCGACACGCAAACGGACTCAGGGAGAAATATATGTTTTCCTTTTAAAAAAAGCATTTATACGTGTTTTCGTTTTTAGCCAAATACTGTATCAACAATTCAAAATCATTAAGATCATGCAAGATCATGCAACAGATGTTTGCTTTAATATTGTATTTAATGTATATATTTTATTTTATTTTATAGGATGCATCTTTCCGATTCGGGAGCAGTTCTAAAATGATATATTGTTTTGGGCGACGGGGGCTTTCGGGTGAGAAGCTGGGAAAGAAGGCTTGGGTTATGAGAAAAATATGGAGACAAAGAGAATGAGAAAAAAAAAACGAAGGGGAAAAGGCAAGCCGAAATTAAGAAGGTAATACAACACCCCATGTGCACCCTCTCACTCTATCGATCGCCTTGTTCTCTTACCGTTTCATCCATTAAATATGTCCAGTGCCGCCCCTATGAAACCTGTGTCAATTCAGTGACTACTCCACTACTGGTACGCCATCTGTCTTATACAGAGTAGATTATAGAAGGATATATCAGGGAGTTGGAATGGAGCTGGATCATATACAGTGTGCAGGGGCGGATCTAGCTTTTTGCCAAGGGGGGGGGGGGTGACCAAAAAAAAAATCCAAAAATCGCGCCGTTTTACCGTTTTAATTTTCTTCTTTTTTTCATTTGGCCGCCCAAGGGGGGGGGGGGGTTAAAACGCCGAAACCCCCCCCCCCCCCTCCCTATAGATCTGCCCTTGGTGTGTATCAAAATATAATGGTACTCCAAATACATGAGATTAATATCCCGGGCAAGGTTATTTTTCTTTAACCAGGCAGTTGTCACAGCTTCCTGCTTCAATAGTTTTAATGAAACATGCGAATAAAAGAAAAGAGAGACTTCTCATCTCCCATTGATACCTTTCTTGTATCAATATATGCTTACCCCAAATTCATTGTTATTAAAGATGGCAGGTACGTATTTCATTTTTGTGAGTTTTTGTTGTAGTAGTCCAGATCATGCATTGACAAGTGCAAACTACAACATTGAAATCGGTCATGCGTGACACCGTTGATGCAATGTATTGAATGGAAAGGTGAAAAGTTTCTCTCTGTTTGTAAAAACATCTACAAGAAATATGCAAGTTGTCAAAGTAAAATAGCATTGAAATAGTAACCCACTTAATTTCGATTAGGTCTACTTCCTGTTAATACACACTGTAGAATCTGTAGAAGCCGATTCGAGATGAATTAAGGAGGGAATGATGAAAAGAGAATAGGAAAGTAGCAACTGAACTGGGAATAAACAGGGCTGGCGGGAGAGAAAAGTTGATATAAGAAGATAATTTTGATAGAGGCCAATCGAGGAAGCAGCCCCCCCCCCCCCCCCCGTCCTCTCCCACCACCTCATGCTAACCCTACATGGTATTAACAAGTCAGATCAAAAGAAGTTGAACATTATACAGAACAAAATGGTGAGATTCATTACTGTTCTGGTCTAAGAACTCATGTTGAAGTCAACCAAATTAAGATCAAAACAACTCGTATTGCATCACGTACGTGCATAACTAGATTATAATACAAGAAATAGCCGATTCAACCTTAACTTACCAGAAAGAGTACGGTAGTATTGGAAATTCGATTTATTACATTGCCATAAACATTGGAATTCCCTTCTTAATGATATAAAGGAAATATAAAACTTTGCTCATTTTAAGAGAAAATTAAAGGAATATCTAACACTTGAGATTCAGAGGAAAGAAGCGAATGACATGTTATATGATTGAAAACAGATTTTTTTTTTTGATTTTTTTTTTTGTTTTGTTCTTATGCCGGTTCATACTTTCTAATTTTGTATATGCCTATGTTTTTATACGTTATAGAAATTCAACATCATCATTATTTTCCTCTTCTTCCTCCTCCTCCTCGATCCCCTCCTCCTCCTCCTCTTTTTCTTCTTCTCCTTCTTCTTTTTCTTCTTGACTTATTATCATTGCTATCATCAGTTTAATGTTGTTATTTTTATCTTATCATTATTATCTTTAATAAGTATTTTTTCTTATCTGTCTGTAAATATTGGTATTTTAACTTACCGATATGCCTATTCATTTTGTACATGTATGTCGGGGACCCCATTGGAATAGGCTCTCGAGCTTTCGTGGGATATCCTGTTCGAGCTGACTTAATGTTGATCTGCTATTCTTGTATATTGTTGTATGTTGAAAGCTTGGCGAATTTAAAGATCAACCAATCGATCAATCAATCATCATATTGACCACTACCTAGTCCAGAATCTGGAGCTGGCCGCTTCTTCATTATCTCTATATTCCCTAAACTGGACCACATAACTGGAAAATAAATATTTTCCAGTTCTGTGGTCTAGAATCTGGCCGGTTCTTTAATATCTCTATATTATTCCCTACACTTGACCACAGAACAGGTAAACACCTAAAGTTGTCCAGTTCTGTGTGAGTCACTGTGCTGTGGTCACTTGTAAAAGTAAACATTACGCGTACGCCCGACCAGGAAATGACGTCATCTAATGTTGTAGAGATCGGCACTGCACTGGTGGATCACGAAACTGTGCAAAGAAGATCGAAGAGCGAGTGACAAGCTAATATTTAAAAAAATGTAAGTTAACTCTTTATTGTTATTACAATAGTGTTATTTTCGTAAGTGTAAGTCATATTCTTCTTCGAGTAGACCTTCAATTGAAGAAAAAAAGACTAAAAGAACATTAAACTCTCTAATAAAAATAGGATGGAATTTTCCAAATGAAACTTACATTGATATCAATATATGGGACAATGCTAAAAAAAAGAAGTTCACCAGTCCATATCATCATTAAACCAGTGGCGGATCCAGGGGGGGGGGGCCGAAACGGCCGCGGCCCCCCCTATTGGCGGCGCAAAAAAAAAAGAGAAAAAAAAAGAAAGGAGAAGAGAAGAAAAAAAGGAGAAGAGAAAAGAAAGAGGAAGAGAAAAGAAAAGAAGAGAAAAGAAAGAAGAGAGAGAGAGAGAGAGAGAGAAAGAAAAAAAAGGAGAAGAACCCCCCCCCCCCCCCCACCTCACTCCCACTTCGGGGTCGGAGGGACCGATTTTGTGTTTCCAAAATTTCTGATAAAGGGTTACTTTTCACGCAACGGAGTCCGGCCCGTAATACACACAAATCCGGCCCGCACTGACTTTACACACCGAATATAAAGGGGTGCTTTCAAACTAAGAGAGGGAACATACATGCGCGTACCCTAGATAACACTGAGTGGGTGGGGGGGGGGGGGAGGGGAACAGAAAAGTCGGGTGAGAAAGGGGGAAAGACAAGGAAATGGCGCTAAGTGACAGTAACGACGAATAAGGGAAAAACTGTAATCGGGAGATTTGGGGTCATTCCAGAAGGCTTGGGAAACGATATTGAATAGAGGGGGCCGGGCCGGCCGCATAAAATCTCGAGCCACGGATTCAAAGTTAAACATTACAAACAGCCCCTGCTTTTTGAAAAAAATTAAAAAGGGCACAATATTTTGGATGTCTTTCAAATAGAAGCTATATACTAAGCAGCCAAATTTTAAATTAACGGTAGGGCCGCTTCACAACTCTTATTTTGCCCTTCATTTGGATTCAGCTCATACCAACTCGCTTGTGCTTATATTTGAACTCATGTTGGTAGTGATAATGGACAGCGGCGGCGATCCTGGGCCCGATAGAGGGACACGTCCCCCCGGAAATTTAGATATAAAGCTAGAAAGAAATATACATGTAGCGGAAAGAACGTACATATTGGACTAAAGGATTTTCTAGAATGCATAATTTCAGCATTCTACATTGCAAAATCTCGCTTGGTCGCTACGCCCCGGCCCTCGCCCGATAACACAAAACTAAGATTATGACGCTCCCGGTCGCGATTATTTCATGGTTGGTATATAAAAAGATTTTTTTCCCCTTTCATTTCTACTGACCTAATTGTATGCTATCACAATCATGATTGTTTCATTTTCCCTTTAAAGCATGCGTAGCTAGGGGCGGTAGGGGCAGTAAGGGGACATAGGACGAAAAAAGGAGCAGACAAAGAAACATTTTTGACAAGTCTAAAACGGTACAACAAATCATCTTCTTTCTCTATTAACTTAATGAAACGTTAAGCTTCTGCGCTTTGCGCTGGAGGGGGAAACTGAATTCAAAGAAGGATTAAGAGTCGGGAATAGAACAACAAATTATATTCTTTCTCTAATAATTTCATTAAACTATGAAAGGTCAAAGCTTCTGCGCCTCGCGCGGAAGGGGGAAAATGAATTCAAACAAGGATTAAGAATCGAGAATGGGACAACGAATCATCTTCTTTCTCTCATAATTTAATGAAGCGTCAGAAGCTTACACGCTACGCGCGGGAGGAGGAAAACTGAATTCAGACAAGGATTTAGAGTCGAGAATGGAACAACGAATCATCGTCTTTCTCTAATGATTCAATGAAACGTCAAAGCTTCCGTGCTTCGCGCGGGAGGGGGTATAGAAACTGAATTCAGACAATGATTAAGAATCGAGAACGGTACAACGAATCGTCTTCTTTCTCTAATAATTTAATGAAACGTTAAGCTTCTGCGCTTCGCGCGGAGGGGGGGAAACTGAATTCAGACAATGATTAAGAACCGAGAACGGAACAACGAATCGTCTTCTTTCTCTAATAATTTAATGAAACGTCAAAGCTTCCGCGCTTCGCGCGGGAGAGGGAAAGGGGGGGGGGGGACTCAATTCAGACAAGGATTAAGAGTCGAGAACGGTACTCTGTCTCTAATGATTTAATGAAATGTCAAAGCTTCCTCGCTTCGCGCGGGAGGGGGTATGGAAACTGAATTCAGACAATGATTAAGAATCGAGAACGGTACAACGAATCGTCTTCTTTCTCTAATAATTTAATGAAACGTTAAGCTTCTGCGCTTCGCGCGGAGGGGGGAAACTGAATTCAGACAATGATTAAGAACTGAGAACGGAACAACAAATCGTCTTCTTTCTCTAATAATTTGATGAAACGTCAAAGCTTCCGCACTTCGCGCGAGAGAGGGGGAACTCAATTCAGACAAGGATTAAGAGTCGAGAACGGTACTCTTTCTCTAATGATTTGATGAAACGTCAAAGCTTCCGCGCTTCGCTCGGGAGGGGGTATGGAAACTGAATTCAGACAATGATTAAGAATCGAGAACGGTACAACGAATCGTCTTCTTTCTCTAATAATTTAATGAAACGTCAAAGCTTCCGCACTTCGCGCGGGAGAGGGGGGGGATTCAATTCAGACAAGGATAAAGAGTCGAGAACGGTACTCTTTCTCTAATGATTTAATGAAACGTCAAAGCTTCCTCGCTTCGCGCGGGAGGGGGCATGGAAACTGAATTCAGACAATGATTAAGAATCGTGAACGGTACAACGAATCGTCTTCTTTCTCTAATAATTTAATGAAACGTTAAGCTTCTGCGCTTTGCGCTGGAGGGGGGAATCTGAATTCAGAGAAGGATTGAGGATCGAGAATGGAACAACGAATTATCTTCTTTCTCTAATAATTTCATTAAACTATGAAAGGTCAATGCTTCAGCGCTTCGCGCGGGAGGGGAAAAACTGAATTCAGACAAGGATTAAGAGTCAAGAACGGTACTCATTCTCTAATGATTTAATGAAACGTCAAAACTTCCACGAATCCTCTTCTTTCTCTAATAATTTCATGAAACATTAAAGCTTCTGCGCTTCACGCGTAATGGGGGGGGGGAGGGGAACAGCGAGCTGCCCGAATATGAATTTGTTATATCTTTTCTCGTATATTTTGGTGATAAATAACACTTTCACAAAATACATATTATCCTCAAATTTTTGCTCGCTCGCTTCGCTCACTAGCCGAATTGTGAAACCAGAAAATTACTTTTTCGGGCAAGAGGCTTCAGCCCCCCCCCCCCGATGAAAATGTCAAAAAAATTACCGGTATGGTGCTTCTAATATGACCTCGTCAGTATTGGTATGTTGAGTTGAAAAACGGTCTGCGCAATTTTCAAATTTCCGGCCCCCCCCTATTGGAAAATTCTGGATCCGCGCCTGATTAAACACGGCATGGCGCATGCATACATTATTACACTACTTAATAGTAGACTTGGCTAGGTGACTTTATGAAATATGATAGTGATATAGTGATATCCCCTTGCCTTCATTGTCACCCATACCCCTGCGATAAGAGTGACGTGTTAACATAAAACTAAAACTAAAATGCGTCTGTAATCCCCCTTCCCAAACCTTGCACACTGGCTTGGCTTCAATCAAAGTTTGGTAGTCCCATGTTATTGGACTCTTCTTTCTTTCTAATTATACACAGTACTGTCAAGTCAGTTCCCTGATTTGCATTGATATAGTTTTTATATTTGAATATGCATGATAAAAATGTTTGACTAGAGGTCTAGTAGTAGGACTAGGAGGTAATTTCAATGTTGTTTTACAGGGTTCCCCATTTTCTTCTTCTTTCAGACATTATGGCAAGCCAAATACACATTTTAAATACCCATTCCAAGGATGTCAACTGCTGCACATTTTCTGGCAACCTTCTAGCAACATGCTCTGGAGATAAAACTGTTCGCCTCTGGGACGCAACTTCATTTGAAGAACTCCCCTTTTCCCCGCTCCTAGGCCATTCATACTACGTCCACTGGTGTGCTCTCAGTGCGTTCGGAACGAGATTAGCGACGTGTTCAACGGATGGGAAGATCATAGTGTGGGATACGAGCAATGGAGAGACTGTAGCCGTGTTTGAACACACCCACAAGCCCATTATACGGGTGTGTGTCTTCTCACCAGACTCTCAGTATTTGTTGAGTGGAGGAGCGGACAATGAACTCTGGATGTGGGACCTCAACAAGAAAACATGTATCAGGTAAAGTCAAGAGAGGTTTGAAATGTGACCCAGTAATACTTTCGAATTAACAGGGTTAAAATAAATGATTTAATTTTCTTTTAATCTGTTTATCCACATATTTAGTACATGTTATAACTTCCCAAGAGTGCTTGCATTTACAAACATTAAAAAAAAAAGTTTTTTAGTCCTACCCTCACACCCCTTTTTTTTCTTCCATTTAATCATGAATATTAAGATCAACTTTTCTAAAGGGTCCTATCTTTAAGTACCTACTGTACATGCATGTACTAGATAAAAGTCAAGTGTTGATTGTCAATGTAAATGTCATTCTTGGCAAAAGATATGGTTAACAAATTGCTCCAGGAAGCAGATGATTGTTGTGTTAAGCCTATATTTTATACATAAAGGAATATGAGAATTTCAGTCATTACCGGTTAACACGTTTAACCATTAACCATGTCATGAGTTTGTGGACGAAACCGTTGCTTTTATAACTCATCTTTGAAAGTAATGTTACATTTTTGAGTTCTTCATACTGCTTTTCTTGTCACTTGATATATCCTCTGTTGAGATCCAGAAGGGCTTTTAACTCCTATCGCTCTACACAGACTTAACACCCTTCTGACCCTCTACATACCCTCTTTCATGTTTATTCTACAGAAAGCTTGAAGGTCACATCGGTGTCGTCACAGCCTGTGCCTTCACACCCGATGGCACTCATGTGGTGTCGGGGTCAACCACCGGTGACCTGAGGGTATGGGACGCCCTCAATGGTCAAAGCAGATGTCTCTTCTACGATCCAGACTGTCATGATCTAGCCCTCACTGGACTCTGTATCTCACCGACGTTTGGCTCTGCAAGTAAGAACACAGTTAATACTAGATCATAGATGACGCTAATAATGTTAAAGTTATATATCATAGATACTTGTGAGCCAAAATATTTGTGTCTTAATATTTTCACCTATGACAGTGACACAGACATTCTTTTGTGAGTGTTTTTATTCCTTCTAAATAAACATAGATGACTATCTATACATTCACATACATGTACCGGGGTATGCATTGCCAGCTCATTTTTGTCTGTTTTAAAATTTGCATTTCTACAAAATTATGCAAAATTTGCATGAATAAAACCACTGCCAAAGTAATGACTTATAAAGTAAATTACAAAATGGAATGATTTTTGTCATCATTTTTTGCATCAAAGAATTTGCCTGTTTTCATCTTCCATGCCCTTATATTCTTATACTACTTTGTAAGAACATAAAATCATCTGCCAAATAAGGATAGGGGATAAACATATCTGTAAACAATGGGATAGTACCTTTATGGTCCTTGGTAGTTTACCTGAGTTAAAACATTTTCTCAAGTTTACTGGAGTCGAAACGTTTCCAATGTGGGTTGTCATTTTCCCTCCAGAACATGAAATTATCTTCTGTCTTTCAAACAGATGCTGCAGTCCGGGAATCCCTTGGCCAAAGGACATTCTTCATGTTAGCGACATGTGGCGACAACATAGTTAGACTCTGGGACTTAGACACTGTACCAGGTAAAACAGATAAAACGATTGCTTAGGATTTGCCCCCCTCATGTTGATCTATTTTTGTTAATCTCACTAACTATGCAACAGACATACTTTATTATACAACTCACTCCTAGATCCTAATCAAATGGGTGGTCATGCGTGGTCACGTGTGATTCATTTACTGAGACTATCCCATGTTTTTTCATGAAAAAGCGACTACAAGTTTATTTGTCAGCCATACTGTCACGAAACAATCTTGAATGAATTCTTTTTACATAAAATAACACAGATCTAGGAATTTTGTAGTATAAAACAATTGATGCATGTTTTCATTCGTTCATTATAAGATCTATCCGCCCTCGTTGAGGGTGTGTGTATCTATCGCACAAAGCCATTAGGTTTCATGCGATACACACAGCCTCAACTCGAGTGTGGATAGATTGTATAATGAACTCAGGCGCATGCATCATTTGTATAATATCTTGTGTTTAACAGTAGTATGGTAAAAATTGCCGCTGTAGATCTTGTTTTAATTTGTTAAAATAGAGATTTAGAATTGTTAAAAATGCATTTTATTGCAAAACATACATATTTGTCTTTAAAGCACACTTTATGCAATAAATCAAAGAATCATGAATCATGAGTTAGGTCTTTGCCTAAAAACAGTGGATAAGGGTGAACATTTTAGTACCAGCTGGATTTTTAAAGAGCATCATCTTCATTCTTATCAATGCAGGGTGTTCTACTAGACTCCGGTGTGATCTGAAAGGACATTCAGCTACTGTTCAAGCTCTAGCTTTCTCTGCTGACGGTCGTCTCCTGGCATCAGGGTAGGTATCCCAATCAAGGAGATACAGTTTGAAGATTTACTTTATTCGTACTGCTTCCAGTCCTTTTTCTATGTTATAGCGAGGGCCAAACTGTATTCTTTCATTTCTACATATTTGTTTCATTTCATTTTATCTTATTTTGTATTTTATTATATTCACCTTTATCTTTTTCTTCACACCAGAATTTTTCTCTTTTTTTTCCAGTTCAGTTTGTTTTATTATCATATCGCAGCCTTAGCTGAATTATATGACAAGTTACAATCAAATTTACAATCAAATTAAACATAACATCACATTTTTTTTTCTCAAAACAACATATTTCATAATACAATGCACTTATATGAAAAAAAAAGGTATATACAAAATAGATACTTTACATGTAATATAATTAATATTTAGTTAATTTAAGAAACATGAATACTTACAGTTTTTTAAACCTATTTCCAGAAATTTTCTTATGATAGCTTGTATGTAGTTGAAGGAGTATATTAAGATATTCATACTCGTACTTTGTATCCTTTATCGTTTTGTTATTACAGTGCAGTTGACAAGCTTGCTATTCTTTGGAATCCAGTGAGTATATAATCCATTATGTTTCTTTCACATCATGTGATGTAACTGCCAAGATAAGGTCGCCTGTTTAGATTATTTTAATTAATAAGATAATGTTGATATATTTTTATCTTTCTGAAGTGTATGATATATTTTTTGATAAAAATATGGCATATTACTGTTGCCCTTTTTATGTTATCAAAGACATCAATTTGAGGATATTAGTTTAGGTTAATTTATGATTGTTTCTTGTGACAAATACAAGTTAGCTTGTAAAAGGAAAACAAATTGCTAATTTTTTTCTAATGATTTTTAAATGATTTTCAGTTACTGCTTATAAGAATGTACCTTCCATATCATGAATATTTATCTTGAGTGGAAAAATTGTTACTCTATATTGTTTGATACTATAGAATAGTAATAATTTTAGCACAGTTTTGGGGTTTGATTTTAAAAAATACACTTTCATTTGATTTTAAGGCACACAGCAATCTGTAGTGTCATGGATACCTCTACTTGTATCTTTGATTGGGTGCAGTGTGTGTCATAGAATTTCCATGCATGTTTTTGAGAGTTTGTTGTTGTTGTTGTTGTTGAAAGCTATTGTATTGCATTTTCCCCCTACAGATTCTTGGAGAAATGCTTTATACTCTGGAAGGTCATACAAGGTAATGAGAATGCTCTATTAACTTATCATTGAAGTTATAATTTTTGGTCATATGCTGAACAAAATGAATCACAACACTCATACCTCTGAGATCCTGAAATATTTAGGATATAATATAATCTCTTCTTTGTATTTTACATTTATCATGGTTTCCTTATTCTGCAATGTTATATCAGTTCAACCTACTTTGGCAACCATTAGGCTATAAGACCACGTTGTTAGTTTCCTTTGAGCAACGTTTCTCATTAAAAACCTGTACCCTGTAACCTGTAATAATAATAATAATGATAATAATATTCGGCTTTTATATAGCGCTTAATACATCCAACGATGTGTCTTGGCGCTTTACAGATATATTATTACTCCGGTCATTGAATTCAGGCTTATCCGCACACCTATACATAAAGACCACCTGCTTTGAAGGGTCTTCATGTACAGGTTTCACTGTATTTATCTACCATGTTTTTGTATAGGTACGTGACGACTGTAGCATTCTCTCATGACAACATGTTCCTGACAACAGGCTCCCACAACAAGGTCCATGTATGGAAATTAGGTTTCAACCAACCTCTGCAACCTGCAGGTATGTATCACAAGATTCTACGACAATAAATGTATGGTTATGGTTTTGTCAGAGGGATTTACACTTTCCAAGCAAGAAAACTATTTAAAAAAATTTGACGATACAAATGGATTTAATGGCTAAATGATAGAACTACTTAATTAAAGCTAAAAAGGTTGAACAAAAAAATGAATATGTATTATTTTTGCAAATGCACCAATTGCAATTCATTACTTTCATTTTACATCTATAAAGTATTGTTTAATTGGGTACTTTATTATTATTATATTAAGAGGGATTTACACTTTCCAAGCAAGAAAATTATTTTAAAAAATTTGACGATACAAATGGATTTAATGGCTAAATGATAGAACTACTTAATTGAAACTAAAAAGGTTGAACAAAAAAATGAATATGTATTATTTTTGCAAATGCACCAATTGCAATTCATTACTTTCATTTTACATCTATAAAGTATTGTTTAATTGGGTACTTTATTATTATTATATTAAGAGGGATTTACACTTTCCAAGCAAGAAAACTATTTTAAAAAATTTGACGATACAAATGGATTTAATGGCTAAATGATAGAACTACTTAATTAAAACTAAAAAGGTTGAACAAAAAAATGAATATGTATTATTTTTGCAAATGCACCAATTGCAATTCATTACTTTCATTTTACATCTATAAAGTATTGTTTAATTGGGTACTTTATTATTATTATCATTATTAATCATACCATCCTTCATTCCCCCCCCCCCCCCCACCCACCAAGTCCTGAAAAGGGTGAAGCTTTTACCCCTTTTAAATTCACATTACAGTTGGTTAACTTCGCTTCTCAGAATGTCACTGGCTGCATTTTACACTCTTTCATTCATGTAATGCATTTATGTTTGGTTTAGTTTTATATAATTTATAGTATTCATGATTGCATGTTTAAGACAGTGTTATTAGAGAATCTTAACATGGAGTGTTTCATACGATTCTTTCTATTATTTATGAAATGGTAATTCTTTCAGAAAGTGTGGTGTACTGAGAATGAAAGATTTAAATCCTTGACACATTGCTGCTGTCCCGGAGACATCACAGACTGGGGTATAAAGAAAATGCATGTTAAAACAAAATCAAACTTAGACTCTATTCAACAGGTCTATAAGCATAATTTTTTTTTCATTTGTCCAAGCATGCATGGAATGATTTTTATGATAATGGTTTAATATCAAAATGTGAATATCATATCTGATAAGGGATTAGTTCATTAAATAATTCAAAGAGAAGGTCGAGTTTTGATTGAGGTAAAATTGAGGTAATTTGTGAGTTTTCTCAATATTTATATTCTCACATGGAAGAATATCATAGTAGCACTTTCCCATGAAAAGGATCGCTCTTGAAATGCTTATCATATTTCAAATATGACGAGATACATCAGAGAATACACCAAATCAGACCAAATTCTGATGCAACAGTTTTGTGTAGTCCCATGTACCCAAAATTTGGGTCAAGCGCTCTTCATCGTTTGTGATTTCCAGCAAGAATCGTTATAATTTTGATGATTCCTATACCTCACAATACACAATTGCTCCTTATAAATACAATATAATCAACCATTCAAGATAACTATCTTTCACAGTTACTGGCATAACCAGTTCTCAACGATTTCCTCGATGATGAATGTGGTTAGGATGTATCCGACCTTTGAACCCTATCTTTCACCCCTTATACTACCAATAGATTCATCAGGCACTGTTCCAGCCATCAGCCCAGCCAACCAGCAAAGCTCTACCACAGAAACCGGACCTTCCCTAGCACATAACGTCATCTCTGATTGGACGGTAGATGCCGTGTGTGAGTGGTTACAAAGCATTAATCTGGAGCAGCACTGTGAGACCTTCAGGGAGAATCACATCGATGGTCAGGAGCTACAGAACCTCACTACCGAGGTCCTGTCAAAAGACCTCAATGTCAGTAAGTACATGTTAATCATTAAAGCTTCAACGTTATTGAATGCATTGTATTTTTACTCTTTTTTTTCTCCAATTTTGTTTGGATAGACTTACTTGTAAAGTTGATAAAGTTGAAGGCTTTCTATGAATATTAACACAACTAAATTTGGATATATGATCGATAACATGACTAATAATATAGATCAAGTCATTACAAATTAAAACCTTCCTTATTTATGTACAGTCACAGGCTTGCAAAAATAACATTGCATGCTGGCTGCTGCTGCGACTACATTCCACCCCCCCCCCTCTCTCTCTCTCTCTCTCTCTGTCTGTCTGTCTCTCTCTTTCTCTATCTCTCTCTCTCTCCCCCTCTGTCTCTCTCTGTCTCTGCCTGTCTGTCTCTGTCTGTCTCTCTGTCTCTCTCTCTCTTCTCTTTCTCTCTTGTCTCCAAACTTACTTATACATCAGGGTGAGCTGTGTAATTTAGCCAACACACCCAATGGAAAAAAATATAAATAACAAACAGATATATCATGTGTTTGCTCTTGGGGAATGAAAAACCTGACAACATGTCCATCCGATCAAAAGATTCTTAAGATCTGCCCCACTTGTTCTCAAATGTCTTGTTGGATGAAAATTTTATCTTGTCTTGAACTAGGTGACCAATCCTATGACCTATAAACTTTAGATTTCCTGTTGTATCCCTAAGGGTTACAGTGTACTTCATTGTGATTAAATGTTGTCATCTGTCTTAGCATTGTCCTTGAAGTTCCTGCTATGATTTTTATGCAACCGTTACGAAATAGCCGGGGGCATTATGTTTTCGGGTTTTCTGTCTGTATGTCCCGTTCTCGTGATCAAGTTATCTCAAGAACTGATTGATGGATTCCTGCCAAACTTAGGTCATGTATGTATCTTGCCGAGCCAATGAACTAATTAGATTTTGGGGTCACGAGGTCAAAGGTTCGCAGGTCTCATTATGTATGCAAAAATAGCTTGTGATCACATTATCATTAGAACCCATGGACAGATTACCATCAAACTCAGGACATGTACGTATCTTGCTGAGCCAATGAACTGATTAGTTTTGGGGTCGTGAGGTCAATGGAAAATCCTGAAGACTGTGTTGAGGTCAATGGAGAATCCTGACGACTGTTTCCTGTTTCGATTGTGAATGTTGGACTACAATTATTTGAAAATATTTACATATTTGTTTATTTTATTTTTAATGCGTAAAAATTATAATTTTCCTTTAATTTGATATGTTGTAGCTCTAGGGACATATCTCAATTTTGAAGACTTAGGTAATCATTTACAGTTTATAATGAGGTACATCTGGTCTGGATGACAATGGCACGCTCTCTGGTTTTGAAATTTTCCACTGCTGATGGCCTGGGTGGAAACCTGTTGTCATGGTGATTTAAATTATCTTGATTATAATTTGTTTGTTGCCCAAAACCAAAAAAATCTGTCATTATTCTAAGATTAGTTATTTGCTTCAATTATACAATTATACAGAGGCCCTTGGTCATCGTCAGAAGATCTTGAGAGGTATCCAGGCTGTCCGTGAGAAGGGCTTTTTCTCTGGCTCTCAGGGACCTGTACCAGGTAATCTTACCATCATTGCAATAGGTGGTTTGAACCTCCCAAATTGTAATTTTGTATCTGATATTTTCACACCAAGAAATGTTCCATTTCATTTTAAAATTCAAAAGATTTCATATATTGTGAATTTGAAAATCGTAGTTTTCATCTACATGAAAAATGCAGATACGTGCAGCTCTCACCTATATATATATATATATATATATATAAGGGATGCATGCTTGTGAACGTGGTACTATGTAATATCTTTCAAAGGAAGAAGAGCCATGGAAAGGGCTGGTGGGCTCCGCTATTAGCTCTTTGGTTCTTGATGCTCCAAACATCTTTTACTTGTCGCTGTTTTCTATTCCTGTATTCACCAAATTTTGTCACAGTGTTTATCTCAATACAGGAACCCACCTTCATCTTCAACCTGTTCTCATTTTCTCCTTTGTGTTTTCTAGATGATCAGATACCTGATGAATACCTGTGTCCTATCAGTAGAGAGATCATGAAGGAACCAGTCATAGCAGCAGGTACATGGTCTTCCCTCATATTCTCAGAGACAGTGGCGTAGTGCGGGGCAAGCAATTTAGGGGGCACTGACATTGTGGGGGTTGGGAAGGGGGTCGGGGGTGGGAAGGAATCACCATTTTTACTTTGCGAGTGAAATGCAAAACAGTTTACACAATGTCCCCTAATCCTCACCTCTTTTTCTTCCTCCAAACCCTGTACTCCACTCCCCCTCTCGATTCACCCCTCAAATTTGTTAAGAACAAAGATTAACAAATTATTAAAAATGTTGTGTTCTTTACAAAATTTCATCCTGTCCAAAGAAGTGTGATTGGACTATTAGAGGAAACATGTGAGGGTTTATATGAAATTGGTCCCTTTGATATTGGTATATACATGTACATACAGTTAAAAATCAGTATCAATGCCTATTGACTGAATATACACTCTTCCTAAAGTGGCTTTAAAATAGTAGAGAAAAAATGTTTCTCTAATTGTATTAATGCAATATCTTTTAAAGAAATATCTTGTAGGATCTAACTTCCTTTAAACTATTTATACCTTCAGGTTTCTTTCAGTAGTCATTAGCTTTTCCTAATGTTTCAACTCTTGTCTCAATTCCTTTCTATTTAGATGGATACACGTACGAGCGGTCAGCCATAGAGAACTGGTTGAGAGCAGGCCGCAACACAAGCCCAATGACGAATGCTCCTCTTTCTTCCATCAACCTGACTCCCAACCGTAGTCTAAAGATGATCATAGCCAGGATCTACGATGTATGATGTGATTAGGACGATGATTCCACCGAACTATCCAGCAGTCGAAAGTCTTCAGATAACTAGCTAGGAATGTTGATGATTGATATGAAAATGATCGCCACTGAACTGATTACAACAGAAGTCTTATAGTGTAGGATCATTGCTACAAGGATCTTCATTGTGTGATATTGTGACAGCAATTATCACATCGATTATCAGCTAATGTCTTTAGATCGTCATCACAGGTATCTACAATGTATGATGTGACGAAGGTAGTGATTCTACTGAACTATTAACCTGCAAACGTAATTCTGCAGATGATCCTAGCTGGGATCTATGATGTATGGTGTGATGAGGGTAGTGATTCAACTGAACTATAAACCTGCAAACGTGATTCTGCAGATGATCCTAGCTAGGATCTACGATGTATGGTGTGATGAGGGTAGTGATTCAACTGAACTATAAACCTGCAAACGTGATTCTGCAGATGATCCTAGCTAGGATCTACGATGTATGGTGTGATGAGGGTAGTGATTCTACTGAACTATAAACCTGCAAACGTAATTCTGCAGATGATCATAGCTAGGATGTAAGGTATGACGAGGATAATGATCACCACTACCTTGACTCCTCATTAAAGTCTTCATATCATAATTGATAAGACGTAGGAACTATGATGTCTGATATGAAAAGGGACAAGGATCACTACTAAATTGACCATCAACCAAACTCTTTAAAGGGGGTGTAGCATGACAAGACCACGTATCTTTCCTGTGGCCTGATTCGGGGCCACTCGGGTATAAGACAACTACGGACGACGCGACCCCAGTATTAACGTGCGTGCAACATACGCGAAACTGAAGCGTGTGGAGAACTTCAGTCTATTTGAACACTTAAGCGCGCTGACCGTAAAAATCAAGTCCATTCGTTTCAATCAGTTGTCCAAAAGAAGTAGAAAATGGCGTTAACCAGTATTTGCCATGCTACACCTCCTTTAAGATCATCATTGTCGATCTATGATGTATGATGTGATGAGTCTTGTGATGATGTCCGAGCTGTCCTTGCTAAGGACTGCAATGTATGATGTAACAGTGACCAAAGCTGAACTGACCATTGTCGAAAGCTCCAAGATCATTGCTTCATGGGTGTATGATGATCGACCATGATGACCAATCCACTGACTCCAAACAGTAGCCTAAAGGTATTCATTGTATAAACAAATGATAAATGATATTTGTGATGGTGATTTATATATTTTTCACCTGACTGCTAAGAACAATGATACATTGGTAATCTTTGTAGTAACATTTGACTCCACTTTTATGTCTTCTTTATTAAAGCAGGACATCTTTCCTAGACATGAAAAGAGTTACATGTATATGTAATGAAAGAAATATACCTGTAGATATTTTTTATATTGTGAAAAGTGAATGTTTAAGGTTAAATTCTGTATTGTAATTGATTGATGGTGCAAAAGTATGGATACTTGTAGATGAAGATAAGTGTGATAAATGTCTCAAGTAAACACAAAATATCCAGGATCTTTTTAATGTAAGCTGCAAATACATTGAAAACCTGTGCTCATTTATTAAATATGTTAAATACAAAATAAAACTGTAATTGTAATTAGCTAAGAAAGAGTGAGGACCTCATAGATATGTGTTTTTATATTTTATGTGCATTGTGTACGTATATATGTGGTGTGCTTTCCTTCATTTTGCTTTCATTATGTATATTTATACACTTTATATGATAAGTATAGTTGATAACGAAACGTTCAGTTTACTGATTATATTGTATATTTAAATTGTTATTTGCGTATTCTTTTGGCAGCCAATTATGACGTATAACAAGCTTTCTTAGAGACATTTATTTTATGATATTATCAGTAGTTGCTGTTACAGGGGGAATTACACCCTGATATTTGCTTGTTTTAATAAAAGCAGAAATTAACAAAAACAAATTAGTGAAAGTTTGAGCTTGATCAAAAATAAAAAAAAAATCAGAAGAAAAAAAAGAAGTTATGGATTTTGAAGTTGTAATCAATGGAACCCAGATTGGCAACTCAGTGACACATCTGAAGAGATCCTCTCCTATTTGCTGTGAACTGAAGATTTCATATTTTTTCTTAAATATTAATGTTATAAAGTTTATTAATTAATACAGGGTTGGTGTATGAAAAAATATTTACAATGATTAAATCTAGGGTACATTTGTGATTGAAAAATCTCTTTGGATAAAATCAAAACTATGATTTTTAGGACAGAGCATATGGGGGGGGGGGGGGTCTCGGCACAAATATGCCACAGAGTTTCCAATTTGTGTCTGTTTCATTGCAACATTCAAATTCATGATTTTCTTATATTTAATTTGATTTTGCTCAAATTTTTGCTAAATCTGTTTCTCTAATTTTTCTGCTTCTAAAACCAACTTAATACCAGGAAGGACTTTCCCTTTAAATCCCACCAATCAAAAGATTATGGAATGTGATTGTATGAGTGAGCCATTTAGTTTTGTAAATTGAATTTGAATACAACACTTTTTAAAAGTTTGTGATATATATGTGTGTGTGTCCAACAAAACTATATAGTTCTTGTTATGATGTAAAATAGTGACATTTTATTTGTACAATATAGCAATATGTATATAATTTATTTACAGTGATACAAATATTTCTTTATGTAAAATCATGTTATTCAACAGCTTTTATTTCACTTGATTTATAGAGTAATATCTATAGTGGACATAAAAAATACTATGTGTGCTCTCAATATATTAATTAATAAATGATTTAAACAAAAAAATTTCAAACAAATTGTTTACTGCCCGCAAGAAGGCCATTGAGAATAGCTTGTTTGTTCTTCTTGTGGATAGTCAATAAAATACTTCTACTTACACCAATATCAGTACTAACATCAGCTAACAGAAAATCATGTTCCATTTGTGCATAGATATATAGATTTTTTTTAATTCTTTTTCTCATGCTTTTCAGTTTATGTGACTTCCTTCAAGTTTTACGATCTGAAAAATCCATGTATTGTGTGATTTAAAAATAAAAATAAAATAAAAGAGATGATATTTAGCTACTTTTTCTCAATATTTATTCAGATTACCAGAACTTGAGTACCTTTGATGCAAGTATTCTATAGCAGAAGTGAAATTTCAAAAGAGTCATCTTTTTAGGGGGTTGGAATACAGAAATTTCTGTTTCAGGCTCTATGGGTAAATCCAACTGTTATCCCTGTGATTAAACTGAATAAGATTATTCATTTTCATGTTGATTTGGACAACACCAGCATAACATTAATTTTCATGCTTTCGCTAACATTCACTTTAAAGTCACATACATTTTCTAGAAGCAATGATTTATCGACAATATTAGAAGTAATCTTTATATATATATATATATATATATATATATATATATATAATAATAATACAAAAAATTATATATATGTTTATATTATTTCCTGTCCAATAGCAGTATATACATGTAGTACTATTTTGACTACTTGTCCTTGATCCAAAAACTCCCATTAGCAATTCATTTCCTTCTTTTTAACTGTTGTATTTTGATATTTTGTTAACGTTAAATTTATAAAGTATACTGTAAAAGAGTTGCTACACTGTAGTTGTTTTGGGAGATATGTGAAGATATTACATATTTTTGTTCAGACTTCTGACCTCAAAGTATGTAAAATGCTTTGAAGAATAATTTTAAAGATGATGATATTACAAGTGTATATTATGCATATTATTCATTCCTGTTGAAAACAGTAGATATTAAATGGAGAAAATTCTGAAAATGTGAAATTTGTGTGGGGTATCTACATGTATTTTGTGTTTAAGCATGCAATTTCTTCTGTTTGATGATTTCTCCATCTTTATCTATCTCTCTATTTTTCTCCATCTCCCCTCTCTATCTCCCCTTTCTCCCCCTCTATTTCTTGCCCCTTTCTCTTAAATTCTTTTGAATTGCTCTTGATATTTTTGTTTATTTACATTTTATGTCAAGAAAGGACACTGGTCGAAAAAAAAGCATTTGAACATACAGTAAATTCACACAAAAGTTTTTTACTTTTAAAGGATGTTGAAATTACTCGATATAATATTGTGAGGAATAAAGGTGATTTAAAGGACAAGATCCTGGCTATTTTTGCTGATGATTTTTTTTACAAATCTGTTGGTTTATCTCTACAAGGAGACAACACATGATGCGACCTACTTTTTGCAGATTAAGGATGATGGCATTTAACCTAGTAACATCAACATTATAACTTATTCGATAAATGCTGTTTTTAAAATATTTTTTACTGTGATCAGAAGTGCAAGCCTGTTGAAGTTCTGCAAATCAACAAAATTAATAATATGAAACATACAGAACATACACCCCTAAGAAATAAAACGGTCTTCATTTTCTCACCTCTTTCTCTCGCTATCTTTCTTTATCTTACCCCCCCCCCCTCTCCCTCTCTCTCTCTCTCTCTCTCTCCACTCTCTCTCTCTCTCTCTCCACCCTTCTCTCTCTCTCTCTCTCTCTATCAATCAATCTTCCACAGTAGCCCTCCCTCATTCGCCCCTCTCAATTTAATGATTAAGAGTGATGAGACACCACCTTAAACAAATCAATTTATATTCATTGGATAAATCATAGAGGAAATGATATCTTTCTCCTTGCTGCCTTCAATAAGACAGTAATTCTAGTTAAATCTTAAACAATCAGAGAGGATTACATTCAGAATAAACTTGGCAAAAAAGTAATGAGTAGGGATTTGTTTTTGTTGTCTGTGTAAATCTTCACCTAAGAAGTGGCCTATTTTCTTCAATTCTTTTAAATGTCATGTGCGAATGGTAGCTCTAAAGTATGTCAACAGAAATTGGGTAGACTTCTTTGAATCCATTACCATGCTTATTCACCTATAAACTCTAGGGCTGCAAGTATTCAATTTGATGGGAGTTTGGATGAATTTATTTTCCCTTTTCCCCCTAAACAACTGAAATCTTATGTGATATGTAGATTGGTGTATAGATGTACCACGAACACACGAGGCATGATCTTATTAGGAGCATCGCTTGTTTTACTGGGACATGAATTGGGAGCAAGGGATGTATGGCGTGGAAGTACAGCGATACGGAAAAAGTGGTCAATGTGGTTTGACACAGATCTTAAGATTGAGATGGACCTACGAGAGGGAAACAGACAGAAAGGGGAGAGAGAGAGAGAGAGAGGGAGGGAGAGAGAGAGAGAGAGAGAGAGAGAGAGAGAGAACGAAGCAGGCAGACAGACTTGGAGACAGAGAGGAAGAGCCAGCCAGACGAAGTAAAATACAAAGCAAGAAATATATTTGATGATTTTATTTTCATTTTGTCTTGCTATGTTAGACATCGTACCCATATTTCATAATTATTATGCAACATAATGCGATTTTTCGCTCGCATTTTACACTGCAAAATCTCTGAACGGAAGTTTTCGCTTTAAAAAAATTCTGTTTTCACTTCATACGAGCTAATTAATAACTCACATTTATTACATTTCTAAATGATACCCGATTTTTATATAGCTTTTAGGAGGCATGGGTATCATGAAATGAAAATCATGCATCAAGATCTAAGTATATAAATAAAGACATTTTATAGGCCTGTTCCTGAAAACATTATAGGGAAAATCACATTTTCACGAAAGAGAAGGCGAAGGCCTAGTTTTGATTTCTTGATCAGTATTTCCAAGGTTGCAGATTATGATGATATTTCATCTTAAAACTCAATCTAACTGTCCGACCTGCAGCTATTTTTGTTTTTGATATGTGTTTTGTAAAATGATATCGATCTTCTTTTTGAAAAGGGGAATTCCCCATACTAACATTTCTTGGTTTGTTTTGGAACACACCTGATTTAAAGATAACATAACGGATCGGTAGGCCATTGGACACGCAGGCGATTTCACACAAGTCATTCACTTTATGTTTTCGTACCTGTAGGCCCAGTTCAGTTCAGTTCAGTTTATTTTATTTTTGCACGGCACCAACTTCAGCCAAAGGCTGTTCTTCTGTTGGTCCGTGCGCAATATAAAAATTACATGTACAATTATAAGATAACACATATTATCATAACATATGAAATATTAAAAAAACAAAAATAAAAAACAAAAACAAGAACATAAGTATACAAAGAAAAATGAAAATTTACAAACCAAGATACTACTACCCAGCCCCCCCCCCCCTTCTTATCTAAACGTACTATCATCCAGCATATTACGATCTTGCCACCGTCTTTCTGTCCTCAGTATTCAGTTTTTATAAGTGATCCACACAAAAGGTTATTACAAAGGTACCAACAAAAACAAATAAAAACAATTTTATATGTACTTTTTGTTCTGTGCCTGGCATTTGTTGCATCGGGTCGATACAACTTCTTGCAGTGTGATATAGTTGAGATTAAAATTTATTAAGTTACTCTTGCCATGTATTTCACCGTATCTGTAGGATATCACATTTCCAATGATCGATAACTTTATGCCATGGTCGTAAGTTTTACAAAGTATTACAACCAAAAACCCTTTTTTCCCTATTACTTTTAGGTAGATCGTGAACTTTAAAAAAAAATGCCTGGAGACGCGATGCAATTCTAAATACAAACCTGAACGTATAATAGGTAACCATTGTTAATTCATGAGAAAATTGTGATTGAATATGCTATATACGTGACCTTTTCTATGTTTTTTTTTTCTTGTACAGGGTGTAGTTTGGTGGATGGGTGAGTAATATTGTGTACGCAGGAAGACGAGCTACAAGCACTTTAGATGCAATCCAAATGACATCGTTTCCCCATCAGACGGTACAAATTCGACTTGCGGTCTGCGGCTGACCGAATGAACTCAAACACAGTTCCTCAGACCTTAAGCAATTACATCAATATATCTTGGGCATAAGTTAAGATCTGCGACCCCTTTTTCTTTAACTTGATAACTCATGCTTTTATTATGTTATGTATCTAAGAGGAATGGCTGTTTCATGCATACGGCTGTCTCCATGATGATTATTTTTCTTGTGAAAAAAAGTATAAACAGTAGAGTATAAAGTTAGCTGCGTTGTATAAATGGACATATCATTATTGTTATTATTATTACTATTATTGTCATAATTATTATCATTATCATAAGTATTAGTATTATTGTTATTAGTATTGCCATTATTATCATTATTATCATTATTATTATTATTACTATTAATATTATTATTATTATCATAATCATTGCTATCATTATCATTATTATCATTATTATTATACCTATCATCATCATTGTTATCATTATTGTTATTATTATTATTATTATTATTATTATTATTATTATCATTATTATTATTATTATTGTTATTATTATTATTATTATTATTATTATTATTATTATTATTATTATTATTATTATTATTATTATTATTATTATTATTATTATTATTATTATTATTATTATTTTTATTATTATTATCATTATCATTATTATTATTATTGTTATTACTAGTAATATCATTATTATTATTATTATTATTATCATTATCATTATTATCATTATTGGTATTACTATTAATATCATTATTATATTTAACATTATCATTATCATTATTATTAATATCATCATGATCACCATCGTCATCATTATTATTTTCTCTTTTTCTCTGTCTGTTTAACGGTCATGGCAATCCTCGTTTGGTTTCACTCTCAAACTTTTGTTGTTGCCTTCCCACTCTAACTCGCATACAAGGTAAGCCAAGTGTCATGTTTGTTAGGGGGCGTCCATAATTACCACTGACATCATTTGGGTGTTAAGTTCTTCATAAAAGTCCCTTTAGGTTAAGGATCCACCGTTTTATACTGGCTTGAAAGACTTATATCATGGCGGATTTAGATGAACTTCTCTTATAAGTTACGCTGTATAGGGTGAGTTTAGTAGCTGCGTTTAATAGCAATACTGTAATGGAAAGAAGAAGAAGAAGAAGAAGGAGAAGGAGGAGGAGAAGAAGAAGGAGAAGAAGAAGAAAAATAATAAGGAGAAAGAAAGACAGAAAGAAAGAAAGACAGAAAAATAAAGAAAGGAGAAGGAGTAGGAAGAAGAGATGTAAAACCCGGAAATGTAATCATTTTTTTTTCTTTCTTGTATTATCTGTTAATTTACATTGTATACCTCTTAGTTTACTCTCCGTTTGTCATCTCGTTCATAATCGTAATTTTCTAGTCTATCATCACCATTTCTTTCTATATTTTCTCATATTATGATAATCATTTATTTGTTTTCCTCACCACTTATTTTTCGTTTGATCCTAAATTGATTTGCTTTGTTTTCTGCCACCTCAATAATTCTCTTTTGATTCTTAACCCGTTCGTCCTTGTCCTTTTCTCGTCTTTTTTATTCATATTGCAATCTACCCTTTGTAGCTGGTTTACAAAGATGGGTCGAGTATGCCTTGGAGAGCTTGTCAAGTCACGTGGCTCCCAGTTTCCGTTTCAAGGAGCTCTGTTTTTGCAACTGCCCTCTGGCTACTTCTCAAATAAAAATAGAATGGAAATTAATTACCCTTAAAGATGAGGCTCCTATAGAGAAATCAAAAATAAATCTGTATCGCTCAGAACAAGAAGGTATATATATTATTTCACTCGTAAACTATTCTAAGTTTTATATGACATTTTTTTCATGACATTTAAGAAAAATAAAAATCGAAGTATTCTAAACTAACCTTGGGCTACAGGTTTATCATTACGGTATCTCTTTCATATTTTCAAACAAAATATGATTATGTCACCATATAGTAAGCCCACAGTTATGGTTTGACAATGTTAGATTTGAAATCATAGTAATATAATGTTCTATCGGTAACTGTGTTAACTTATTATGGGCGTTCCCAACTCAAGCTATGCTTTCCGGGTTTTCGCCTCCTTCCTTATCTGAATTATTTACTGTATACTCTATGTTGAAATAATTGTTACATATATCATGTATATATACATTGTGTTTCATATTGTACTGTTGAGAAGAAATCAAATAAATGTTAATAAATACCCCCCCAAAATACCTCCAAATCCGCTATCCAATGTGACATATATTTTATCGCATTATTGCATTAACAAAAAAAAATCATCTAACTATACTCCTTCTAGCAAAGGACGTATTTGTAAGGGGGCACAGTCTTAAAATAATGACAAGCAAATGAAAAACACACAAAAGGAAAGTAATAGAAAGAAAAAAAGGAGGAAGAAAGAAAGAAAGAAAATACAGCAAATTGTTATTTTTTTCTTTATTTTATTGATCGATTGATTAAAAAAAAAAATTGTTTTTGGGGGTGACGTGGTATTGGGCAACCACTTATGTAAATCTCGTAACGTCACTCTTCATTTCCCCGTTTATCCATTTCATATTCCACCCCCACCTCATCTCATCTCTTCCTCAAATCTATTCACATATCTTCCTCTCTCTCCTCCAACTACTGACAGTTACGTGTCTAAATCTGAAGTAACGGTGTTAATGAACTAGATTCTCACAATGTGGGTTAAGGGCTTGATGAGGGGAAGAGAGAGAGAGAGAGAGGGGAAAACTAATATTGAGTCTATCTTATGGGAGAGACATGGTGACAGTCTGACATATATAAGTCATGACCAAGAGATCTCTGCGATGGAATCATCTAATAACAGGCAATTAAAGGATGCGTGCGAAACGTAGAATCGTGATTTTTTTTTTCTTCTTTTTCTTTTTGGTATTTGGGGGAAAATTATGCCCTTCTAATATTAAAATTGTTATGTCATGTTAGGATTATCTCCATGTCACGTTTGAAATAGTCAGGCGATATCACTACCAACATTGTCACGTAAAGTCATTCTCTCTCTCTCTCTCTCTCTCTCTCTCTTTATAATAGTGGTTCTGTATATTCCTCTTCATCACAATCACATAACCCTTCACCTATATCCACTCCAGATAACCTCCAAGTATTCCATCATTAAAATCTTATTTCCATTCATCATAGTTTTCATCTCCCTCCCGTTTCCTACTTGCCATTCGACCGTCTACTCACCAATCAGAGACACACACATACATTCACAACTCTTTAAATCATTTTCCAGTCCTCTGTCTCTGTACTTCATTATGTATCATTATGAAGTATTGATCACTATCTTGCCAACTTTTAAAATAATATCGTCTCTTTGGCAAAAGAAAATGTTTCGCTTCATACATCAATATATACTTTAATTACATTTCCTGTTTGGACTGTAAAAGATACCCTCATCAAAGAAAGTATAAGTAGTTTGCAAATATCATGAACTCTTTGGCTTAGCTCTATATAACTAATATTTTGACAGTTCACATAAATCACTGCTGTTTCTTCAAATAGCTGACAACACTTAGCAAAAGTAACTGAAACCTCAATAAAAACTGTAGAAATATAACACAATAAATCACACAGTATGCATGTTTTCATTTTTTTCCATCTGGCCCTTTTAATAACAGTATAGCACAAAATATGGTCTCAAGTCAAACAACAAAGAAAAAAAGAGAAAAAGGAAATACCTCTGTACATAAATTTGAGGAAAAGAATAGGAAATATTGTTAGATGTACATGTATACATAAAGGGGAAAATAAAGGTGTAAACAAAGAGGCTTGTACAATAATACACACATATATAAAAGTGGCACTGATGTGCTTTGCTTTTGTATGTGCATGATGTGAATTAAGTTTGCAGTTTATACAGCAGTTTGGTGCTGGAATTTGGTTACAAAGTAGGAGAACTATTTCTCGCTACAATGCCAACACAAACTCCTCTTATGTTGCAATAGTACACTTTATGTTTTCAAAGTCAATCATATATTTTAATCTTTCACAGTAGCAAAATCTGAGGTAAATTTGCAAACAATCATTTCTTCCTTTATTTCTTTTCTGTCACACCATTCATGATTTTTTAAACATTTATTCCTCCCTGGAGAAAAAGAAATGACAGACATATATTACACTGTTAATAAGAAACGACTTGAAGTGTGCTTTTCACAATAGTTTGAGTCTATAAAAATAGAGAGGTTATATCTGTATTAGATTCACACAGATGTTGAAGACAGGTTCAGTTTTTAGCAAGTTTCATTCCTACATCTCTACATCATTCCATCCTACTTAAACAAAAGTGAATGTCAAAAACAAGAGACAGAGATCAAATAAAGGAATAAATTTATGTATCTTTTTTTTTTTAAACAGAGTGGATCAAGTGACCCACTGAATTATCACGACACATACAAGTTTAAAATATCAAAATTTTGTTCTCAGTAGTTACATAGAACTTTACACACAAAACATTTTTTTCATATAAAACAAATATCCTTTTATATTTAAAACCATTTCAGCCATTTTGTTGTCTTTAATTATTTCAGCCCAGTTTCTATACCTTAGATTCTACTATTCTCTTTGGCTAAATTCAACTGAAAAATAGACCTGACAAATTCGTTACTATTTCACTCGATCATCTTTCTGTCTCCTCTCTCTCACTCTCTCTCCTGCCATTTATCATATACACATATATTGATTTTTACTCAATTACATACTGATAGTAATGAAAATAAGAATAATTTAGAAATACAATTTCAGATAAATCTATCAGAGTAAGTCCAATACAAGCAACACATTTTACAACACTCTTAAAATTTATCTTTTCATCAATTTACCTATTTCAGTCCAATACATTCATTTCCTGATTGACCAACCAATAAACATTACAGTGAGCTATAGTCTTAGCAATGAAGTACATTCAAAATACTAGTTGACAAATTTGGCAAATCTACAAATTAAAATACATTACGTGATTGATCAGATATCTAAAAGAATACAAACAAGAATAGACACAACAACACAAACTTGAGGGAAATGATAGGAAAATATGCTTCTACAGGAGTCATTTTTTAAGGTGAAAATACTTGTTTCTTATCATTTCTTTTCGAGGATCTAGGTTGATCCCACACTTCTATAACACACTTACAAATCGACTTCTCAATAATCAGTGCCAAGAAAGAATATTGATGGGACCATACAAAAAGCATTCAACATATCTTGACCTACATGATTGCATACTGCAGCGTGCATTGGTATACATCGGCTCTAATGGGAGGCCCTTTCAACGCGTAACATTTAATCATTCTAATTTCAATTCATTATTCCTTTCTAATAGCAACCTCTCCCATGCATCATTTTGTGACATTTTTATTGGGGCCTATCAAGATCATCCCCCTTTTTGAAACCCTCATCCATCTATCATCCTTAAATGTTGTTGCTGAAGAGAGGAATTAAAGGAACAGGGTACAAAATGATAAGAGTCATCCAGTTTTATGCTCAATGTAACACCAAATTTATGATTTTAAAAACAAAAAAGAGGGAAAAATGACCTTAAATCATTAATCATTCTATGGATCAGTATGATAAGAGAGATAACAGACATAATTAATCAGTTAAAACAAAATGTGTTTAATAGGAAAAATATTACTATGAAGGTGACATCAATTTGTGCATGTGTATGTATTTAGTATAAATATCTAACAAAAGGGATGGATAAAGCCTGTATTAGTTCTGAAGTCTTTGATAAGTCAATTCTACTTTGTGCATTTGTATTCCAGCCTAAGGATCCATGTTATATTTACAAGTTTTCTCAATCTGATATAAACCAGAGGAATTGGAATTTTTAAAAAATGAAAGAAAATACCCTGTGTCCCAATCAGCTGGTTTTGGAAAAGAGAAATATACTTGTGAGTTTAGTATATTCAATACTTGTTCACATTTATCATGACTTGTGCAATTGAAAAATGACTGTAATCAAAAATTTACATTTAGTTTAATGACTAGTAACAGTTAAATTAAATTAAATTCATTTATATTATTTTTGATATTAACATGATATAAATGCAAGTAAAAAATTCACCAATATTCCAAACTTCTAAGCATTTTTTCTTCAGAACAGGTCACTCTTTTATCTAGTAAATATTACAAGAATAAGGACTATATTTCAGCATAGTAAATTTATAGAAAAAGCTGATCAAACACTGGAATCAAGTATAGTAATTGGGTAAAAATAGGTTCCTCTGCTATGCCAATTTGGTAGGTATTATTTCTATTTTACTTTCATAAGCACACTCATTAGAGTCCATGAATATAAGTGAGGAATATGACAAAAAAGAGAAAGAGATAATAGTTTTTATTTGCTTTTTATAGATCAAAATAGAAGCAAATCATCCAAATGGAGGGATATGGTATATCATGGTAAAATGATACAGAATTCATAGCGGGATCAGTTTCGGCTCTAATCGTTTCAAATTTACGACCCAGAAGCGTTATCTCACACCTCCCTTTCCTTCGCATCACAACATGGGAGTAAAACAAGGGAGGAATCTATCGGTGTTGTGTTCGGTCACTCGAGGATGCATCATTTCCTGCCTTCCAACCCTAACGTGTACATTTGCATCCAACCATTAGAGAAATATGTGGATGCAACGATAAACTAATGCCTAATGGATTGTTCATGTATAGCTGAGAACCATGGATTACTGTAATTTCAAACTGATATGGTACAGTATATTTTCTTCAAATAATACTTGTCTCTGGATGTTATGATGTAGATGATTTGCCTTTTTTCCAATTTTTTATTTTTTATTTGTATTATTCCTTCAAGAGAGAATACTGTTTAAAAAAGTCATCTGTTTGAAGCCACAAATGCATTCAATTTTGTGTAAAATGACACCAGGCAATTTCATCTGCAAACTAAAGCTATAGGGAAATGATTTCCAGAACACTTTGTCAGCACATACAGAAAGTCATATCTCTACACACAACTGGAATATTTTTATTGTTTTTTAATTATTCTTATCCGCAGATTTACAGATTTGAAAGGACAAAGTGGATTTGAAATTGTCCCTGCTTAGAGCATTAATCATGCGGCTTCCATTATGTTTCTCTAAAGCTTAACTTCAATGTGAGGAAAGTAGGGGCGTGAGAAAGGAGGGATAAACGACATTTCTTAAACAGAAACATGTCCACTGTCTCAAGAATGTCTACATTCCAGGAACCAACCATGAGCTGTCCATGCCACAAAGAAACCCTATAGTTCCTGATTCATATCCCTTCTTGGCTCCACGTTCAAATTGGAACCATGTGACAACAATAGGCAAAGGACAAAAGAGATGCCCAACAACTTGGGCAACAAACGACCTCCATGACCACTTCCAGCACTAGCATCTTAAAGAACCTCCAGCAAACATCACAAATTTATAAAAAATGTACCAGAAATGATTTTTTTTTTAAACCCAAAACTACTTGGTGAATGCACTTTTTTTCTTCTGACAATCAAGCATTTAAAAAGGCATGACTTTAAGTCATATCTAATTATTGATTGTGGAGCTTTTGCAAATTATTTAAAAAGGCATAACTTCAATTCATATCTAATCCTTAAACACATTGCTTAAGCATCTCATAATCATCAAATATGGCATACATAATCAATTGATGTGTTTGTGAAAAGTGGGTGGTATATATATATATATGTATATATATATTAATGGAAATACTTCGCTATGGGTTGGTCCTTTTCTTTTAGAAAATAAGGGCAAAAAAGGGGAATTTACAAGAGAAAGATTTTTTTCAGAAGTGCATTGATGCAACTTATTGGTCTTTTGATCTTAATAAATATTATCTATCAACATTGTCAAAAAAAACACCTCCAAGTTGCAGACAAAACAATTTTCTGCTAAAACAACAATCCTAAAGCTACTACGAAAATATTTGGAAAACCATTGAAACTTGAGCAGATTTTCACACCAATAATATATATGTCAAAAGGATATCATAAATTGTTGAACTGCAATTTTAGCTTAATTGATACAAACAAGTAGAAATTCAGCCTAACACATGTGCTGTAACGGGCCACAAATGTTCATGAAGAGAAATAATCTGAAATAAAGAAATAGAGCAGCTGTGAAGTTCAAAACTGAACTCCCCGTCCATCTCAAATCTAAAAAATAGCCTTTTTACTCTCACACATCGTTCAAAATAACAAATCCTCAGTCACTTTATACATTGCAGCATTCATGTATGCAGCCTCTATTGTAGACAAAAGAAATTCATGAAGAATGATGAAGACATGTGTTTTTATGAAGGTACATGAAAACAGATTCGGTTTAGGTAGGTAGACTTGATGTATAAAAAAATAGACACAGCATTTCTTTCATCAGACACAATTCAAGATCAAATCAAATCCTCTTGACTATAATCAGAAAAAAAGATAAGAAAAAAAAGATGACAGGCTCATTCCATGATTCGTTCATTTTTAGTAACAATAAAAGAAGTCAATAAAGAGATACATGTATCACCTAGTTCATCTACAAGTTATACAAAAATTAATTCCTCCTGAGTCTTTTTTCTTCCCGTTACAGGTAGCAATCTGAAATCCTTCCAAATTACTTTTACGACAACATATCACTAAGGTCCGTCCACATTAATCACTGGAAAATGAGCAATTTTATTTAATTGCTTGTGCATATTAGTCAGGTGCTGCCTCCGAGAGCTGAAATGGAGTGTTGCTTTTTGTAAATAAAAATACTTGTAACTTATCACAAAAGTGTTATTCATAACATTATAAATATTGGAAAACCAAGAAACATTTATATTCAAACTCATTTTAAACAATGAAATGCAGTGCTTATTTTTTTTATTACTCCTATTATATTACTTTGGCTACTTTCAATTGAATACCAATTAGAAAATTTATTAATAAATATTTTACAAAAGGCAAATCAATATTTTATGTGGTAGCTCATTGTGAGTTCATATAAAACTCAAAGAGGATTTTGTTTCCATCAATAATAGGTGGTATTCTTTCAAACAGGTTACAACATACTTGAGTTAAAACTTTCCACCAGTCATTTCAGCCAGATATTTCAGTTTTCAATTTCAAAACAAGCAAAATGAAAGGAATCAAATTGTACTTTAGTATGAATCTACCTTCTTGCCATATGATATGGTTATTTGTTTGAAGCATGTGGGTTTTAATTATGAATTCAACACTTTTATCTCTATGTTTAGTATGAGCTCCAATAGACTGATCATGCACTAGCTCTGCTGAGCAGCAATACTGGAGAGCAAAATACAAAGCAAGGGTTACACTTCAAAGGGAAGCTAAAACAAGGTATTTCATTGCAAAACATAATAATACTCGTTTCGATACACTCTTCTTACTCTCACCCATGAAGATAGAATAAAGAAAACAATATATTGAGACCAGATTTTGAGAGCTTCAGTCACAGACGCATTCTGCGAAAAAGGCCGTCTTTTTTCATCAATACATAATCAAATATTTTTTTCTTCAGAATTTCAAATCTTAAATGTCCTTTTTTTATATGTGCTATTCACTATTTACACTGCTATTTTAAATATTATACAACTTGGCCACTGATAAAACTTTTTACAGTACAATAAATGATATAAAACAATATATAATAACATTGTTTTTGGTACCTTTTCATATTGTGCTTCTCTTATCAAGTCATTCTTACGTCATTTTAAAAGTGGAAAGTTGGGGAGGTGTAGGGGTGTTCTAGTTAATGCCATCTATACACAGAGCTTCGGTAACTTGGTTACAGTTGGTCACAACATGGCATATACTCTTTTGTTGTGTGCTTGCCCAACATAGCAGTATTCATCATATTGTGCCTGAACTCTCCTAATGGTACTGGTTCTAGGTGACTATCTATCACGTTAAACACATAGGAGCTTCCTCTACTGAAAGATACCCTGTGGAACTGGTGGAGGTAATGATTAGAAGTATCATTCAAAGTTTTTGAACCAAATCAGAAAAAAGGGCATTGATTCTTGATCTTATTAAAAGTCTTAGGATGAACACAAAATAAAGATGTCTTTTTGATAGAATTTATTGTCTGCCACGTGCAACATAATCTGCATCTCTTAATCTAATCTTGAATTCTAAAAATATCCTTGAATAGAACTACATTGTCAAATCAGCAAAATTTTTTTTAGTAAAAACAAAATTAACCGGAAAATTAAGGTGCACCAAGTGAAATAAAACAAGGTGTTGAATAGCTACATATTAAGTGCTCCCAATACACAATTAAAATGTTCTGTTCCATGTTCATCTTAAGAATTAGAATTCAATACCTTACTGAAGTAAATTTTTATCCTCTCAGAATGGAATTGATTTATCTCCCAATATGTTTTAAGGTTGTTTATGATGATACCTCACCATGGTTGAAAGGACTTAATTCTTTGCTTTTCCCCCAAAGAAGACATTTCTACCCTGCTCCCTTTCTGTGCATTTGTGCTGTGCTGACAAAAAAGTGGTCGCACTTGGCTCCAATTGAAACAATCATCACACATGAAACTTTCTTCATCTTACATATCACTGACTTATTGGTGCTAGAAGGGCACTGGCTTACATCAACACACTTTCAGAATGGCCTGAATTCTTTCTGTTTTCTATTGCTTACAAAGCCCTTTCGGGCTCAAAATCACACATCTATGCATAAAAATCAGACTTTCAACTTGAAAAATCGCCTATCCATTGTGAAGAAGTAAAACCCAGTGCTGCTGAGAGCATAACCTGGGGTTGATGATTCAGTACTACTTTGCAGACTCAAACCTTCAATCATCACTGTTAACAAATGATATCTCATCTTGAGAAGATAAATCACACCACGCCCTTCTTTTCCTTTAAACATGCTCTTAAGATCTGGTAGTGATAAAGTTCTGCCAGGGCTTTCTCCATGCGATGTCCAACCCTGCAGTACTTGAACGTGATCCTCATATGCAAATGCAACAGTGATCCCAATGCCCACGTCTGAAGAACTTGGAAGAGAGACCTCCTAGGAACCTTATGTAAGACTCCTTCTTACCTTATGGCGACCAATTAGGTCATGAATGTTCCTAGAGTTAGTTAATTGGATGCAGACCAGCTGATATTCATCCAAGTCTGAAGTTGGTGCATTTCCTGTTGTCCTCCACTTTTTTTCAAACTCCGAAGCCACCATGATGCTAAGCAGTCGACTAAGCTTCAACATTACAGCTTCAACAAGGTGGCCTTTCAGACAATGCCAGTGCATTGTACCTTTGGGTACAGCAAAGACTTCTTGTGAAGATTCTGCTTGACAGAGGGATTTTTCTGAGTGTGCACAACAATGGCTTCTCTGCAGAATTCCTATGACCTGTTCTTGGGATTCCTCACTCGTCCAACCAGGAATCCAAAGCTCTGGTGAACCACATGGCATTTGCCTTCACCTCTATACACCAATGTTCACGATATCTTGGACACTGCTCCAAGACAGATCCCATCCATCTTTTGAACAAACCTGCTACCTGATAACCACATCAGTGTGTTGCCCTCCATGGATGAATCCCGGCCCACAGATGATGTTACCCAATATCTTTGTAGTCTTTGAAGGCTCCTCTGATCAACACACATACTATCTACCTATCTAGTTCATTCCCTCGACTTCAGAACAGTCTCATTGCCATGGCTGTCGAGTCCGGTGGTGGCGGCACCACCATGGTGTGACGTGGTACTGCTGTCAGCTCCAGATAGCTGGTGCTGATGGTTCGCAGGGTTGGCATACACATGAGAACCTGGGGTAGGAGATTGGGCTTACAGCGATGGTTCTGAGACAGCATGTAGGCAAAGCCGCTGAGTACTTTGTCTTGCAGGGCTTCCACCTGCATCTTCTGTTTCAGTCCTTGTAGATCTGTGAGGATAGAGATCAAATCAAAACCAATATAACTTCAGTATTCAGTCCAAAAGAATTGTGAGATATTGAACATAAAGTCTGTAATTAAGCTAGAGAAGGAAAACTGGGGAAAAGGAAATTAGGTAGCTTAGCAAATGTAGTAGCAATGAAAAGACGTGTTGTCGCGTGCAAAATGCAAAATGCTTTATTGTTGAAAATCGTAATTTCATAACGTAAAGGTAGAACCAAAAATCGTCATGGTTTGGAGCTGGCAATACATGTACTATCTTGATAAGCCTTACTGTTACCTGAATTTTTCATCATAAATGAAGGAGAAAAAATACCCACTTTTAATTCACAAACGTTACTAACTATTGTCCTTTGCGTTCCAGACAACATCTTTTCATGCCACAATATATCGCTACGCTACCTTATAATAACATTTTGTAGATTCTTACAACTTTTAGATACTTACAACAGCCAAAAAACCTCTTCCATAAAACAAAGTAAATGTAATGCTTTCTAATTTTGATTCTCTACATTAATGTGTAGATTTAGAAAGGACCAACTTTAAATTTTCAGAAAGAAGATTAATGGCAAGAGAGAGATTGAGAGAGAGAGAGAGAGAGAGATTGAGGGGAGAGGGAAAGGGAGATCTAGGAAAAGAGACAGAGAGAGCGAGCGCATGGATGCTGTACTTATTACAGGTCAACCTAAGTAGTGTAACAATGAGACTTTGGGGACATGATCTTGGAGCAAACCTAACATAGATCTGAAACTTTCCAAAGAGGGATAAGCCCAAGAGGATAAAGGGGGAGCATTCAAGGTAAAAATCATGAATTTAACCCACTGCCTACTGAATATCATCGTTCCAACAGGTTACTTACACCAGGAACATGGTTCCCATAGGTAAAGGGTTAAAGACAGGATTGGAATGACTTGTCTGGAGGAGTGATGTATGGGATAGAAATGAAGGTCATAAGAAAAGTAAGGTTTTGGGAGAATTTACGGAAGTAAGAGGAAGAGATGAAAGCAAGTTTGAATATTATTTTCATAACTGTTTATTTTATAGAATTATAACCAAATACCAACTGATCAAAGCACTTTACAAATAAATCCATTGTGACATTTCCCTTTTTTTAAATTAAAACTGGATTTCATGTTTCCTCCCTTTGATGTGATCGGCAGAAAGAGAAAGAATCCGACAAAAATAGGCTTGTGATGGGAAATAAATTTAAACAGGAATTGATGTCTGAATACATATATTTTTGATTAAAGAGATTTATTGATGACAGAACTTACTTCATGGCTTCTCTGTAAATTACTAGCTTCCTTGAATTAAAATGTTTCTGAGAACCAGCATTGTATTTTTAACCCTCATTTAGCCGTCTTTAGCATAATTCATCAATTAGGCATATTAGACCAACCGCTGCAAAAAAGATGCTTTGCTTCACATTGTGACATGATGGCAATTACAAGATGCCTTCTCTTTCCCATCCCTCCAATTTTCATCCACGCTTAAAAGCTAGTTTGGGAAGATATCATTCAAAATTGAACCCGTATTCCGATGGTTCTGAATTATTCATGCCATGTTAAACAACAATGATAAGCCCCCTGTCGCACTCCCCCCTTCCTCCCCAAAGCCTAGTTGAAGATGATAAGTGAATTGATGAGATGATGAAGCTAGCTAGGACTAACCTGAGGCAAGAAGCAGGAGTGCAGAGAAGACAGCGATGTCCTCTTCTCTGAGATGCATCCCGTGAAGGCTCTCTGCCAGGCTGAACAGAAGCTCAAAGAACACTGCTAGATTGAAGTCACTTGCTGCACGTCAGGGGAAATATAAACAGGAAACATTAACAATTTCAGATTGAAAATATCAAACATGTATTAAATCTCTTGACAGGTGAACAAATTATGGGAGTACCTTGTGGTTGAACATTAAAGGAAATTACATTTCTACTATGTTTTTTCCCATAGGAGACTTTCCCCCAAATTATATTGGCTTGAAAGGTTTGTAGAGCTATTGAACAACAAAGCCATATTGCCAATCACTTCTTTGCAAACCATTCAATTTACATATTAAAGGTAGAATTTGATCAATATTCCACCTTATGGAAAAAATAAAATTCTCCTAGAGTCTTAGGTAAGATTTTGGACAAGCTAACACTCTTAATGATAGGATGGGCAAGGCATGTACTTCAAAAACAGATATATGATTAGACAAAGCATTGAGATCAGTCATGCCAACATATGTCCCCAAATTCTTAGTTCTGCCACACACAATTACATGCTTTGATATTCATCACTTGCATGCTTTATGAATCTCTGGAAGCATAAGCATATCTCCCCATAAATCATCGCATCAAATTATGCTTTAATTCATCAACTCATCTATGACTATCTGGACGATCTGATACCACAATAAATCTTTTCACGATGTCTTTTATCCTCTCTGACCATTACCTAGCCATGTAGCAATTCTTATTTCAAACCTTCCTCCCTATTATCTATTCATCTATTGATCTTCCATTCTTGCATTTATTTTTAATACAACAATCACTCCATCTCTCAATCACGGACTCACTCCATCCATCCATCTATCCATCCATCCGTGTGAGCAGCTGCACCAGGGCCTATATGTAACTGATGGCTGATCATCCATAGATGTCAACCCACTATTCATTGAATCAATGGTTCATTGCTACCCTTTGAAATCCCTGATCCTTATCGATTTCCAGCAAAATAGCCAGATGAATATAGTTCAGCCATTATACATATATATATATATTAGTATGTATGTATATATATATATTTCTATGGTCCTTCCAGATGAACTATATTGATCAATTTTGTTTCTTCAGAATTGTCCTACTAAACTCCTGAACCCTAGGTGTGAGTTCACAATAGATAGACTTGCCAAAGGTCACTTATTTAGATGTATTCTCGAGTTGTCTTCTATTCACTTTGCAATGTGTTCCAACGTCACCCATTTATCATGATACCATCAAGAATCATCAGGAAATGGGTGATGTGAGGATGTCAGTCAGGAAGAGATGGAAAGTCAGATGAGGAGACAGAAAAATATATTCATAGTACAAATTAATACATGTGTGTATGGTTGATAGAGATAAGGTCCAACGTAAAAATATATACCAAAGAAGTCGTACAAAGAAAGAGAGATAAATTGAAAAAGGGTAACATCTATGACAAAGAGAGGGGTACAGACAAAACAAAGAGTATATATTTTTATATAGAAAGGGAAGGAAAGAGAGAGATGGAGGGAGGGGAAATAGGAGAGAATAGGATAATTCGAGAGAGAGAGAAAGAGGTGGAGAGGGAGAAAGAGGTGGGGGGAGAACAAAATCTGCACGCAGTAAAGCGATCCTAAAAAAGAATCTAAAATTAATATTTCATTAGTTAATTGGCTCATCCAGACTTCATAACTGCAACCCTCTCGAAATAGCATGGAGCTTCAAGGCTATAGGAATGATACCGTGACGTCAAGGTCTAATAATATAAGTGCTATGTAATACCCATGTAAATTGCATGCTTGGCATACCTGCGATCGGTGCAATCAATGGATGTTTAGTGGCATTAAATAAGGCACGGCCTTGACTTTCATAAGTTAAACTTCAGGTGGGGTGTAAGGGCAACATGAAGTAGGGCAGAGTTTGTTCAGCGGACAGACAGACTGACAGACGTACTCTGTGGTGGTAATGAGCGGACTGTCCATGTCCAACTGTTTCTCTGTTGAGCTCATCAGCTATCAGCTAGCATGTAGCTTAGCTCGCAGCAATCGAGCTGCATCACCTGTATATTATCATGGACCCCATAGTTGTATCTCCATGGTATGACACTGCACATTGTGCATATTCAAACAGCTTAAAAGTAACACATGTAATCATTCAATATCGTTCTTGTACAAGGAGCCTACCATGTAATGACTGAGAAAAGTTTAAGAAGACAATTAAGAAAAAGAACATGTACCCAGGACCATAATGGAAAGAAATTCATTGAATAGCCCTGAAAGCTATAAATAATGAGATAATTGGATATCAGCACAACTGGTTATGAATTTGACTTTTAAAAAGTTTTTTTCTAGAAGGAATTCTTATTTTATCTGTATTAAGGCTTATCATAATGAAAAGAAAATAGCTGAGCATAATAAGCTAATAGCTGCTTCCATAAGTGGAATGTTCATGTTCAGTGATTCAGCTGTAAGATACCTGTAGTGTAACATCAGCTGGATAAATCTGCAAATCAGTGTTAATAATGTGATCCTCACAAACACATTGCTCTATTGAGATAATATACTGATGTAGCTGTGTGCGATGTATTGCTAAGAAAATGAATCTGGCCGAAACCCACATCAAATCAAATCAAATCAAGTCTATATCGAATCAATCAAACTTAGGAATTATGAAGCACCTCTACCAATAAATATTCCCCTTTGGGCTTACATCAATGCTTGGTAGCAACTGTTTGAAAACATCAATACGAGGATAAACAAGATATGGAGAATGGCCTTAAACTTGAAGTCAGAGAAAGAGGATAGAAAATAAGATCAAGAGCAACCTTGACATCGTAATTTCCTGGGACCGTCCCATGAAATTAACGAGAGCCCAAATAATTTTGGACAGGTATTCCGTGGTCCTCTTGAAGAAAGCACGTAGTCTGCAAATCAGTAGGGTAGAGGGGATTAGTGGTTGATGGATGAGAGGGGGAGATGATCTGGGCAGACTTAATCCAACCTACTAATCCCCTGGAGCATGCAATGAAGCTATATGCATTCCTCTTCTGCGTCTCAGGAGGGCGTTTGTGATATGGGACCATACAAGAGATGCAGCAACATCACAGAGGCAATTTAACTCAAGATGCACTTTATTTAGTTAGAGAGAGAGAGAGAGAAAGAGAGAGAGAGTGAGATGCAGAGACAGAGAGAAAGAGACAGAGAGAGACAGAGAAAGAGGGAGAGACTGAGAGTAGGGAGAGAAAGAGGGGGTGGGAGGGATTTAGAGAAATTATACAGATGTGGATATTTCTCACAATTAGCAAGAAGTAAAGAAGTTCCAGATGTATCAAAATATAATTGTCAATGTCTTCAGTAAAACTATCCAGGAATTTAAAATAAAAAAAAATTGTTATTGAAGAAAACAATCTGACTATTTCTTTTCTATCTCTCTCCCTCATCCTTTAAATTTATCTCTCTCCATCTCTCTGTCCATTTCTCTCTTTGTCTACTCTCACAGCTCAGTCTATCCTCCTACTTCCTATTCTATTGATTATTCTTTTTCTCTCTTTATTCTTCTTCAATCTGTTATGATTCCCTTAACCACTTTCTACTACTTTCTGTCCATCTCCAACCATATCTCCAACCATATCTCTGCTCATCTCCTTCCATCTCCACCAATCTCTCTTTCTATCTTAACCTTCCATTTATCTTTCCTCCCATCACTCTTTCCTCTGCCTGTTTGGTTGGGACGCCCGGCCAGAGAACTGATTGAGAGCCTTACACTTGACCTTGGCAATGCATTGTTGGTAGATGAAAGGTTATGAGTCACAGACGGAAACAGAGCTTTCGTTTTATGATGATCATCTTCACCGCTAGAACTGCATCTGCCAAACGTGATTGGCGCGTTCCACATTACCACTGGGGCAGCACTAATATGCCCCACTTACATCCCAGAACTCTGCTTAACGAAACACAAACCCAAACCCCATAACCAGGCCCAGATATGCCTACATGTGGTCTAATTTACAGGCGGCCCTTGTAGGTTTCATCCTCTATCTTGTCTCCCGATTCCTCCAGCCGAACATTGTGTTCTGGGGCATGAGTTGCTTATCTGGAACATGATAATTTGTCAGGTGCAGCGACGTGAAAATGGGTCATTAATTTTGGAGATGAATTTTGAAGGGAAGAGTGATCTCTGGGCGAGTATTGAAGTACCATGTGTTTTATGAGTCTGCACTAAAGAGCCCTCCAAGAGGTCACCTTAAGGCACATCTTTTTATGGTGAATTCACGTGTTTCTGTAACATCTATCCAAAGCGTCTAGCCTTATCTTATCCAGTGTAGGATTTCATCAAAACATATTTGCTGTGAATATATTGTTCGCAAAAAAAGAGATAAAAATAACCTTAGATGTAAGACATGGTAATAATAAACTTAGAAGAAAAGAGGAAAGAAATGAGATGTCTCCAAGATCACAATCCCTTACAAATTACATAAACGCTTTCCTCTGTACATTTAGCACTTAGTTTCTGGTGTGAATCAGCAATTACAGAGGGGAAGGACACCTTCTTTCTTGGCTCATGTCAAAGGGGAAATAACGATGAACTAAACTGGATCAAAACCTAAGGTTGTAACGGAATACCTCTCCCATTTTATTTTGTCTTTCACTATGCTCAAATTGACCTGCTAAAATTGAGTCAGGGGAGGTATTGAATTGCATGTCTGCAGACGTACTGTACAGTGCTGGCTGGTTCATCTGTTCTTGCATTATATGGATAGGTGCACGGTAGCTGTTTCTTAATGGTTAAATGGCTTGAGAGAAACTCTAAACTTAGTCATTAACCAAATTATTATCTCAATGCCACATTTATCATAATCATAATTGTTATGGTCGCTGTAATGATGGCCATATAATAGCCATTATAATTAGTTCATCAAATTAATTATCATTTGGTCCAATATAAGTTTGGATAGTGTCATAAGTGCAGATTGAATCCACGCATCATTATGATAATTTATTTCATCAAATGGCCAGTGGCACTCTAACCATCCAAACAGTAACTTGATAACATGCAAACAAGGGATAGTACACATTGTTTGTTCACTGAAATAATATAGTTTTTACATATATTTGCTCTGAAATAACTGTAATGTAAACAGGCTTGGGTAGGTGAGTTTTTATTTGCCATAACCTCTAAAACATTTCTCCTTTGAAGAATAGATATACTTCAATTCCTTCCAATATCATTCACCTCTACAAAACAATTCATTAAATACCTGTCCTTAAATAAAGCTACCCCCAAATCAGCATCAATTTGTTATGTTAACTGTTAACACGTCACTGGCTACTTTGAAATACCAAAGGCCTACAAGCAAAAATCAGCAGGAGTAAAATAAGACAACTATATATAGCCAATGAACTTCAAGAACATCTTAACAGGAGTAATCAAATATTTTTCTGAAGTTCTCCCCTTTCAGTGTGTGTGTGTGTGTGTGTGTGTGTGTGTGCACAAGAATGCCCGACATCTTTTCTTCACTTTGTTGTAGCGATGTGTCCTGCATATATATGCCCTTCTTTCTCTTTACTTGGCACGGACGGCCGATCGAGAGACATGTTTTGTACGCTAGCTGGGAGCGAAGTAGGATGGTGGGTTGACGTCAACGTTAGGAATACAGCCCAGAGCACTGCTCCTGAATACTGATGCAATGATCAAGAAGAGCGAGCCATGTTTCTAGTCTATACATTGGCTATCAGGAGGAGCTACGGTAATGCTCAGTTCACTGATATTCATACCTGATAACCCGATACTCTTATTAGAACTTTGTCTTTCGTTGTCTGTGCCATCTATTTTGTCCTTCTCATGAACTTATCATAGATCCTATTTTGATCTTTGTATTTTTAAAGTCTTCATTGTTTAATATTTGCTTCAACAAGAGTATGTATATATATTTAGGTCAATGATTAGTAACTTCTGAATAAATTGAACAGCTTTCAACTGTATTTTATGAGCACCAACAGAGATTGTAAACTTGAATTACGGCTAGCATCATTTAGATACTGATGAGATGTGATGATATTGCAAATGTCTTTAAAAAAATTATTTGAAACCTCAGCAAGTTTACTCAACAATAACTGAATTTCTCTTTCCCACTTTGAAATCTGATATCTTTTTGTGATGTCACATTTATGTGTGCTGCATAAATTCTGCTTATTTGTTGAAAAAAAGTCCACATTTCTAAGCTCATGGGTGGCAGACATATCTTGATTTTATTCAGTTCGTATTTGAGTAGGAGCAAGATCTGAAAATAAGCATACAAACCCCAAGATTTCTCCTCCTCCTCCTGGTACACATTTACAAACCTAAGCTCAATTTCCCCCAAACATTTGTTACAGCTTTTCAGACTCAGTGAATGCAAATTCAGCAAAACACATGTCAGTTTAGCGGGGAAATGTGATTATTATTTAGCAAATCCGCAAAAATGCAGGATGAAAGTTGAGAAAAGCTCACAGGGTACTAACAAGACAGAAAGAATGTTAAGCAGAGGTATGGAAAGTCTGAGATCAAGAGGCATATGGAGTGAGGAAGACAGAGACGTGGGCAGAGATAGATAGATAGAGAGAGAGAGAGAGAGAGAGAGAGAGAGAGAGATATGAATGAGAGATTAGAGAGAAAAAAAAGAACGAGGGAAGAGGAGAGACAGAGACAGAGTGATGGAGAAGAGGAAAATAGAGGGATTTGTTTAAGAAGAAAAGAAATGGAAACAATATGTTGCCACATGTCAAGGGCAGCAAACCCTGGGGATAATTCGAGGGTAGGAGTGAAAGAGTAGATGAAGAAAGAGAGATTACAGAGAACTACTGCGATAAAGAGATATAAGAAGAGAGAGAGAGAGTGAGGAGAGTGAGAGACTTGCAAAGCAAGAGGAGAGGACTAAATGGAGAGATTTGGGATGGTTTTGACAATGTAAGAAGAGAAATCCCCAATGCTAGGTCCAGATTAATCTCAGGGACTTGGTAGGACTGACAGGGGCAAGCAAGTTGAAGGACCCACACAAAGAATATGATTACATGTTATATGTTACAAGGACTGATGTTACTAGTCTGGCTTCCAAGATTCAATATATTGATGCTGCCTCCGCTCAGTTCCACAACTCATGCTCTGGCGACAATTACTCCAAGGTACATTCCCTATACTAGCCATATTCGTCAACTTTAACCCTTGACCTAAAACTAAACCTAGCCCTAACCTTAACCCTCAACATAACAAAAACCAATTTACAACCCTAACTGTACATCTTTAACAAAATGTTGCTGGAGCAAATGTCAGGCTACCTTTTTTATGGATCAGGAATGGAAATGCAACCTATCCATTTTTATTTTGTTGTTAATAAGCTATATATCATATTCCTAAAACATGATTTTTTTTAAAAATACACTATTCAATTTCATCTGCTATTTTATGAACTACTTCTTATCTAATAAACATTACATCTTATCTGATTATAACATATTCCTAAAACATCTGATTGCAAAATAATATAAAAACAGCATTGACTACTTGCTATATCTATACTTTAATTACCTGATGATACTTGCACAAATCCTAGAAAGATATTTACTAAATGTGTCAGAATAGAAAGAAAGAAAAAACTTCCCTGGACGGAAAGATGTAGGAGTATCTCCTGCATAAAGGATCATAACAAGTAGAACTCTGGATACAAATGATCCAAAAATATGCAACGCACATCCCCACCAGACGTCACTTGAGAGAAAAGCACTCCCTCTAAAAGAAGAACTTTGAATATATTGAAGCAGCATTACTTGTTGACAGTTCCTGATAATATTTCTTCTTTTCCTAGGCATTGGGCATCTAGGGAATTACTTTGGACATTTATTAATAGCCCAATTTCTTTGGTTTTTGACCCGTACTTAACCAGGGGTTTGTGCTGAGGAAACTAGGACACAGATTTGATTGCAGTGTGTTTGAAATTTACATCCCCCCTTTAAGAAAAGTCTTTTGCGGCTTTGAAAGATTATGTTTCTATTTTGGACAAGTACGACATGCAAAACAGGAGGTTAAAAGTTGGCTTTTTAACAAGATGTCATCTCTATGCTCATGACAAACTTACTCCGTGGATGGACAAGGCATCTAAAGTTGTTGGGCCTATAATGCATGGTCTGATAGGTTTAATTTACAAAGTCGAGCAGAGTTGAAAATTATTTAACAAAACCTGATCAAAACCCTGTCACTCCCTATAGCATCATATACAGAATACCGACATTCACAATCAAAATCAATGAGAAACAACCTACTTTGAATGTTTCCTACATCACTCTTGAAGGTTTTCAAACATTCTTTATTAAAAACCAATCCCCTAGAATGACATAACTGGAACAATGTAATGTATGGGTGAGTGACATAGCCTCCGTATGAGATTTATTCACCTTCTTTCCTCTAGCTACCTGATTTATTTCACTTTCCATCCTCCGCTCTCGGAGACTCTAGAGTGGTTTTAAGAAAAAATATTTTAAAAACGTGCTTGAAATGCGACTTGGCAGGGCCATGGGGATAAACTAGAACACAGAGGACCCGTGTCTACCCACAGAACATCCTTTACATGTTTCCTGTTCTCATAATTTGTGTTTTTATCTGTGTTCGATATCTCTTTTCCTGTCATGAGAAACTACACTCTAATTTTAGGAGACCTGTGCTGCTACATGCAACATGGGAACCTTATTTGTCGATGGATCAAGACATTTTTTCTTTCTTTTAGCCTTACCGTACGTGCTCTCATCTATCTCCCATGAAACAAGAAGACTTAAGGTTACAGGCTTCTCACATGATGATTAAAACACCTAGACAAGGCATACCATAGAATGTTTTAACATGCATTTTCTGCATGAGTGATGTTTTGAAACAAGCTACCTGTAATTTTCCACTCAGTGTTTGGAGGAAAATGCCTGCTGGTTGAAATCTGTTTTGATGATTTTGAACTCAGTTTGGAAATGAACCAAGCCCCATGGGTATTTCCAGGACTATCAATTCCTGCTTTATTGTCTTCCGTTGAAAGCAAGTATTCAACAGCAATGAGAAAATAAAGTTTTACTCAACAAGTTACAGTTTTAGTCAAAGATGAAATACTTTGACAAATTTAAAAACTAATACAATATACGTATTTTTGCTTTCTGTTGTTGCAGCATATATAGATATGTTTTTGCCATATAGCAATTGTCTCGAGCCAACGTGATATTTTTATTTTTTGGGTCAATCTTCAACATCTTCTATTTCAATTTCTTACCACTTTTCCATAATTTTCCATCATTTATGTAGAATATTACATCTCAATGTTACTTCATATTGCTGCTGATTTGTAAGTAAACAATCAGTCATCAATGAGATCATTATCACTATATAAAAATACACAATGGATATACAGTGTAGTTTCATCAAACTCCTCCATATCATTTCCAAGGCAACCTACACCACCAGCAGCAACATCACTTCAACATCATGTATACATCATGTATCAAATGCAATCATTATTTGTCATTTGATCAAAGTTTTAACAGAATGAAAAGGCACAAAGGGGTCAGGATTGGAGAAAATGAGAGAGCGAAACTTGGAGAGTAAAGGTAAGTGAGAATCCTGAAAAAGACATGGAAGTAATGAGAGAGAGAGAGAGAGAGAGAGAGAGAGAGAGAGAGAGAGAGAAAAGAGAAAAGAGAAAGAGAGAGGGGGAGAGAGGGGAGAGAGAGTGAGGGGAGAGGGGGGGGAGAGAGAGAGAGAGAGAGAGAGAGAGAGAGAGAGAGAGAGAGGAGAGAGAGAGAAGAGAGAGAGAGAGAGAGGGGGGGGGGAGAGAGAGAGAGGGGGGCGTATAAGGAGAAGAGAAGAAGATGATAAAGAGGGAGTAGAATAATTATAGAAGAAGAAAAACATTGAAAAGGAAAAGAAAGAGGAGGAGAAGAAAAGTGAGGGGGAGAATAAGAGAGAAGTTGAGTTACTTACTAAGTTTTCTGGCTTGTTCAGGTGATAGCCACATCCCTTCCCACATTCTTAGTAACTTTGACTTGTGGTCATAGATTTGAGATAACTGCAACAGAATAACCTCTAGACCCCCTGCAATGAAAAGTGAAAATAGGAACAACTCAGATAAATATAATCCATGTAAAACCATAACTGATGAAATGTACAATGAAACTATTTAACATTTATAGAATGAGCATCTAAATTGAATACAGGCCAACATTGCATAATACTTTCAAAGAGTGGTTTGAAACAAAATCAGATCATTTCTAGCCTATATTGGCTATTCTGAAATTAACAGGATTGGTGACCTTCTACTAACTGTGGATTATTTGTTTAAAGAATCAATTGTATTTTTCCTATTAAACACATAAAGAGAAAAGCAACAAAAATTCTATCCATGACATGTACATTATGCTGACAAAATAATGAATAAGAAAATACTCACTAATCTGATAATATTTGTGAAGTTACACCGGTTCATATCTTGGAAACTCTACATTACAAAATAAGACATCATCAAGTCATGACCAGAAGATTGTATTTAGTCAGATTTATTGATTATTTATTGAATAACTCTGGAGGCAAATTAAGAGGAACACTGTTCTGATGTGTTTCATGTTTAACAGTATACATAATACAAAATCCTTACCAATTTGTAGTAAAATTCTCTGGTCCTCTTTACTAAATTCTCCAAAGCCTGGTATGGACTCTGCGAACTGGACGATGCGTTCGTACTGACTGCCTAATAGGACTGATAATCGTGTTAAGATCTCTTCCTTGGTCTGTATAATAATGAAAGAAATAGAAACAGACAAAAACTAGATGGAATTCGACTGCGCGCAGTCGAAAATGATGCCTCCGTTATAGAGCAATTTTACAAACCAAAACAGGAAAAAACTAGATGGAACTTCGACTGCGCGCAGTCGAAAATGATGCCTCCGTCATAGAGCAATTTTACAAACCAAAACAGAAGAAATTTTTCAAATTCAAGTTAGAATGTAATCCATTAACAGGTTCTCAGAATATCGTGATAACAAGCTATTTCTCATATACATGTACATGTATGACCCTTTGATCTTTGACCTCATGACCTCAAAATCTACTCAGTTCATTGGCTCTGCAAAATACATACACGTCTTGAGTTTGATGGTAATCCATCCATCGGTTCTAATGATAATGCGATCACAAGCTATTTTTGCATACATAATGAGCCCCATGACCTTTGACCTCATGGCACCAAAATCTAATCAGTTCATTGCCTCAGCAAGATATATACATGTCCTGAGTTTCAAGGGAATCTGTCCATCTATTCTAATGATTATGTGATCACAAGCTATTTTTGCATACATAATGATCCCTGTGACTTTTGACCTTGTGACCCCAAAATCTAATCAATTAATTGGCTCTGCAAGATACATACATAACATAAGTTTGGCCGGAATCCATTAATCAGTTCTTGTGATAACGCGATCACAAGCTATTTTTGCATACATAATGAGCCCTGCGACCTTTGACCTTTGGCGTTGTAACCCCAAAATCTGATCAACCCATTGGCTCTGCAAGATACATACATGAACTAAGTAGAGCAGGAATCCATCAATCGGTTCTTGAGATAACGCGATCACAAGCTATTTTGAATATGCATACATAATGAGCCCTGTGACCTTTGACCTTTGACCCAGTGACCCCCAAATCTAATCAGTTCATTGGCTCTGCAAGTTACATAAATGACCAAAGTTTGGTACGAATCCATCAGTCGGTTCTTGAGATAACGCGATCACGAGAACGGGACGTACGGACGGGACGCACGTACGTACGGACGGACAACCTGAAAACATAATGCCTCCGGCTACTTCGTAACGGAGGCATAAAAATTGAATTCACGTTCAATGGTAATCCATTGACAGGTTCTCAGAATATTGTGATTACAAGCAATTTCTCATATACATATATGACCCTTTGATCTTTGACCTCATGACCATAAAATCTACTCAGTTCATTGGCTCTGCAAGATGTTCTGAGTTAAATAGTAATCCATCTGTCAGTTCTAATGAGAATGCGTTCACAAGCTATTTTTGCATACATAATGGGCCCATGACCTTTGACCTTTGACCTTATGAACCAAGAATCTACTCAGTTCATTGGCTCTGCAAGTAACAAACATGACCTAATTTTGGCATGAATCCATCAATCGGTTCTTGAGATAACGCGATCACAAGCTGTTTTTGCATTCATAATGTGCGCTGTGGCCTTTGACCTTTGACCTACGTGCTCCAAAATCTAATCAGATTGTCTTCTTATGGTGATACACACTATCATTAAGTTTGAAGTTTAAATCTCCAGTGGTTCTTGAGATATTATGATAACAATCTCAATGTATGGAATTTCATAAGTTGACCTCTGTGACCCTTGACCTTTGACCTACGTGCTCTAAAATCTAATCAGATCGTCTTCCTATGGTGATACATACTATCCTTAAGTTTGAAGTTTTTACATCTCCAGTGGTTCTTGAGATATGATAACAATCTCAATGTATGGAATTTCATACGTTGACCTCTATGACCCTTGACCTTTGACCTACGTGCTCCAAAATGTAATCAGATTGTTTTCCTATAGTGATACACAATATCACCAAGTTTGAAGTTTAAATCTCCAGTGGTTCTTGAGATATCATGATAACAATCTCAATGTATGGAATTTCATAAGTTGACCTCTGTGACCCTTGACCTTTGACATACGTGCTCCAAAATCTAATCAGATCGTCTTCCTATGGTGATACATACTATCCTTAAGTTTGAAGTTTAAATCTCAAATGGTTCTTGAGATATCGCGCTAACAAACTCAATACAAGGAATTTCATAAGTTGACCTCTGTGACCTGTGACCTTTGACCTACGTACTCCAAAATCTAATCAGATCGTCTTCCTATGGTGATAAATACTATTCCTGAGTCTTAAGTTTAAATCTTAAATGGTTCTTGAGATATTGTGATAACGGTCAAACGGGACGGACGTACGGACGGACGTACGGACGGACGGACGGACGGACGGACGGACGGACGGACGTACGGACGGACAACCCGAAAACATGATGCCTCCGGCACCACCTTCGGTGGCGGAGGCATAAAAATGGTTAGATAAGAATCAGAATACCAATTTTACAACTGAAGGAAGTACATTTTAAATAGTTAGCATTCATGAAAATGAGTATGAATAAAAGTGTACAGACTTGCTGAAGAACAGTCTTTGGCTGAAGGAAGTGTTTCCTTTAAAAAGTAAAAAGAAGTATTCTGTGTATACATATATATATATATATATATATATATATATATAATATATATATATATATATATATATATATATATATATATATATGAATATATACATATCACCCCCCCCCCCCCCCAAACAACAAAAAAGCCAATTAGTATTTAAAATACATTAAAAAAGTTATAGTATTGCTTCTCATAGTCATATAATTCCACAACACACTGCTTAATGTGAAATATCTCAAGACGTCTCAGACAACATCTAATATAATTTATATCCACACACTCACAAATAATAGTAGCTGTGTATTTTGAGAAAGGGGCTTTGCACTCTTGGTAATGTATATCTGTATTTAAGAGAAAGCTCTAAGATACTTAAAGTCTAGCTCCATTCTAGTGAGATATTGGCTGGCGTTGACAAGTCAAGTTCAGCGGATATTATTCTTAAAGGGACACAACCACTAAAGGACAGAGAAAATCAATATTCTTTGTTGCCATTCAGAAATGTGCAAGTTTGAGACATTATGATTTCTCAAAACCACACTGAGACCATGCAGTACTTATATCTGTCTTCGTGAAATGCTAATTCAAGTAAGTGATTCATATCTGCCTTTGGTGCTGTATGCAAAGCAATTCAATCAGGTGCTACTGGTAAATAAATTAGAAAGTATATCAATGGTATTTTGAAGAAATTTAGAAAGGAAAGACTGTATATGTCTGAATTCTGACAGACATATTCTTAAAATGATAACATTGGTGTTGATAATAAGAAATCACGGCCTATTGAAAACACTTGTGTCTTGTTCACTAACATAGTGCTTAAATGTTAGCCACAGTGTTTTCAGATCTCCTGAAGATAGCAGCATTAAATGGAGAATACGCAGAATAATGCTATGAAGATGCAAGACTGATATGACACTGATATTCTCAAAGGATTCAAATACTTTGCTTTATACTGTAGTCACAAGCATGAACTATGGACAACATATACAATTTTGTTTCTCTTGGAAGAAGACCTTTCTGGACTTCGACCTTTCTCGAAATTGTGACCTGCGACAAAAATTATTTCTCACAAACTTTAGATTTGAATGTCATTGAGTAGATTCCAGTTTAAAAAAGATACAAATCAGCATGTTCAAGCCTTTAGGAAATTAAGATATATATATATATATATATATATATTTCATATTTAAAACTCTGCCTCTTAAAGCAAAAATACGAAAGTTTACAGTTTAAAGTAAAGCTTGTAGATTTAAATCATTGCTTATATAATAAGTTTGGAAAAGCAAATCGAATCAGTTGTGAATTAAGATTAATTATTCTTTGAATCTTTTATCAGGATTTCCTCATGGAAAATGAATTGAGAAAATGAAAGTAATTAAAAATATCCATAAATGTACCAATAAGTCGAGAAAGAGTATCAGAGAAGATAAGTATCGACCTAATTTATCCATAATCTTTCCATTTGAGTATCTAAATACCAAGATTGAGGGAAAAAAAATGTCCAAAGAGTTTGTTATTTAGAGATGTATAACTATATATCTGAATGAAAACATGGATATCTCATGGATAAAAGAAAGAATTTAAGACGAATGCTTCCTAAACTGAGCATGCTATCAAAATCCAATCGCGTTAGACTTTGCAAGAAATCCCAAGATTCAATTGAAAACATTGCTACATTTAAAATAGCACAATCCTCGAAAATGATAGATCCCTGGTAAAGAATAAATTATATACAAGCACCCATATTATCCCTTTTAAATACATTTAGATAAAGGTGAATGATATGTTGTTGAAGCAGAAATAAAAACCAGAGCTCTTACAATTCAGAGAGATTGAAACTATCATCAATGTCATGCACAAAGAGCAGCAGCATTTTTACGACTTTTGGACAATTTGAGGCATTTCCTGAGGACAAGGATACGCCAATATCCAGCAGTGTAAGACAGAAATTAGGATTTTTACAGGCATATTCCCATCTGTAGAGTATTTTTTATTCCCTTTTTACCAATAGTATGCATGGGAGACATAGTTATGGCCTAACCCCAAAGATGTAGGTAAATTTTCAGGTGGGTTGATACTGGATAGTTTCATGTAGACTATTCATCTACTGATTGGCTGCTATGCTGTAGGCTGTTCAATTACAATCTAAAACACAATTAAGTTTAATGCCAAGTGCCACCCCCCCCCCCCCTCCTCCCACCAATTACAGGTCTAAGATTTTCAATATGATCACTACTCAAGGGCAATTGACTACTGTCTGGCCTGCAGGTGTTGGGATTATGTAACTTGCCATTGTATAATGTTCACATAAGGTGATGGAGAGGCTATCAAAATTACTTTGGTTGATTTTGAAAAGTCTTTGTGATTACTTTCTATTAAGATCTCCAACTACTATCGGACTGCGAGAAATTTTATAATTTTAGGTTGATTATGATGTCCGATATTTAAATTTAAAAAATATGTTAACCCATTGGTGGCTGGTAATGATATTCTTTCCTTTAAAAAAATATACAGCCTTAATACACCTGTA